CACCGACAGTCGCGTTCGCGTGGATGCAGACGAGATTTGGTATTGGATGCGACGGGTCAGATACGCGTGATTTGGAGGTTTTCGAGGGTTTTGGCTAGGGTGGACATGTCGGATGGGGTGACGGACGGCAGACGGATATTATCGGGGAGAATGTGGAGGGTGTGTGCTGTTTGTGAAGTGGTGGACGGTACGTCATCGCTCGCTGTTACTTTGGTTGTCGACGGCAAACATGTTTGCATTTGCGACATGAAAGCATCTGCATCGGTGATTTTGGCTGGCCAGGATGATGTACCTAACCAAAAAAGCAATTAAGTAAAAACTGGAATACCACAAGTGTGGTTACGCAGTCTATTACCTGTCGCCACCAATACATGTCTAGTGTAAAACCCAACCGTACCGACATGATCGGGAATGGTTCCCGCTTGGGTGGACTTGAATTGCACACAGCGTGTAGTTGATGCCGAACGTACGCAATTCTGGATCCGAGGCGTACTTACGCGCGATATAACGAGCGGGAATCGTCTGAGCATCATAATCATGTTGTTCATCCAAAAAGGAATCCCCCGTTGACACCAACCGTATTTTAAAAAAGGTGGTGTGCTAGAAAACAACAGTGACAAATTTCCGATCTTGACAAATGACTCACTGCAAACCAATATCAAATGTCATTGGATCCAAAATCAACTGTGTCAACAGGCCATCTTAGGCCTTTAATTTGTGATTTAGAGGCCCGTGGTAAGGAAGTCTCGCTGTCCAAGAGCCCTTTTTCCATCCATTTTTTTTTGCGATTCACACGACTCTCTCGTATATGGACAGTATTTCGATAGCGGTTTACCATAATTTGTTGTTAGGCCCGCAAGCCAGCCATGGACGACTACAACCAAGGATTCCCCTCCTCCTACGTCCCACCTCCAATGTACACGACACCCATGCCAGACCCTATGGGACATGTTCGCCCCGACACATTTCTAGACCCCTTGCGGATGCCTTTGGAGATGGAACGAGGGGTGTACTATGGTCGAGACCCGCAAGCGGATGTAATGGGACGATGGAGTGGGTATGACCCTCCCCGAATGGATCCGCCACTACCAGCACGAGGATTCCAGTCTCCACTGTTTGACATGCAAGCTCCCTTGACACGCCCATTTCGGATTTCATTGACAGACTCTTGCGACCACGATACATCCGATGTCCGTTCAGAAACATCATCACATGCCCAAACCGGTTCTGAAGATTCCTCTCAAACCCAGAAAACACTCTTATCTCGTCATGTAACGTCGGTGATATCCCATTTCACATCCAATAAAGCAGGGTACAAGCGGTTATTACATGAACTCGACGATTTCATTCATGTAACGTCTCCTTCGGGACAGATACTGTATACCTCGCCTTCAGTCCGCAGAATGTTGGGATACACACCGACAGAACTCGTGAATATGAACATTTCAAAAATTTTGCACAGAGATGACCGACAGCACGTATTAAACACCCTCACAGCCTCCCTCCTACACCCCATCGACCAAACCCTGTATGCACGGTACCAAAAAAAAGCGGGCGATTTCATTCTACTCCACGTGAAATCCAAACCGCTTGTCAACGACGCGTCAACATGTATTGTACATACTGGCCGAGAATACCGCTCCAAAGCCTCCATATCCATTGACTCGTTATTGGAATACCGGATTGAGAATCTGAGGTTACGGAGGTTGTTGGAAAAAGCGGTTCGTGAGCGTGGTGGAGATCCTGAACATCATCCGTTGTTGAGAAAAAAGGGGCAGGGCATTGTTACGGCGGTGGAATTGGAGGAGGAGGCGGATGAGAGTGTTGTTGTGGATGACAAGAGGGATAAAGGCGCGAAACGAAAGGTATAAAGTTTAGTGTCGTGAAATGTGCCTGCCTGCGGTCTTCTGAATGTTTTTTTTCAGAAAAAGTCTCGGGTGCCGACTGAAGAACTCTTTTGTCGACAATGTGGGACGACGCAGTCACCAGAATGGCGTAAAGGCCCATCAGGACCCAAAACGTATGTCCAAATGTGCCTGCCAAACGGTTGTATGGATACTCATCCTATTTTATTGTTGTGCAGATTATGCAACGCATGCGGTCTCGCGTTTTCGAAAAAACAACGCAAACTGGAGCGAGACAATAAACCAGAGGATGGTGTAGGATGAAGAGTTTGGCATATGGGTATTTACATCTAGTTGTATTGGTATATGCCATATTTGTAAATAAACGGGTTGTTGGATTGGGAAACATGTAATATATAGTTTCACAGTCTATATACACGACCATCATCTACCCACCTCTTCCTTGGGATCACTTTCTATAAAATAACCGATCAAACCCCTTTGGATCCCCAAACCGCCCCTCTCTATCCACCCTCATCACCCGTCCCTTGACAACCATCGGTACATGTCCCTCCTTCCACCCCCACACAAACCGACTAGTTCCAGCAGGCGGAGGCACCGGATCCGTTCCAGCCGGTCCAATACGGGTATACACTGGCCGGGTCGTAAAGATTTCGTGCGTGGGGAGTACAATGGGTTTAGAAAAAATTGACATGTCGGTGAGGGTCGTGACACCATTCTGGATTCCAATGGTGCCAATATGGCGTTTAGCAAATAAATGCACACCGAGGAGAACAAGGAGACCAATACTCGAGATCCCAGCGCATAAAACCGTTTTCGCAAGGGATAAAGGTGAATTTGGGTCTTTTTTGTGGTCGAGTTGTAGTTCGGTGTATGCGAGGCCGGATGTCGTTAGCCAAAAAATGACGTGGCCGACGCCGGTCAGGTAGTAGAGGGTGAAGAGGCGGGGGTTGGGGTGTTTGTAGACGAGGGGTTGGGGAGTGGTTTGGGAAATGATTGTTGGTGGGTGCCTGCCGAGGGTGGATTTGTGCACCGTTTGCATGGGGGAGTGCATGGGGAGGCGCATGGAGAGTCGCATGGGGAGACAAAAGAGGATTGGCATGGTGGAGCGACATGGCGAGACATGTCTCCAAGCCTTTAATGGTGGGAGGCACTGAATGCGCTTCAATGCCATTAAAATGTCGTTTGGAAGGATGAGCAAACGATCTGGCTGCTTGTTTGCCAGAAGTTCGATCGCGGTTGCCATGCATCAAATGCTGTGCCACAGTTCAAACCATTACCTAACAACCCAGTCATGTGATATCAGCCTCGTATCCATTGCGCAGTCAAGCGGCCGAAAAACGTAAGAAACGAAAAAAGGATAACCCTGAATTGTTAAATGAGAAAAAACCCAGCTGGGAGACCTAGTTTTTTTTTTGTGTACTGCATGGGGGAGATTTCCCAAACGTGTTGCCGCCTGTGGAGGTTAATCTACGGCGGCCTGTGGATTCGCATTTATAATGCTGAGTTTTTGAGGTTAAAGGCTGAGATAAGCACGTGCCCACTAGAATGGACCTCCATGTCCGCGATGCTGGCTCAATGTCTTGGCTTACCGTTACTCTGCACGATTTCTTTGCAAAAAGGTGTCAACGTTTGCCCATGGGCGTTAACTTTAAGCAAAACATGACGTGTCCACGAGATGGCGTATATGGCGTACCCATCTACTGGGTTCATGGATGATGACGAGCCTCGCCTCTGATCGATCCTTGTTCTCACGGGCGAGCTCACCAAAGGAAAAAATGGCCGTCTCCCTGAGCGGGGGGGACGCTGAGCTAGGAGACAGGAACTTGTGTGTGTTTACACGACAGCCACGTGACAACGGTTCAGGACCGGAGGCGAGCAAGAATGAAAGTTGCGCCCAAAGGCGAACAAGGCGGAACAATGCCTGGGGCAAGCGGAAAGACATGGCAAAACAAAAGATCCCATGCATCTTTTTGTTGGCAATGGGGGCGGATCCCTAGGTATCTCTTTCTTTGCAAAAATGTATTAAAAAATGATAACATGATGCCGCATGTGAAAGGCAGATGCTGTAATAAGCCTACCATGGGAATTGCTGTGCATTTCCGCGAGGGAAAACAAGGAAAAAAATGATTATCTCTTGCAAAGAATGATGCATTGAATCTTTCTCATTATCATGTTCAAACCGCATGTCCTCATCCATACAAGTAGGCGGGCCCATAGGGCGGGCACAGAGAGGCGGAAGCAAAAGACAATTGCATAAAAAGGAGTGAGCGTGGCTTGTCAAAAGTATGCACATGTCAAACATGTGAAATAAGTTGCATGTGAATTCAAGCCCTACTGTGAGTGTGAGTGAGATAACCCTTTTGAGTGTGTGTGACAAATGAAATGAAATGCGAGAATGAAAAGAATAAAAATAAAATTCATATAAAGAGTATAATCCATATAATGAATACCCTTAATGGCAAGTGATCGATTAGAGAGGGAGAAAGAGAGAAATCGATAATAGTTGTATACATAAAAATGATTAATTCGAGAGGGGAGACATGTAAAAAGATGATCATATCATGTGACACGTGAGAGAGAAGAGAGAGAGAAGAGACATGGGGAAGGAAGAGAGAATTCACACACACACAAAGAGAGAGAGAGAGAATACACACAGTTGATGATTATTCTTTCTCTCTCTTTCTCTCTCACAACCACTCACAACCACACACTCTCCCAATTGTATGTAATCTCTCTCTCTCTCTCGTTAGATGGGAGACAGTGACTCATTATACATATATTATTTCTATATTAGGCAATTCACACTTTTATTCTTCCTTCTTCTCTCTCTCTCCTTCCTCCCGTTCTCCTTTTTTTCTTCTTCTTCTTCTTCTTGTTGTTTACAGAGGATTTTGTTTTTTATTCTTGGGATTGGGGATTCACTCCCCTCTCTATTTTCTTTAATGATCCTATACACTCGTCCATTTATGCACTCTCCCACACACGGACAACAGAGGCAACGACGTAGTAGGGTCGCGTCCGTCATGGACATGACTTTTCTCGTCAATGACGCTCATCCACAACAACAAGCAGTGTCTGACTCGCCTGACTCTCCCGCATCGTCTGCATCTCCAGTCTGTTTGCAACAACACGCTCGGTCACGGCCACAAGCACAACCGCCTCCGCCTTGTATTCAAGATGCCCAACATGCACACGCTCACGCATCTCCAGGCGCGTCTATTCCTGCGGCTCCTACTGCTCCTGCTGCTGCTGCTGCTGCTGTTGCAACAAGGCATACGCCGCCCCTGCAATCTCGTTCTCTTTATCCTGACGACGACGACAAGGCCAGTGCACACTCGGCTCTTCTCCTCCACCACTATCCACCCACTAGTACGCTCGAATGGGAAGACGCTCTCAAACACCATCAGGCGCCCTTGACGCCCCTGCCCTCCCCAAAACCCAATTGGACCGCTGACGACATGAATAGTCTGGACAAGGAACTGAATCCTCTGGATGGTCCCGTCGATACCATGGGAAGAATAAAGACAAAGCGCAAGAGAGCCACTCCTGAGCAGCTCTTGGTTTTGAACAGAGGTAACAAAACAAGAAACATTTTTGATATCTATGCAATGTATTGACAATGCCTTAAAGTCTTTGGGCAAACTTTTTTTCCTTCCACTGAACTGAGGCACCGCCTCGCAGAGCAGCTGGGCATGACACCCAGAGCCGTTCAAATCTGGTTCCAAAACAAGCGCCAAAACTGGCGCGCCCGCCAAGGTCATTCCTATCCCCCGCCCACGGCGACCAGCTTTTCCGTCCTCAATCCCATCGACTTTGAACAAGGCAACGCCCCCGACGCTCGCCGCTTTGCCCGCGCCCGCTCCAAATCCTCCGTTTCTCCCACTGGGTACGATGCTCCCTCGCACTGTGACATGTACGATCCCGTCGGATCCTGCACCGCCGCGTTGGCCGCTTGGGCACCTTTGCGTGTAGACCCTCGCGACCCGCTCTTTCAAAACCCAGACTATCACGCGTTTCCTCGACGCCATTCCGCTGGTACATGGCCCCGGAACATGCCCCTCTCCCCTCAGCTGCGCGCGCACCCCTATGTCCCCGACCCCTCTCAAAACCTTCGCACGCGCACCTGGTCGGCACCCGATCTCCGCATGGCGGCGCAACAACATGTCATTTCCCCTCCACCGACTATGCAAGCCGTTCCTGCCCCTCCTGCTCTGGTCTTGCAGCAGCAGCAGCAGCAGCAGCATCTTACTGGTCAGCACGAGCAGCAGCACGCGTCGCCACCGCGTCATGCCGCGCTGTGCAGTCCAAGCGGAGGGTACAAGCGCCGAGAAGAGTATTGGATGCGATAAAGTGTGCTGCAAAAGAGCACTGCAAAGAGAGAGAGAGAGAGAGAGAGAGACAGTGCTCAATTGTACACGTGTTTGACGAGATTTACTGTGTAATGATTTTTTTTTGTTGTTGATTTTTTTTTAGAAAGATATATACCCCCCCTCTCCCCCTTGTCTGGTCCGAGTCGGTAGCGTTTTGTATACGAGTTTTTTTTTTTGTGTTTAGGTTTTTATAGTTTGGTTAGTTGCTTTGGGGTGTTTATATACTTGTGTGTGTGTGTGTGTGTGTGTGTTTTTTTCTTGACAAGAAAAACTGGAGTAAACTGTATGTGTTTTCTTTGAAATGGCAAATGTGCTGTTTTGCTTGCTGCAACAAATCATTGCATCTCTCGCCGATATGCAAGTATTGTTTGCAAATATCACCTGCAGGCAAACGTATGATGCATGATGGAAAAAAGATTATGCGTATTTACAAGTCTGGTTGTTTGCCAACTGTCTCAACTAGAGATTAAAACGTATCCCACAAGAAAATAAAAGCGGCAAAAATTTACTCAACAAAGAACAATATATGACAGAGCAAGAACATGCCATTATTGGAAAGTTTGAACTGCGCATCATGCGTGATTCACACGGCGGGGGTATGTTGTTGTATATTTGTATTTTTGCAACATGCCCCACATGGCTATACTCACTGTTGTTTTTGAAGAAACAATACATTTTACACAAATTAGTTATCCAAAAAGAAAAAAATTACGCTTATTAAAAAGAATACGTTAAAAAGAATACGGATGAAAAATTATGGGATCATACCATACCATTCGTTGGAGACTTGTTCTTTAATGTTTCCCCATGGACATGCAAACTATTTGAGCTATTTGGATCCATTGAAACCGCGTTTACGAGATATACAACCACCAACGCATAACTGACATTTTCCCTACTATCACCTATAGTCAAATAGACTTGCAAAAACTGTGTACGTATATTCGTGAATGTGTCGATACATGTATCCAAAAAGAAGGTCATTGACTCAGTACATCAACAAGCACATATCTTGAATAATAAAAAAAATATATATACATGGTGTATATTGATTGCACATACGCTTCTTTGGCGAGTGACATGGGGAACACAATTACATGCAAAAGGTACAGCATAGAGGAATTCATGTTCGAAACCTTGCAACCGTCACGCCCAATCCTGCATCATTCAGACATACATACATGACAGTTTTCTTCACGACATGACCCGTACTGTGTCCCCTGTAAACCATCTCTATACATTTATTTCCAAAAGCAACAGGAAATGATATATTGAGCACGACGTAGAGTCTCAAAAATAATCCAAAAGAATCTCCCCAGTGTTAATGTTACATCAATTCATTGTATTCTGTACCAGACATGCTAAAGATGGTGCATAGATGTCCAACGGCTGAAATTTAATGCACTTGAATACGAGAAACGAGAAAAACAAATATGAAGAACCAGAACGGTAGCAATTGCAAAACGGTACTCATAGGATGGGACGGTTTTGGAAAAACAATGCAATCCTGGGGTGAGCAAAATGCATTGAACGACAGGTACAGCTCCTAGTGATATGCACCATCTGTAGACCTATGGGATGAATCAAAAAGTGGGCAATGGCTGTTTTGATAAATTGGTACACCACTTGTCTGGTTTTGACCACTTTCTGTTAGGAACAGTAAGACCGTAAAGAAACCTCTTTCATGGCAATACACAAAAGCGATGCGAAAAACTAGTGGATAAAATTTGGGACTACTCGGCTTTCCCATTGCAAGCGTTGGAAATAGGAGGATGGGTATGTCGAATGTATGAGTGTCGACCTAGCTTAAAGAACACCCTGATCCTTGATGAATGCGCTGATTGGTAAAAATCGATATTACAAACACCGAAAAATACATTGCACAAATCATTGCATAACAGAGACAAAACCAAAAAAAAAAAAGCACACTCTATAAACGTTCCCATTTGGGCCATATGGACAGGTAGCGTTATTCCATGATTCACATCCAATGCGATTCCATTTGTAATTGTTCTATTTAGTGAGTTTTCGTAGGAAACGGAACACCCGGAAATCCGACAACACGTCATCAGTCCTCCTCTCGCGGTGTGCTGGCTTATAAAAACGGGTAGGGAAATACATTCCACTCTGATAATCGAAATAAAACGATAAAAACCAACTTTCTACACACACTTTGCCATGTCCAACCCCAGTTTCTCTTGGACGACAGTATTGGTTACGGGCGGTGGAGGCGGTCTGGGCCGTGCCCTCGCCGCCTACTTTCTCAAAAACAACAAGGTAACATAAACGAACGTTTCTTTTATAAATCTTGTACATGCCCAACAGGAGGCCTTCACAATCCCTCCTATCTTTAGAAAGTGATTATAGCCGGTCGGACAGAGAGTAAACTACAGTCCACGGCCCGCGAATTGGGTTGCGAGTACCTTGTTGTGGATGTCGGAGCTGTAGAGGGTTTACAACGGTTTACAGAGGAGGCTATCAAAAAGTTTCCAGACTTGGATGCCGTTGTTGCAAAGTAAGTCACCCATTCGGAACTACATGCAAAAATATTCAAGACCGAACGACAAGAATTGACAAAGAACTATAAAAGTGCCGGTATCCAAAGGAAACCAGTCAACTTTACAACCCAAGACGCAGCATCCCTCCTGCAAAGCGCCGACGACGAAATCAACGTCAACATCCGCGGGACACTCCACCTAATCCACCACTTGCTCCCCCACCTCTTGTCCAAACCCAATGCCGCAATTTATACAGTCTCATCTGGTTTAGCGTTTATTCCAATCGGGCGTATCCCTGTTTATTGCGCGACAAAGGCGTTTGTGCATAGTTGGACACAGAGCTTACGAGTTCAGTTAAAGGGACGTGTTCAAGTCATGGAGATTATACCCCCTCTCGTGGAATCCGATTTGCATCGGGTGAGTTCTCTAAACATTATCTCCATGTTGTGTGTGTTTGGTTTTGTATGACGAGTGTTAACAAATCTACTCACAAATTTACGATAGGACCACGATGACCCAGATAACAATAAAAAACACAAAAACCCCATGGCACTAACGATTGATGAATTCATTGCTGGAGTGGATCGGGATATACAGGCTGGAAAAGATGAGATTACGCCTGGGTTCGCTCAGGATTTGGCACAACAGAGTTTGGAGGCTTTTGGAGAAAAATTTAGGGCTTTTAATCAGGCGCATTGATTTGGCAAAAAACATTTCAGTATGGGAATACATGTGTGAGGAGGGACTGGTTGTGGTGACAACTGTAGGATTGGATGAGGAATGTGTATGCCATCATTCAGCGATGTAATAAGAAAAAGATCAATCTCATGGACGGGTTCAAGCGGGCAAAGCAACGTTTTTTGGTTTTTTCATTGTCATGTTGTTAAAAAGGACAAGAGATAATGAAAAGGGGAAAGGGGGAGAGATGAATATACAAAAACGAAACCCAAAAAAAAAAACACACCATCTCATTCACACCACACCAACCACGCAAAAAACAAAACAAAGAACCAGCAAAAAAGAAAAAGGGAAAAAAACCGAAAAACGACCATCATCACATCACTCATCAATTGTTTCCCTTCCTACCCTTCCCTCCCCGGAATCTCCAACAACATTGCAACAGCAATCGCCCGTCTCTCCTCCTCATTCTCTACATCCCCTCCAGAAGAAGAAGTGGAAGCCACCGACGACGAAGCAGAAGGAGGCGGAGTCAATTCCTGTCCCCCCGCAGTAGGCGAAAGCGGGACAAGTGAAAAAGAGTTGGCAAGGGCATTCAGGTATCCATTAGAGTCTTTTCGACGACGTCGACGGGGTGGGTGCTGGTCTTGTTCTGATTGATTTGTGGTGGGTGGGTTGTAGGTTGTGGGTAACGTGTTGGGAGGTGGAGTGTAGGATGATTTACGCTTTGTTGTTGTTGTTGTTGTGCGATGGGATTTGGTTGGCACGCCTTTACAGGTTGTTAGAGGCCGATCTTGGTCCGAGTGTATAATCCCTTGATGTCTCGTCAGATCATATCGTCTCGTAAACTGTTCAATATCAATTAAGTAAAAACCGTACAAACCAAAACATTCAAAAAAACAGTAACATTTTACCTTTCTGCCACAAACATCACACCCCCACTCCCTTACACCAAAATGCGTCGCATAGTGTGTCGCAAGGTTATACCTCCTCGCAAACCCCCTCTGACAACCACGAAAAGGACATTCAAATAATCCCGCTTCGTTCTTTTGTTGTGTTGTGGCGGGGAGGAGGAGGTTTGTGGGCGGAGGTGACGACGACGGTGCTTCAGTCGGCATACGAAAAAGGGTTGTTTTCTTTGGACGTTTGAATTGGGAGGGTATAATAACGCAACAGACACACACACACACACAAGAAAAACGCAACCCGTTCCAAAAACAACTCGTTCAAAACCCGCCTCAAAAAACGAACACGAGCGGAGTAATAAAGTGCGGGGTTCCAAAATAAACCTTAAAAACGAATCCCTCCAACACCGCCAGTCAAAACACGATACCAAATAACACTAGCAGTAACAGTTTTCTAAAAAACCACTCGAGCACTCAAACCTCAACCTCAAGAATGTCCAAGGGCTGAAGTGTGTGTGCAAGGTTTTTTGGGCAGTTCCTTCCCAATCAATGGCGAGGCCCAGGTGACATAAGGCAAGAAAATGCGCAGCAGCATCAAGGGTGGTTCCAATGCGCTGCGCAGTCGGATGAACGCATGTGTTTTGTGATTGGATTGAATTTTTTTTTGTTCTTTTTTGATAGTGTGTTATTGGTGTGTGCTAGACTTGTTGTTTCTTCCTTTTGGCTCGTACTGATGACATTACTTTGGTGTGTATGATACGTATCATATCTGCATTTTTCTTATGCTCCCTGCTTGCGAGTGTATCCCGAAGGCTATTGAATAGGGTACACCCTAAAGGTCGGAATGTATCGGGCCCGCTTAGCTCAGTGGTAGAGCGTGAGGCTTTTAACCTTAAGGTCGTGGGTTCGACACCCACAGCGGGCGTAGCGTCTCAGGTCTTGGTCTTTCTTTTACTTGTCGTTGAGCGACGCATCGGCTGCGGAATGTTGTTCGCGTAAGTAAGAGTCACGTGATATATGAGATCTGGGATATTGACAGCTTCGCAATTTAGAGTCACTCTTTTGGCAGTAAGCTACCCAGCTATTTACAATTCCCATCAAGACGTCTGGAGTTGGTCTCGCTTAGCCACAGGTAGGTTGCGAATCCAATGGTCAAGTGGGTATGCCCTTTGGAGTTGGAAGCTCTTAAAGGGTAGCGGGTCGCACAGGACACAATTGCAGTCCTTGTACATGCGCTGGCATCACCTACTCTTATGGCTGTACAAAGCAGTCGGTGTTTTCAGCATTACTATTACTTCTTTTGGCTTCTTGAAATGGGTGTGGATCAGAACCTTCTTATTGACTGACTGTGTCCTGTTTGTCCTTTCATATCTGTGCAATATAGACTCTTACAGGAAACATAAAGATTGCCATTTGCTTTCTGGACGCCAAGTAAAACTAAAAAAAAGCGTCCTGGGAGATTGTCAAATTTGGGGTTGTGCGCGACCGTGAAAGGGGCGAAAGGGCTAAAGTTCCCGCACAACTGCATGGCCCGGAACGCTTACTCTCGCCATAGTTAAATGGACTCGACTGATAAACTCAATCTGAAAGTTGAGCAAGATCCAGTAGCTACTGTGTCTGGAAATCGTCGTAGTGCACGTATACAAACGAGTAGCAACAGCTCCGTGACATATCCCCCTCAAAGTACCCAGCAAAGATCACCTAGAAAGAGAAAATCTAGTGAGCCGAACATCGGCAGTCTGTCAGGGTCGCTCGAATCCACTGTGGATTGGACGAGGGAGAACAATCCCGCTTCGGGACCGTCTTCCAGGAGGTGAGCTGAGTGCATGTGTATGGCAGGTGGTGGTGCAGGATGAGGATACAGCAAACCTATCGCGAAGGATACTGTAACCTCTACATCATTTCACAGCCTTCTAACATTTTTTCATTTTTGTTAGGTCGAGCCGCTTATCCTCGAGAACGAGCTCGGTTTCACGGGAAACCAAATCTCTGTCTGCTGCGTCCTCGCGGAAAGGCAAGGGCAAAGCCGCAGGCAACACCTCCAAGATAGGGACATCACAGTCATCAACATCAAAGAGGTGCTTTGCTTATTTTAGAATAATGCTGGTTGTGCATCTTGTTCACATCTAACTTTATTGGCAATGATTTAGAGTCAAAAACGTTCCTCAAGCCAGTGTACAGCCGCCAGACGCTACAAAAAAGTCAAGCAAGAAACGCAGGAGACCATCTATTTCGTCTGACGAGAAGGAATCCGAAGACAATCCTACTCCACAGGAGCACGTTACCAAAAGGCGGCGTCACGCAGCGGTGAGAGCATCGGAAACAATCACATCTATCAGCAGCAGCGGAAAGAAAGGCTCGAGCACACTAGAAAAAGTCGATATGGGAAAGGACAAGAGTAAAAGCAAAGGAAAGCTCAAGGAGGGGGATGATCTGCAGGTGGGACAACACGAGGTCCAGGCTCCTCAATCAGAAAGGAAGAAAAGTAACACCACAAAGGAGAAGAGTAAGGGACGCAGAGGAAAAAAGAACGATGAATCTGCTGCCGAAGCGTCATCTGGCTCAAAGGGCAGTCGAGGAAGTGAGCACGACTTGGCTGAGGACACGGCACCAACCGTTAAGGCGAGCCGCAAGAAACGCGGACGCACCCAGAAATCTACGTCCCCTGATTTATCCAGTTCTGCAAGTCATACAGAAGAGCCGGGGCGGTCGGATGATCATTACCATGAATCGGATGATCCGTCTTACGACGACGATGATGATATGGATGCCGACTTTGGTAGAGACGACGTGAGCGGACCTACGGTTCATCGGTCTAACCTGAGTACTCTCTTTGGCTTTGGAGGCGGCATTAGTATCGGTGGTTCTGGCGCAATGGGAGGCAGTTCCCGATTTTCAAGCATGCTACGACAGCTGAAGCAGAAAAACGATCCGACGATGCAAATGGTTGCTTTGCAAGAGCTCTCGGAAGTTCTTAGTATGGCTACTGGTAAGGGTCAATAGAGTGGCGATGTCACGTCTCATGCTCATATCTTCGTTACTGTATTTCAGAGGACATGTTTATCGGCAATGGCAGTCATAACTTGGCTGGATTCAATACTAATGAGTTTGTCAAAGCACTTGTTGATATCTTGAAAGGCCCCGCCGATATGGGAGGGGCGTTTGGAGCAGATTTCCCTCTCGAAGTGCTTGATGAGTTGGGCATGAGTGCTAGTGAACTCGGCTTCGGGGGTGGCATGGGGCCAAATCCAGAGCTAATGCTGCTGGCCTGCCGGTGTTTGTCCAACCTTATTGAAGCACATCCGTCCAGCACCATGCATGTGCTGCAGCATGGCGCTGTCCAAGTTTTGGTTGGCAAGTTGATGGAGGTGGAGTATATCGATCTTGCCGAACAAGTACTGTCGGTCCTCGGCAAGATTAGTCAAGAGTATCCTTCGGCTGTTGTTCGCGCCAATGGCCTTTTGGCGGTTCTTCAGTATATCGACTTTTTCAGTTTGCATGTTCAGCGTACTGCGCTTACCATCGCCGCCAATGCCTGCCGGGGACTCAACAGCGTCAGCATGGGAGGAGGAATAACATCACGAATCATGGGAGGTGACTCCTCCGCGAGTTCAGGTACTGCACAAGTATTTGATTTTTCTGACAATGCTACCACCTATGTTAATGCTTGAATGACCCGTCAGCGAATTCTGACACCGGACCTCAAACTGTGGAACAAGTATTCGGCATGGTTAAGGAAGTGATGCCCATTTTGGAGCGCCTACTTGTTTATTCCGATCAAAAGTTAGTGGAGCAAGCTGTACGATGCCTTGGTCGAATTGTTGACTGGTGTTGGAAGTATGAGGATAAGCTTGAAAACCTCGTGACGCCAAGTCTGTTGAAAACAGTCATCGGTCTCATCAATCCCACTGGTACCGCCTCGTCAGGGCCGGTAGCTTCCAACCCTCACATGTTTACGCAGCTTGTAAAATTGGTTGCAAATGTTTCCAAGGGTTCTGCTCGTCTTGGCACTGCGCTGATTGAGGAATACGGCATTGTCGAGGTGATTAAAAATTACCTCACTGGTGGATTCGTTGGCAGTTCGTCTGAGCAGGATGCCGACACCGACATGGAGACAGTAGCGACAGCAGTGACCAATGTGGTAGTTAACCGCCCGGTCGAGCAAGTATTAGAGGTGCTCAATTTGGCATTGGCGGTTGTGCCATCTCTCCCTCGTGACGGAATGTGGAACACGACGATTATAAAAGATGAGACCTTGGTGGAAGGTCAGCCCAATTCTGATAGCCCAACGAAAAGAATTGGCTCCATTTTCTCCCGGGGCCGCAGTCGTAGCCCAGAAAAAAATTCCACCTCGCGGGATCCTATGGACATTGATCAACGGGAAAGCGGATCCGTAAAGGATGTTTCCTCACCCGCTGCACGAACTTCCTCTGATTCCGCAGAGAGCGCTATGACGGAATCTCCAACGCAAAATAAGAAACCTGCTCTTGATGAGCGAGATGCGAGACGTCTCGAGTTGCTAAGGCGGCAACCCGAAGCAATGCAAAAGTACGCCAGCCAGTTGCTTCCAATCATGATTGAAGTTTTTGGTGCAACGGTGAATGCCAACTTGCGACGCAAGGTTGTGGAATGTGTTGCCAAAGGTATTTGGTACCTTGACCAACCAGAATTCCTGGCACACGCTTTGGCGAAAAATCAAGTGTTTGGAAAGTTTGTATCGGAGCTTCTGAGTCTCAGAGAGATTGCATTTCGAAAATCTGTACCGGACAAGGAGCGCAAGGAGGCTTTGGTGCTAGTGGCTGGAGGTGTACAGATTGCGCTTGTTGTTATGAATAGGTGTGGGGAAAAGTTCAAAGCTTGGTTTGCCCGCGAGGGGACTATGGAGGAGCTGGTTAAAATTGTTGCAATGAATGACTTGGAGAAGGAGAAGGAAGTGGAGAAGAAAGATGAAAGCCCGGTACAAAGCCCTGTGCGTACGGAGACGCCTTCAACGCACTTGCCAACTCCAATGGGACGACGCTTGAGTGACCTGGTCAAGGATTTAAAGAGATTGAGAGACCAAGTTGCGGGACATATTGGTACGTCGTCGACTGGCACAGCGTCCAGCGAAGCGAGTTCATCAGCGGTTGGTCCCGCTGCAGATAAGCATTCTGAGGTGGAGGAACTGCTGGAAACGGTAGAAGCGCTAGCAAAGGGCAGCGGCGAGGGCACTGGAATGGACGAGCGCGGCGACACAACTCAGAAAAGCCACTCTTCATCCTCGTTAAGGATTGATACCGGGCGAAAGGATAGTACCTCAACCGCAGGCGGGGATGCTGAGGCAGCATCGGAGATGTCAGAATCGGGGGCGTCAGTGGCGTCGCCGACATCACCTGGATCCTCTCTTCTCCATGGAATGCGAAGTATGTTGGAGCGTTTGGGACGTGGATCGCATTCTACGACTTCTGCAAGCAGACGGCAGATTTCAACTGCAGGAAGCGTTATCGGATTGAACGGAGAGAGAGTTGCAGAAACAGAAATGCGGTCCTGGATTGTTGCCGAATGCAAGAGTATCCTCGAAGTCTGTCCTGCCACTCCCATGTCTTCTGAGAAGGCTGGACTAGTACTTGAGGACTTAAGACGTTTGGGAGCCATCCTTCGAGGTCACGCTACAGTGGATGGAGACGATCCCCTTATGCTCAGTGTGCTGCACGCAATTGCCGAGCATTTCGCTGGCAGAAAGGACACAGACACAGAGGTTGGGGTCACAGGATATGAGATGCTGGAAAGCGGTGTGATGGATGCTATGGCAGACTTTTTGACCAAACCAGGCATTCCAGATGTGGCTGCGCCAGACCCGGATGCTGAAAAACCGAGATACACGCTACCCTTGACCGCTCGTTTGAAAGCATTTTTGCATGTTTTCATGAATGGTCCGACTCCTGACCCACAGAACCGCCCGTTCTTTGTCCAGGGGGCTTTTAAGCGGCTCGTACAGAGACTACAAGAGTCGCTTTCCCGTGTGGAACGGTTTGAGGTTGCTGCTGCAGTACCCTCTTCTACGGGTTTCTCGTATGAGCCGATATTTGGATCCATGTTTGGGGCTTCTGGGGGGCACCTTAGGGAAGCATCAAACCCCAGCATGCAGCTCACCCGACAACTAAAAGTGAAACTTATGGCCGCGGAGCCAGATACGGTCCCAAGACAATATCAGGCGCTTTTGATTAGCGTCCACGCTGTTGCTACATACAAAGCCCTTGAAGATTACTTGAAAGGCCGGGTTGCGATGGCTCCACAGCCGACAGCTACGCGAGGTGCTACTGAGGCGACAAAGGATGGTCAAGAAGTAGGGGCGGAAGTGTCAGAGAACACGCCAGAAACTCCCTCCCGGACGGTGGATGAACAAGGCGATATAGAGATGGGAGACGCTGCGATTACGAGCGCGGACGCTCAAGTAAGTGCTGGGGACGATGAGGCTGATATCGAGGATGAGGACATGGAGGATGAATTTGACGATGATGATGATGATGACTTGGACGACGATGTAAGTTATCCTGGTAGTGGTGTCTATGCGATGCTGCTCATGTACAATGATTGCGGACTTGTTGGCTCATCTGGATACTGCACACACGCAGATGTTGAATGTCAGCGATCTCTTACTTCATTCAGAAGAAGCGAGACGCCGGCGACGTCGTGGCGAGAGCTTCACAAGTCAGGCTAGCGCCGTATCGGACGGCCATAGTGAAGATACAGCGAACCAACCTGATCTGAGCGGTCGGCGTGATAGCGTAGTAGATGTCCGGGCCGATATGCCCTCGCAGACAAACACGACAGCTCCGACTCCAGCCTCCCCGAATATCCCCTCGAGCACCTCGAGCACGCCTGCATCTGCGCCTACCTCCTCCTTGTCCTCGACACCGTCTGCTGCCTCTACGACTGGAACTTCAACCGCAACTGCCGGCAGATCGTACGCTTCTGCCGCTGCATCTTCGACGAATTTTACGATTGAATTTTCAGTAGGAAATATAGTCGTTCCTCGTGATACTACAATTTTTGGATCTGTGTACAAATTGGAGCAGCAAAAACTTGGGACTACTGGTGCACCGCCCAATGTCTGGGGTCAAGTTTATACGGTAAAGTACCGAAAAGTCTATCCAGAAGCCAAAGAGGAGGGCGTGAAGGAGGAGGTACAAACGACTAGAAATGGGTCTGCAGATAGGCAGATGGCAGTCAAGCTACCTTTTCCTACTATGATGCCTGAAGGTATCTCGTTGGATACATCTCCCGGCAAAATCCTCTACCTTCTACGACTTTTGTATGGGCTAAATTCTCGATGGGCTGAGGTGTATGCTAACGAGGACGCCGAGCTCGATGGAGTACACGAAGGTGGGACATCGGCGTTACCCTTGCAGGAGGGCTCGCAACCTATGACACGAGTTGCCGTGACATCAAGAACCGATGCGCCTGTCAGCATCGACATGCTTCCTCCTGCGGCTTTTGCCAACACAAAGTTGACTGCTAAGCTCAATCGGCAACTTGATGAGCCCTTAATTGTTGCCTCCCATGTTCTTCCATCATGGTGTTCATCGCTGGCCAAAGACTTTTCCTTCTTGGTTCCGTTTGAAACGCGCCTAGTGTATCTTCAAAGTACGTCTTTTGGATACTCTCGTAGCATGGGTCGCTGGCAGCAACAACAACAACAGGGCAATGGTGGGAGCGGGTCTGGTACTGGTCGCGGCAGTGCCGATGGAGCGTCACATCTTGGACGAATTCAGCGCCAAAAGGTCCGAATCGCCCGACAGCGGATCTTGGACAGCATGATTAAAGTTATGGAATTGTATGGATCTACTCAAGCTTTGTTGGAGGTGGAATTCTTTGATGAAGTTGGAACCGGGCTAGGTCCAACCCTTGAATTTTATGCCAATGTCTGTCGGGATTTGAGAAAGAAGGATGGTATTGCTTTTGGATCTGGCGAAAAGATCAAGATTTGGAGGGACGATGATTCGCTAGATTCACAGGCGGTCAAGGATGATAATCGCAGCACAAAAGCTGGTCTTGTGCCCGATGATTACCTAAACCCCGCTCTCGGATTCTTCCCGGCTCCACTCACACCAGCAGAGGTGGATACGGAGAAGGGAAGAAAAATTTTGATGCTGTACAAGGCTTTGGGAACCTTTGTGGCAAAGGCTCTGTTGGATTCGAGGATCGTGGATATACCTTTCAGTGCAATGTTTTTGGAGATGGTTGTGGGTGAAGAAGAAGAGGAGGAGAGTGCTGCTGAGGCCGCCCTAGGGACTGCGGGGCGTAAGGGTGCCGAGTTCCATCTGTTAAGAGTAGGTTTAATATGTGTGCGCGGTTCATCTGGCTTTGCGTGTCTCGTTCTAACAATGCCATTGCAGCATGTGGACCCATCTTTGTACAAGTCACTTTTGGATTTGAAAAAGTACGTCCACATCAAACGGAGCCTCGAGGCTGATCCGACCCTTAGTCCAGCAGAACGCGCTGCTCGTATCTCCAATATTACGGTGAAGGGTGCCCGTTTGGAGGATCTTTTCCTTGACTTTACTTTACCAGGCTACCCTTCCGCGGAACTGATTCCTAACGGGAAAGATATAGCGCTGACATTGGACAACCTGGAACACTACATTGACCGTGTGGTAGAGATGACTGTGGGCGAGGGCGTTCAGAGACAGGTCGAAGCGTTTAGAAGAGGATTTGACCGTGTTTTTCCAGCTGCGGATTTGAGGAGCTTCACAGTGCAAGAGTTGGCGGTCTTGGTTGGAGGAGCAGAAGAGGAGGATTGGGCGTATGATGGTGAGTTTGAGCCCCTCTTGCTGGAATTTTTCCTTGTATCCCGAATAATAACAATTTTTCGTGCTTGCAGTCCTTATAGACTCTATCAAAGCCGACCACGGATACAATTCGGACTCGCGCACTATCAAACACCTCGCTACCTTTATGTCTACCCTCAACCCTATTCAACGCCGCGAATTCCTCCAGTTTGTCACTGGCAGTCCAAAGCTCCCCCTTGGCGGATTCAAGGCTCTCAACCCGTCCCTCACCGTCGTTCGCAAAAATGTGGAAGCGGGCAAGAAACCTGATGATTACCTCCCCAGTGTTATGACCTGCGTCAATTACCTCAAAGTACCCGATTACAGTGAATTGGAGGTGATGAAGATGAGGTTTGAGGTTGCTGTGCGTGAAGGTCAAGGTTGCTTCCATTTGTCATGATTTATTCTTTCCTGCAATTTTTGTTTTTATAATTTTTGCTTTGAGCTACCTTTCAAATCGTTGGGCTTTTTTTAAACTTGCTGGAGGGGAAGTGGTGGTAGTATTTGTAACATTTTTTTTTTTTGTGCTTGGCGTTGGGAAAGTTGTTGTGCACGCATGGGTTGGTATTGAATATAATTGGATTAACAACTTTTCGAGTGATGGGGTCAAATACTTGTTTACAAGGTTAAAAATATACCTGCCATGTGCTTGCCTGACGCCCGCTGTGGGTGTCGAACCCACGACCTTAAGGTTAAAAGCCTCACGCTCTACCACTGAGCTAAGCGGGCCCACAAACTCTCGAACAGAGGTGCTTTCAGTATTACATTGCTTACCCGCGTCTGGAAACCGTCACCAATGGCCGGGAGGACATGGAAATTGGCAAGTTTATAAACTTTCGAGAAATAAAAAATATTTGGTAAATGTAGATTTGGGTGTTTATTGTAAGATAGATTGACTAAAACGGCCGCCAAGTAAAGTTATTCTCTGAAATTGACAACTCTCGAAAAATCATGGATTTTTGGGACGAGGATATTGTACATCCGCCAAGGGTTGTATTCTGAAAGTTACAAACACAATGTCGAAAAAGCAAAAAATCATGCACTTTTGAATACTTATTGATTTTTGGTCCAAAACAATAAAAACAGCAAACTCTATCTATATCAAGGGCCCATACTTGCGGCAAAAGAGTGTTCATTCAAAAAAGTCGAAACCTCGCTTACGTTATCCGATCAATCTTGTTCGGATGGGGGTCATGTCGAAGGAATGATGAAATGTTTATCTTTGGGTAGGATCTGAGGGTATATGTTTGGATTGCCAAGATTTTTTTTTTTCCATGTCCAGTATTGAATAGACAAGTATTCCCAAATTCCCCAATGCTTTTCTCATATTGGACGTTTTTTATTGTCTCCCATTCCGGAGGATTTTCGTAAACAAAATGGTAGGCATGGTTTTTGTGGCGAGATATGGACGCCCTTTTCGTCAAAGACACTTGGCTTTGTTCCATCTGTTTTGGTTCATGTTTATATTGTTTTGGGAGAGCCACTTGTAGCAATATCGATCGGGCCTTTTAGATATAAAAAAGCAATTTGGGGAAGACTGTTCTCCCATTTGTTCCTTTCGTATTACTTTTGTTTATCCGACTCTTTTAGCGTGAGATATATACCCTCTTCGCAGGCATCATTGAGATTAATACCACAAAAATGCGTCTTTCTGCATCTCTCATCCCACTGGCAATGCTTGTGGTCAGCGGCTTGCCCTCGGTTGTCGGAGATGTCTGGTTGACCTTTTCGCATTATACTCAGTCGGATTGTAGTGGTAGCCCCGTTGGCTTCTTTTACGCCGACTGGACCCAGTATGCTCAACTGATGGCAGGGCTAAACTCTACGTGGTCATCATCCGCTGCAGCCGTCGCCAATGTCCAAACATGTCAGCAACTCATTGCAGCTCAAAAAGAGTTTCCTTCAAGTTTTTATGGACAGTTGAATTCGAGGACTTCTATCTCGCTTACGGCTGGGGATATTTTGGCGTTGAATTTGGCTATAAAGATTTTTGCGGATGTGAGCGTTGATTTGATTCATGTTCAGGATAAGTTGGATGCTATTCAGGCTGGGACTTGTTACCCTAATCTGCGTGAGTATCTCTTCTCTTGCAAAAAGTAGTCTTCAACCTGTTACTTATGCTGTTTTTTTTTTTGCTTTTTTTGGATAGAAACACGCTGGGGCAACAATACCTATGGCTATTTGAAACCGGGTTGCGTTGTCAGCACCACGGCTCCGGCTCTCCCCGGCACTTCCTCACAAACCTACAGCATTCGGGCCTCGACCTACACACCCGTGGACCAAAACAGTACATGCGGTTATAAGCGAGCATTGGGGATTATGGGCGTCCTGGCTGACGACATCTGCCGAACTGAAACCGGAATCATATACCAAGTTGGTCAATCTAATGTTGGACGGGCTTGTGTTCGTGCGACATGTTCCGGCGATTTTCCCAAACTCTATGCAAATGCGTCTGCGCTAACTTGGAGCCAGGGGGGATTTGGAGGAATCCAACATGGCAGTGCGAATATTTCTCTTAATGTTGATGCGTATGCAAATGCTTGCGAGCTTTCTGGGACTCCGTACTCGCATTTTACGACCTGTAAAGTTGGCGGTTACACTGCGTCATCAGAGTCGACGACCGATACCAAAAAACCTGGGAATGGCAAATCTTTTGTGGATAATATAACGTATCAAACTCACGGTGAGATATTCAAATCTCGTGGCTAGTTTAATGCTTGATCGAGATGGCTAATTGCCTCACTGTTTGCTCCGTGTAGGATTCACAAGCGCGAACCAGGGCACCAGGGTTACCATCCCAGGAAACGCTGGCATCAAGCTTCGGCCCAGCGGCACTGGTAATGCTAGCGTTACAGTCAATGTAACCAGTTCTCCGGATCCGATAACGTAAGTTCGAGCTTGTAATGTGCTTACCAAGGACGTTATACCACATAAATCCCGCTGTTGCTGACTTTTTTGAGCAGTGCTCTCACGATTCCACCGACGGGTATAAATACCTACTGGAGATTCGAGGCTACAGCTAATGCCACGTTTTCGGCGGATCTCTCCTGGACGTACACGGACGCAGGTGCGCTCATTTCTAGTCTCTCTTCAAAACTTCAGAATTAAACACTTTTTTTTATTGTGCACCTAGACCTTGCTTTATTTAACTATACCGCCACGAGCCTCAAATGGGCCTTTTACAACCAAGTAACAGGAACGTGGGATACTCAATCGGGTACCACGGTCGACACATCCGCCAAAACAGTTGGATACACTACTACACACTTTTCAGAGTGGACTATTGTGGCGTCAGCGACGAGTGGAGCATTGTCTAGTGCTCCTTCATTGGTTATGGTGCTTGTTGCTGTGTTGGTTGGTGTGCTGTCCGTGTAGTTGGTACCTTGTTTGACTGTTGTGGGTTTCTGGGGAAAGAGTATCGTGCAGTATTTGTTCCGTCGTTAATACTGTGTGCAAAGTGTTCCATTTGAAAGTTCGGTTCTACATGAATTTTTAAAGTTCCGGTGCTTGGGCCTCAGATTGTCTACCCCCACAGCCAAAAAGGATACGACTGCTTTAGACTAGAAGACAGAACCCAAGTAAGCTTTTGGGCAAATGAGCGTCCTCCAGCAGCTGAAACAAACTGTATATTTCATGCTTCTTTTTCAGAATCATATCTCTTAACTTCCTTCATTTCACTCACGGGAGAATAACGGAACCATACCATCCATACCATTTCAACGGCACAGAATTTGTCACGTGCTCAATTCACATTGGCTGTTGAACTATTTAGTGTGCAGGTGGTAGAAAATGTCACTAGGGACAAATTCTCCCTCCAACCTACTACAGCCGGTTCTAATTTACAATTAGCCAGCCTGTCCAACCCTTCATAACCTATCCTGCAAACGAGTCCCACCCCTATCCTAACTCGCTACAGGTTCCAGCCTGGGTTGAACTGGGGTACGTGAAAAGCTAACTACTACTAGGCCCAATTACACATGCGATACATTACGGTTGTTTCTAACCGGGTAACTAAGCCCACCACCACGAGAGAAATCCTACTAGGCCTTTGATTCCGAAATTCTTGAGTCGGAGGATGTTCAGATACTAGTAAAATCAGAATAATTAGACTGGGAATACACCTGGGAAAATACAAAAACAATGTATACCTGTGATCGTTGCAGCATAGTAGTAGCAGTGTTTGCAAGGGGTTATGTTGTTATTGTCAGGAGGGCGGGTCCTCGACATCACCACATCGGCGTTCTCATGATTGACTTGAGAGTTGCTTGAACGTTGCGCAGATGCTTGCGAGTCGAGGATGGGTAGAGAGGAAAGAGGGAAAAGGCCCCCCTTTTATAGACCTTTGACATGCACCTCACCGCAGTTTAAAAAAAAAAAAAAACATTACATGCATGCCACACCAATCTGAGCAATAGAGGGGATTCTGATTATGCGATATGATTATGCGATACGATAGGATCCTAGTGCCATTTTCAATCACCTCCAGACTAAGATTTCAAGATGCTGCGAGAGAAAATACATTCCTGCGCTGAACATAATGCTTTGTGGTTTGACCCAACCCTTCAAAAACGCAGCAAACAGCACATAATTCACATGAACTGCATCATCCCGCTCTAATACATAGTGTGGAGGTGATTGAAAATGGCACTAGGACGCATTATTATCCGGATAATCCGGTTAGTCATATCGCATAATCAGAACCCCCTCTATCGCTCAGATTGGTGTGGCATGCATGTAATGTTTTTTTTTTTTAAACTGCGGTGAGGCGCATGCCGAAGGTCTATAAAAGGGGGGCCTTTTCCCTCTTTCCTCTTTCCTCTTTACCCATCCTCGACTCGAAAGCATCTGCGCAACCCTCATCGCGACTCTCAAGTCCAACCATGAGAATGCAGATGGTGGTGCCGAGGACCTCGCCCACCCGATTACAACCAACTGGAACCAGCGCAGCCTCGGAACCAACAAAGCTGTTATTATGCTGCCACATATGTTGAGCTTGGTTGGTATGTACTGATGGCATCTCTTGTCATTCTGTCATTCATCTCGCTGACATGCATTTTTTTGTAGTCTCTAAGCCTCGTCACTGAACATCCTCTGGCTTGTGACGCTGCCCAGTCGATTCGCTCCTGGATGCAAGAGTCTGGCTTCAATGCCATCAAGAGTTCCAGATCAAGGCCTAGTAGGGACCGCGTGTGGGGGTGGGCAATTATCCGGTTAGAACCAACCGTTACGTGTTTCGTGTATAATTGCCTAGTAGTAGCTTAGCTTTTCCGAACCAGTTGTCGCTGGTTTATTCCCTGGTGTAGTAGCTAGTGCCAGTTTCTGTCACCTCTACACTATATACCTCGTACAGCCATTATGAAGGACCCGCGCCTGTTCATTTAAAAATATCATCATAACGACCACAATTCGGGTTGTGTGTGTTTGTAGAGTGTGTTGATTCCCTACCCAATATGGGAAAGCGAGAAGATTAACAAAGAGGTATAAATCGGGGAGTTCCCATCCTGTGAACATAGATAGCATTTGACAAACGGGTTTATAGAACTGAAAACCGAACCCCTGCTACAAACAAAGGAAAAAAGCAAATATCGGCAAACTTTGTCCGCACTTTTGAGCGTCACTTGAGCCAAACAGCTACCTATTACATTACTGACTCGGACGATCCAAAACAAATGCAGAATAGTCTGGTTTTTCGTTACAAAGGACGAAAAATACAAACTGCAAGTAGCGGAGCGCCCGCTGTGGGTGTCGAACCCACGACCTTAAGGTTAAAAGCCTCACGCTCTACCACTGAGCTAAGCGGGCCTGGCATTTTGCTCCTGGTACTTGAATTCTCCATCTATAATATCTTACAGAGCATCTGTGGCGCATGCGCACGCGTACTGCTGGGTTTGCCCCCCTCTTGACATCATCAGCAAGGATTTGCCCTGGCACGCTCTGCCCAGCCTCTCCTGTCATCCAATCGTTCAGCCCTTCCATCACCTTAAACTCACAGGATTCGCTTTCCTTTTACCCTTTATTTTTTTTCAGAAGGCAAACGATCGTCTGTCGACCGGTTTCTACTCATACGATTCTACATCAATTCTCACACCCGTCATTGTTAACCACAAGTGTCTCCCCAAGTAATATCTGCTATATTGCCCCGAACTGCTCTCAACTCGACAGTCCTTGAAGATTCTACAATGTGGTTGCTGTCAAAGATATGGCACAAAAGAAAGCAAAAGCCTACAAAGACTTCCAAGAAAAAACCTACCAATGCGAAAACCGGCGTGCGTCCTACCCCCGTCTTTGGACCTCCCAATCAGACGTCCAACACCAACAAGGCACCTGCGATTTCGGATTCAGTGTTGGAACAGGATCCAGAAGAGAGGGTACTAGATCAAGCACCGACACTCCCACCTTTGATCAAAGTATCTGATGTTGATGAGGGGATTGACATCCCGGCTGTGGACCATCTAGCAGTGACCACTGCCGATGACCTGGTACCAAGCAAAGCTTCTCGAAAGAGCTGGGAATCCGATGAGACGCATAGAATTGAGTCTGATGAGGTCACCATAAAACAATTCGACAACCATGACAAGAGTGAGGACATCAAAGATGGGAAGGAATGTGCGCACGAACTGCCGAGGTGTCCAGCTATTGATATCTCGCCACCCCGAAGTGCCGGCTCAGACGAACTTTCCGGAAACACGGTCAATAATGATTCTCTCTTACTTTCGGAACCACTCTCAGGATATTCATGCGATGAGTCTTCCGATGAAGGAGAGGACGACATCTCAGTTACTGCTTCACTACTCGATGAATATACAACCGCTGATCGGGATCGACGCCCTTCAATGTGCTCTGCTTATGAACCGAGGCGGCAAGGCCCTTGGATTCGTCCGAAACACAGCAGTCCAGAAATGTCATACTGGCGCTCAAGTCATTTGTGCCGGACAAGTTTGGACGCGTTGAGACACCCGTCGAATGACCCAATTTCGCATAGACCATCTCCCCTTGCGATACCGTTGAACGCCAGCCCAGTCGCGATAGATAATCAGTTCTGGTCCGCTCCGATCGATGCGCAATCGCTCCGTGCATATAGCGTGTGTGAAAATGTAAACACACGAGGACGTGCATGCAGCATTGACGAATTTCGATCCTTGAATAATTTCGATATGGACCCTACTCATCGATCTCCTATGCCTGGTGAACTACTATTATCCTCAGACGCCATTACCTCTCCCGAAGACCTGGCCATGTCAGCTCGCAAAATCCTGGATGAAATACTCGTGATTGCAGCAAGCGTCATGGAAAATGCTATACAACATCAAGAAGCGCAGGACCGTCAAAATGTTCACAGATATTCCCATGTTACCCCGTCACGGCAACGCTCTCTTCACATTCCGCGCACCACCCAATATTTTCACTCACTGGCGTGTTACCGCCTCCTACGATCCTCTCTTTCCAAGATTGAGGCACAAAGGCAAGAGATGGGTGGGGCGAATGCGTACAGGATGGCTAGAGCTCTGGGCCCATTTGAGGATATGTATGAAGAGATAGTTAAGGGAGATATTCGATTTGATAAGCTGGTCAATCACTTGTGCGCAGGAGAAGGTGGTAATCCTCCCATTGGGAGACCTTAAGGCAGGGCGTGGCGTTATCATAGGTGATTCGTAGGTTTTTGTTTTGATCGGGTCTGTTGAGACCAACTATCGTATAGCTTTTCTCGGTGTAATTACATTTAGTCTCCTTTTTCGACCATGCATGCAGATCAGTCTAGTGTTCTTGCACAATCTATATAGATCTGTATGCCTGTAATTAATGAATATATATCTCAGATGACCTCGAAATGTGCCGTCCGGAATAAGCGCAGAGATTTTGGGAATTTTGTCCAAGTATTGTACATTGGGCAATTATATAACATTTCCCTCTGAAAGAGTCTGGGCCCGCTTAGCTCAGTGGTAGAGCGTGAGGCTTTTAACCTTAAGGTCGTGGGTTCGACACCCACAGCGGGCGTATGTATCCTTCGGCGTCGTTTTTGCACCACATGTTCGCAACATGTGGGGCGGTTTACGCCTCCACATCCGCTTCCTTCTTGCCTTTGTCTCCCTGTTAGTAGGCAAATGCGGATTATCAAAACTAGCGTGAGACGGCCAGTTGCTTTTTTCAACACCCTCATATCTGGTCATTTGCACTTTCCGAACAATATATACACAGTGTTTAATTGAAAAAAAAAAAAAAGATTTGACCCCGCAAATCGAAATAATCTATATACAATACAGTGTCAAACTGCACAATAAAATATACACATTCCAAAAAAAAAAGGAAAACGCAAACTAAATTTGCACCCACTTGCCCAATTCTTGTTCTCGCAGATTGGCATTTCCAGTAGGTCCCATCACGGGTACAGTCTTTTTCCGTCGTAACCCATGCACGACATCCTCAATTAATCTTCTCCAATCTCTTAAAAGAGCACGCTGTACGCCAAAAATGAGGAAAACCCAAAAGCCGACTAGACCTGCTACTGCATAGGCCGCAATGACCATCCCATAGGATGGCATGAAGGTGGCGAATCTCTTTGCACATGTAGCGTGCGCTGTTAATGGTGGTTGGGTGAGCATGCAGGCTAAGAAGCCGCGTACTTCCGGGGTAGAGGGTTTGATGGATGAGATCGCGTTGGTCAGAATTTGATAAAAAACCTGGATAGTTCACGAGGTTAGATAAAAGTGTTTTGTGCACCGTCGCTACGGCAAACGAGGAAAAAATAGACTACTCACAAAGTAGGTGACATAGGTTGTCAAAAAGACAGCACCCAACAGCAATGCTCTCCAGTTCAACTTGACCAACTGCATGATCTGCCTTCGGGTGCTCATTGTTGTAGATGCTCCACCGCTAACTGAACCAGGCTTATCCATCTCATATGGCTCATCCTGACTGTGAATCGATGACGCCCGTCGGGCAATCCGCGCAATATGGACAAAGGTCACCAAGTTGGCGAAAACAGTTGGTATGATCAACACTCCTTGCACACCAAATACGTGTTTAATGGCTGAATCGCTGGCGACGAAGCAAAGGGCGCCTGTGGAGGCGTCAATGTCGTTCATGATCACTGCGATCGTAGTGAGGATAGCTGGAAGGCCCCAGCACGCAATCAGGCCGACAGGTTTGTATCGATCCAAAATTGTGGATTTGTGAACGATCGTAAAGTGCCTACATATTAAGTGTTAAAAACGAAATTCCTTGACAGTCCTCCTGAGAGAAATGCGTAACGTACAGGTTCCATATCATATAACAGCCCCAAAACACTGTGGCATGCACGCCGAGTAAAACCCACGCTGCTTGTAGCCCACACAGCTTATTGTTGAAAGCGTTGCTTCGACTCACGCCATCTGCTGCACATTGAATATTCCTCACATTCGGCAACGTCCAGAGAGAGACACCCATCCATATGCAGGCCGCAATGGCAAAGTGTAACACAATGTCTGCTGGGTGTTCTCGTCGTCCAGGTAGAACAGCGTACGAGACAACGACGTATAGAGACAGAATAAACGCTACTAGGTGTACAATCTGGTGCACCCTGACTTGCGTATCAAATTCGCCTGGTGGATGCAGAAACTCCTCAGCAGGACAGGGGGCACAGCAAGGCCCGTTGCAAGTATCGGGCCCTCTTGATAGGGGCCAGTACGGATTGCGAATGAGTGGATATTTACATGGAAAGTCATTGACTATTAGAGCAAGAGTGTGATGTTAGCGCCATCATTCGGGTAATATACTTTTCCGCCATAATACATACCGACGACGGCAAGTTGTTCTTCAGATTTTACACAGGTCCCTCCACTGACGGTGTCATCCACCAAAGGTCTTGTTCGCCCGAACGCTGCATCTGTAGCGCCATCACATGCGGGCAATGCGAACGCAATACCAGCGCTTTCGAGCACAGGTTGACACAGATCAATCACTTTTTGGCAACTGCTTTTACAGACTCTTTCTTCAGTTGGCGTAGTCTGCGTCTGGTTTGCCTCACATCGTGGTAGTTTTTCAGCGCACAAGAAGGCCTGGAGAGCAGACCCGCATTGAAAGTTCAGAAGCTGGATATCAAGGAGTTTCCCTGCGAGTGGCGATGTCTGGAAGGCAGCTTCAAGAACGAGGCTTGCATTTCGGGGCACAGAGGTCTGGTACGTTATACCATAGGCACTACATACGCCTCTATATGGGCTTGGTGTGCATGTCGCTTGGGATGAGGCTGGAGGTGTAAGGAGGACGAGGACGAGGATGAGGGCGAAGAGGACGGATGAATGCAGAGTGTTCAAATGTCCCCTTAATGACATGAGTGCTGACAGAAAGCGTTGTGATATCCTTTAATGTAAAAACAATGGTGAGAAAGAAGTTGAAGGCTCTTTTTGTTATGTTGTCCCAAAGAGAGAGAAGCAATAGAAAAGAGTGGCGTGCCAACCTTTAAAGTTCCTCCTTTCTTTTGCCTCAAAAACAGAGGAAAAGTGTTGCTGTCACAGAAAAGAGGCCAGTTGGTTGCTGTGTGTGTGGTGTGTGGTGGTGGGGGAGAAGAAGGCGTTTGAATAAAAAAATCAGGCGAGTAAAAAGCTGTGGCCACCAACCCATAAATTGTCTCCAATAGTTAAAGAGAGAAGGAAAACCCTTTGAACTTGAGTAATCAAAAGCCAGTGTAAAGAGAGAATTAGTGGACCGGGTCCTTTCCCTCTCCATACCAGCTGCCAGCAACCAAAAAGTCATTTGAAAGAGGAAGATTAGTAAAGAATGTCACAGCCATGAGAGAAGAAAGAGAGGGTTAGCCGTTTGAACTCTTGAGCCGTTGTTTCAAAGTGCCCCCCAACGCCCAAATGTTCCCATACTCTACTTTTTTTTCCAAAAAGGCAAACAACGCGTTTTGCTTGCAAGTTGAAAGAAACCAGAGAGGAACGCCACGCTTTTCTTTTTATTACTATTGGCCGCAAGTTTAAAGTTTGTGGCGGCAGGATTCTTTTTTGAACCATCTTTACCAGCAACCCTTGCATCATTAATATGAACACAGCAAATACACATGGTACAGATGGAATGATGGGACAGGTCAGAGCAGTTTGTCTCCGTGTCCTTCAAATGGGACTGGGTGAATCGTTTCCTCACAGCGGCCAGTAGTGTTGTTTCGCAACCAATGACCAATGTAAAGGATACAGACAGTAATGCAATTGTTTTTTTTTTTTTTTTTTTTGCACGAAACGCATATTTCCACAATGTACCATAGCCAGGAAATGCACCGCAGAGTCTGGTTGTCGGCGAGATATAATAATCTTTAGGGAAACTCGAGGCAGGGTCGTAAGGCTGTGAATACCAAGCTATTCCTCCAAAAGATCATTAGAAGCCTCCTTGTAATGCACACAAAGAAAGGACGCTCCGTCCTCTTGGCTCATATGAATTATTGGACAGCACCTGCTACAAGGAGATATACCCATGGACATTATTACAAAATAAAAAGAGTTTCGCATCCCAAAACCATGTCCCCCTCACATGTCACTCATCGGAGCTTGCGTTTTGGATACATCTCCCAGTGCTGCCGAGTCTTCTACCCGATCCAACACTTGCAGGTTCTAAGCCAAAGGTAACCCAAGTTGCTGGACCTGTCTTGGTGTCCGTTTTGAATGTAAGAGTGGGAGATGGACTTGACGGCCTGTAGCAAGTTTAGTTGGCGCTCGCCAAGAAAATTAAATATTTATGAAACGCATCGAGGCCCGGTTGCTGTAAAGGACATGACCGTAGGAAATTAATTGCAATGTGAGGCGGAATTCTTGAATATGAAACGATCGCAGATGGACTGCAGTCCAGCGCGAGACATTTACATCACCAATAGTGATACGGAGGAGTATGTTCAGTGAGATATTTAACCACGAAGAGTGCTCATGTCCAAAAATGGATAATCCCGGCTCAAATGCAATAGATTCCTCTAGACATCACGAATGCTCTTGGTAAGATGCTGTTCTTACAACCGATTCAGACAGCCATTGACAGCGTTCTGGGACGTACTCTTCGAGGAGGACACGGATAGAAACATTTAACGGGACAGGTAGCTCCTCATGGCGGTTGTTGGGCCGAATCTTATCCCCAGTATATTTCGTACGATTTCTACATGATTTTGTTTTTAGAAAAATAGCGGTCTGCATGCATAGCAAAATCACAAGGCAGGAGACGGGCAGATGGCACAGTTCGCGGATGTTTACGTAAGCAGAATGTTTCGATTTTTTCCTTTTGTTCTGCGACTGGGCTTACAATACTTACGGAAAGCCGCCATTATTATTCTTCTCGTGAGGGTCCGATTGTGGATCAGCACCTGGGCGTGATTCATGTCCCTCGGGCATGGAACGCTTAAAAGGAGTAGGGGAGAGTACCTCCCCACCGTTATCTGATACCTATTCGACCAAAGTTCATGGAAGGCACACATAGACCCCTCGCTGTCCCATTTCACATTGCAGCAGCAGCGGCTTCGATGCCAATGACATCGCCCTCCGCTCGGCAGATGGCTGCTTGGATGACACGCGCGCGAGGGCGGTGGGAGGAGCTACATGTGCCAAAGTTCAAGAGACACAGTGCTTTGGCGGATTTGGTGTTTGGATCGGCGGCGGGTCTGACGAGCAAGTTGGTTGAGCATCCATTTGATACCATCAAAGGTGCGTTTCCAGACATAAAGTAACGTTGGTTTGGGCAAAAGTCTGACCGCAGTTCTTTTGTGGTAAATTATAGTGCGTCTTCAGACTCAACCCGTTGGAGGAGGAGCACGTATGTATGCAGGTTCATTGGATTGCCTGCGAAAAACCATTGCTGGCGATGGTCCAGCTGGCCTGTTTCGCGGAATCGCTCCACCTGTAAGTGCCAAGTTATCGTCTCCCTCGATCAGTCATTATCTAATATCAGTGGTCAACGCTATGACAATAGTTGGTCGGATCCATGTTGGAACACGCTGTTCTCTTCTCCGCCTATGTCGGATTTAAGCCTGTTGTGCACTCTGTTCTCGCGGGCGATCCAGTTTCCAGCGCCGACGGCAATTACACGTACACAGATATTGCAGTCTCGGGCGCGTTAGCAGGGGTCTTTGCATCCTTCGTCCTGACACCACTGGAACTTATCAAATGCAAGCAGCAAGTGTCAGAATCTCCCTCATCCAGCGGTCCTGCCACGTCCCGATCGAGTATTGCCATTGCCCTCGAAACACTAAAGAAGAATGGTATATCCGGTCTTTTCCGAGGCCAGACTGGTACTCTCCTTCGCGAGATGGCCGGGGGTGCTGCCTGGTTCGGAATCTATGAAATCGCTTGCAACACTTTTGCCTCCAACACGCGCAAGAGAGAAGAGTTAAAGCCTTGGGAGCTGATGCTTTCCGGTTCTCTTGCTGGAATCGGCTACAATTCTGCCTTGTTCCCAGCGGATGTCGTCAAGAGCATTCAACAGACTGAAGAGGAGATGGCTCGCTTGAACAGCACGTTAGGGACAGCCGTGCGACGACGAGCTTTTATGGACGTTGCGAAAGGGTTGTATCATGGAGAAGGTATCAAGGGGTTTTATAGAGGCTTTGGTGTTACCCTTTGCCGGTCCGTCCCGGGCAGCGCAATTATTGTGGCAACCTATGAGCTCATGTCAAAATACTGTGCCGAGTAGTCAGGGGGTAGTATAGGTTGGATGATATCCCTTTTTTTTGGCTTTTGCGCAATGTACATAGGTAGAGAGATTAGATACGTCTTCAGGATTAGACTAGTCAATACATTTGTCCAATTATGATTTATTTCTGGCTTGACCCTTTCAGCACTGAATCATGATTGCCCCATAGTACACACGAATTGGCGTGTTTCCACGTATTTAAGGATGAAGAAAGAAACAATTACTTTGGAGTTCCATCAAATAACGCATAATACTCAATGGATGAAACGGTGCATCTCTATCTTTTATTTAGCCACGGGCGGCCTTCACGTCCGGGAAAAAGTCTTTGTAGGAAAAGTCCAGGACTTGCTTCCGTTTGGTATGGTTGGTATGTATGCTGTGATAAGGACTACACCTGTCAACACAACAACTTATAATAAACCAGGATCATTGAGAACTGGAACATATTCTCTCACCTGTCACCTAACCCTATCCATCATGGTCTATACTTCAGTGGCCAGTGAACCGCACAGACAGCCAAATGATCGGCGATTACATCAGCGTATTTGACACGTCAAAAAGCCTTGTCAAAAGCTGCGATGATGCCTGTTGCCACTTGCTGCTCATTGCGAACAAAACAGAGTAGACTGCGAGAAGAATGGAAGCAGAAGCATCTAGCGCCGGAAAAAAACGAAAGCATCCCGACAATGACATCATAACTCTGAATGTCGGTGGGTCGGAATACACGACAACAGTGACCACCCTAACATGTCGCTATCCCGAGTCGTTCTTTGCTACCTTGGCGCGTTATCATGTTGAACACGAGCAGCCTTTCCGAGCCGCCATGAAAGACAATGATGGACGATTATTCCTGGACGCTGACGGTCCGTCATTTGGCATGCTTTTGAACTTTTTAAGATCCGGTTGTATGGATTTACAACAATGCCAGGTGAATATGTTATACCCGTTTTTGGATGCTATTAGACTCTGGGTTACAAATGCATGCTTCGATTAGATTTTGGAAACTCTTCGCGCAACTGCGGACTATTACAATCTGCCTGAGGCAGTGCGTCAAATTGACCTTGAAATATCCCGTCGAGACAAAATCTCCTACTTGGAGGAACAAACCCGGTCGCTTCGCAAACAACTCAAGCAATTGAGAGAGTACGTGGAAAAGATCAAACCAGGAAAATTGGTTGATCCAAAGTTTGCCAGAATGGGTGAGAAAGTGCAGAGCACATTGGTTCGGTTATCGGTGCAACAACCACGATGTGGAAAGATTGTTGGAATCAGGCAGGATGAGGTGTGGGTGCAATGGGAAGATCGATCTGTCAGCATCTGTAGATTGCGGGAGAAAACCGGCGTAGGTTTGAAATACGTGTGATGTTTAGACCTTTTGTGTTGCGCGGCGCCTATGAATTTTGTCGGAGCAGCTTCCATATATATATATATGTCAGAAAGTACCATACAACGGATATTCTCATGTACCTGCGAAACTATTCGCATATGAGAGGAGTAATATACAGAATAAATTACCAATATCGCAAATCTAAAACTTGCGAAAATCATCGAAGCAGAGTTCGAACAACAATGAGGTCTTTGGCATGAGTTGGCCTGGGTCATAGAAAAGTGTTATCGCGCTTTATAGCGACGTACACGGAATCGCCGATGCAGGGTTGGCGGAGTCGTTGGGGGTGGTCTATCAGGACAAAGAGGATATCAACAAGTATTTTTCATTCAAAAGATGCAGCTGGTCGTACCTCGGTATTAGGTGCGGGTTGTGAGGAGGAAGAGAAGGCAATTGTACATTTTGAGGAATTGATTTGGACGGTCCATTCGTCCATTCTATGCTAGGTGGTGTGAGCGGATCAGCAATGGAGGACCGTTGTGGGGCTGTCGGCTCCGTGACTGTCGCAGAGCTAACCGTCTTGCTCAGGCTGACTCCAGGATCGCCTGGCAAGTCTCGCAACATTTTTTCTATCCGTTTATAGTCCACTGGATCTTCATAATCCAATCCTGCTAGATATTTCCACATCTCTACCATGGGAGAAGGTAGACCGTAAGTTACGTGTCCCTCTTTTCCAACATCCGCTTCGTGATAGGCAGCCTTAATAGTTGCAATTCGGTCCTTTTCTTTTCCTCGCCAAGGTAATGAGCCAGTGATGAACTCCACCAGCAGATAAAAAAATGTCCACATGTCATCTACAGGTCCGAGGTCTTGACCTTTGTGTGCTCGAAGTGAGGCATAGCGGGAGGTACCACGAAATCCTACTTTTGGTCGAGCCTACAAGAGTATTCATCAAGTTTCCAGACAGGCATCAGAGTCACAAACAGGGAATTGTAACCGACCTCTCTGATTGTGCCATATCCATTTAGGAACTTTCTAGACAGCCCAAAATCAATCATATACACCCTTGCTCCGGCGAGCGGTTTATCCAGCGAATAATCTGGCCCGACGCAAAAGTTTCCTGGTTTGATATCCCGATGCACAACACCGATGCCATGTAGCGCTTGAATGGCTTGTAACATCTGAAGAGCGAGCTCGGTCACAGTCTGGAGCGGGAAACGATGACCGGGAGTATTTCTGCGAATTTCAGACAGACTAGAAATATGCCAAAGAACAGGGTGGATATCGCAGGTCTGTCGTTAATGTCACTGCATGTGCAACCTACTTTGGTCCCAATAGCTGCATCACCATAAAGTGATACACCGGTAGCGGCTTTGCATCCTGTCCAGCCTTCTTCTCGGTATCATTGCTCGTAATTGCAAATCTTCCAGATCCAACAAATTCAGCAATCCAATGACTCGAATTCGACCCGGCAACACCCAGCTTCCTCAATATTGCAATCTCCAATTTCAAGACCTGCTTCTTACTCGTAGGCGGCTCAATTTTAATAGCGACAGGCTTCTGGGTATGGAGATCAAATGCAGAATGAACTTCTCCAAAAGCACCCTTTCCGATTGGGTGAAGCTACAAAAAAAACCACATGTTAGTTTGTGAATGATTGCAATGACACGATGATCTATACGAACAATTTTCCACCGCTTGTGAATAATAACTCCTTCTAGGTTGGGAGTAGAGGACATGGACGAGGTACAATTGACGGCCGTAAGCATTCTGCATTGGGCTGCAGTTGCTCCCAAGTTCCTCTGGGCTTTGCTATGTAAAAACAGATGATGACAGAGCTAAGGTCCGTGCGCAGCAAAACGCGTCCTCGTAAGCGTTCGAATATGACGCGGTGCAAGGATCTGGACCCGTGTTCCCCGTGTGGGATGCACTATTGTTTGCTGTTTCTGAGGGTTAAAGCAGACTGGTTCGATAGGACCAATGGCCACTAGTTACGCACTTGGTTCAACCTTCAACATGTATCGACCCAGGCATTTGGTCACTAACTCTTCTGGCGCTTGGGAGTCGCGACACACATGTTAGCGCTCGTAACTCGGAAGCTGTAAGTCTCTGACATCTGGATTCATTGGCTTCATTCAGACTTAGAGAGCAAGGGTGCTCCGCTATCAGAGGAAATTAAACCTAGTGTGACTCATGCACAAAAGTCTGTTCTGCAGCTTGAATGCCTTACAATATTGCTTTCCACTGTCCAATAAGCCAACGTACAAAAAAAAGCGAATTTCGACTGCCCAGTGTGACATGTATGATACCTCTGGGGCTACGAAAACACCAATGCGTGAACTGATTGCAGATTGGCACCAGATCATTGCAATGATACGCGCTGTTTCTCCATTCTATGCGCATGATACAGCCTTCGGAGTAGATGGGCGGATATCATAGAATTCACATCAATAAAGTTCGCTTTTCTATTCTATTCATTGGACAAATTCCGTGGATCCAAAAGGCACTCAACCTGCAAGGCTGGGAGGTGGGAAACGAGATCCCTCTTACCGGTCGTCACAGTCGAAAGTCATTGAGAGATATTTTGTCCCCATGGTTCCTTGCGTTACTAATGGGCTTGAATTTCCCATGACTTGGAAACTTTAATTTAAAGTGACGCGTGGCTTGAATGTGGGGTGGGGTAAGATCTCTGACCTCGACCATTTAGTCATTGCATTCTGAACTACCTTCCACGCCAATGACATCTCAGCTGGACACTCTTCTCAATGTGTTGCGAACGACAACTGTCGCCGGAGTCTCGCTTTCGACCATACTTCAAGGAGCGGCCATAGCTATCATTGGTTCGTTTGCCATTTCAAAACTGTCTGGCAAGAAACGTACCGTGGACGCTGCGAAAAAGCCTCGTGATACTGTCCTGCTTTATCAATTCTACACATCAGATAAGGCTAAAGTTCAACTGGTATGCCATGGGCGTTTTGTCGGACTCTTGGATCTCCGAAAATGAAATTGATAGTTCTTGTTCGTTTTAGTCTCCGCCCTGTTTGAAGCTGGAGGCATATCTGAGGGTCAACAAAGTTCCCTACAAAGACTGTCGTGTACACTCTCCCGCAGGATCTCCTAAAAAGACGGCCCCATATGGTATGTATCTTTACCTTGTAATGTTTGGACTTGCATTATCCTTCTTGCTCATAATCCGATTTCTTAGTCGAGTACAATGATATGGGAATGGCTGACAGCACGTTGATTATCGACTGGCTTGAGAAAAATGGGGTAGTTTCTCCCATGGATGCGCATTTAACGCCTGGTAACCGCAATCTTTGGCGCGTTCCCACATGTTCAATTATTGACAATGGCCTTACAGTCGAAAAGGCGCAGGTTGAAGCATTTCGGTATCTATTCGAAGAAGGACTCTACTGGCAGGTAGTTAGTTCAAGCTATCTACAAGAACATCCAATCATATTCTCATCATTCGCATCCCAGATGTTGCATTCTCGTTGGCAGCACGACCCAAATTGGGCATTCGTTCGCAATTTGTTCTTTTTCAAGGTTCCTGGCATTTTCAAGTATATTCTAGCTTTCCTCGTTCGCAGAGGTCAGGTTAAGGCCTTGAAAACACAGAAAATCGGACGCCATACTTTTGAAGAGACTCTAATCTTTAGTGGCAAAGTAATCCAAGGTATGGTCCCATTACAAGACATGTGTCTTGTTGCAACCTCGCTACATTGCTATTTAAATTGAACTAATCAAATGTAACAGCTGCATCGGACTTGCTTGGTGATAAAAAGTACATGCTAAGCAACACACGAATGTGTAGTCTGGATATGATCGCATTCGCCAACCTGTCCAATGTGTTGTACCTGGATCTACCTGATTCGCGAATGCAGCAACAAGTGGTGAGCAACTATTTTACAGTCAAATGCAAAAGCGAGTAGTTCTTTAAATCATTGAATTGGGTACCCCATTAGGCCGCCAAGAAGAATTTAGTAGACTACTGTGATCGAATGATGGCTGAAATATTCCCTAATGGCTATGGCCGTTGATGTTTACAGGTGTGTTTGCCTTATTTAATTCTGTTTTTTATTATGATGCTAATATAACCCTCCCTATTCAAGTGACACTATCTGAAATACCAATCTACGAACTTTTTGCCTTGAGGATACAAGTGGACATTAGAATCTAGATGTTACCTTTCACATTCTGTTAAATCTAAAATGTCAACTATAAGTTCCTTGATTCGCTCTACCTTCCCATCACTGTCCTCTTTTCAAAAATGGCATCTGTTAAACATCCATTTGAAGCGCCATACACACAGCATCACAGTACCAGCTTACAAAAAACCGGCCACCGAACCTTCTTCCGAAAGGACACATCCCCACACCCGGCAGCGAGGTACACTCTGACTGAATTACAACGTACTATCATCTAATCGGATCTTTTGGCCAAAAAAATTCAAGCTGGAAGGAAGGAACTAGCTGCCACGTTGTATCAAAAAAGTCAACAGCTTCTCGTCACCACCCAAAAAATGTAGTTGTTAAACTGACTTTAGTGCAAGTCAGAGTCGTCGGTGCTCTGCCTAATATCTCCCGACCGACACTGACACAGTTTCATCATATTGGACAGCGAGTCGAAAGCCAAATCATGCTTATAAAGTCATGGAAAAGAGCTTGTTCATCGTCGCCTGATGCGGGATCCTGATGCAACCAACATCGGCGACCCGTGTTACTTCTCAAACCCCCATGTAATTTATTGTTGAAGCGGTGCGGATATTCCTCGCATCCTACACCATCTTGAGGTGACATGTACAGGATCGTACCTGCTTACTGCGATAAGGCCCAGCATCTTGGTCAATTGTCGCAAGGCCGAGCGAGAGCCATCAGGCAACGAATTGCATTCAGCCAAAAATCCAGAGTACTTGGACCGCCGTGAGGGTAGTCAGTAAGGTCATCCACCTTGCAAACATCTGCGGCGTCATTCAACAGGGTATGACTGCAGAATCCACCTTGATAGTATAGTGAGATGCGGCAAAGATACGGCTTGCAAAATAAGAGGGATCAATTCATTTTATTGATAAATAAACATCAGCGTAGGCAGGGTAATTCTATAATTCAAACAGAGAACAACGGTGGTCGGCCACACTAAATATGTCCACACAACTAATATACTTCAAGGATGTATCGCTCCTCTTCCTTCAACGCCTCCAATAATTCCGTCGCCTCAGCCTTGGTCATCTCACTCTCAAACGCCTTCACAAGCGCATCTCTCACGTCCGGCACGGGCCAAGTAGGTCCACAAAGGTAGAAAGCACCCTTTTCCTTCAACATCAATCGACCGAGCAACTCAGTGTCCTCTGTAATCTTGTGCTGAATGTACACCTTTTGTTTCTGGTCACGAGAGAAAGCGAGACGCAAGTATGTCAAAAGCCCATCCGCGTGATAGGCTTCCATTTCCTCGCCGTACAGATATTCCATTGCACGGTGGCGCGATCCAAAGTAGAGGACCATTGGACCAACTTTCTTGCCCTGCGCCTTCCAGTAGGCACGTTCTTCAATGAAAGCACGGAAGGGCGCCATACCCGTTCCGAGACCCGACATGATCACGGGTTGGGTGAGTGATGGAGGAAGCTTCATAACGGATGGCTTGATGGTGACTGTAAGGGTTTGTCCAATGGCTGCATCGACAAGGTACCGGGTACATTGACCGAATCGCTCTTTGCCGGACTTGGTACGCCAGTCAACGAGAACAACTAGAAGGTGTACACTGTCAGGGTGCATGCTTTGCGCGGACGAGATCGAGTAGTGACGTGGTTTGATAGCGGGAATAAGATTCACAAGGTCTTCAACAGGTGGGTGGCAGGAGTCAAATTTGACTAACAAGTCGGCGTAGGTGGGCGTTTCATTGTCCGTAAACTTCTGCATGGCGTCCGCATCCGAAAGAAGATTGTGAATCTCCTCGTGTTGCTTAGGGTCTTTGGTGTATCCTAGCATTGCCTGGTAGAATTTTCGACCAGGCTTACCAAAAACGTCCAAAACCTGCGTGAACATTTGCGCAATGGTGCGAACTTCCGATGTGCTTTCACCGTCAGCCGTCTTGCGGTCAACGTACACAACGTCCAGAGGGTTGACACCATAAAATTTAAGGAAACGTTCCACTTCAGCAACATCATTATGTCCATGAACTCCCAAGGCTTCTCCAATGGCATACTTGAGCCCAGTCCCCTTGATATCCATTTCAATGTGGAAAACATTCCTGTCGTAGGTATCAGGGGTGACACGACGATTCTCTGTCACCTTGATTTGATAGGCACCTTCGATATCCGGACGGAGTTTCTTCTCCACCTTGTAAGCTTCAGGAAAGATGACGGGCCAAATGGCGGCATGGCTTTTAACAACACGCGCCGTAGTTTCCTCCTCTTCTTCGACCAGGGGCAATTTTGCAAATGGTAGAGAGTTAGCGACCAGGTTGGGAAGGGAAGCCTTCGCCTCAGGGGTCGGAATATTTTTCAGGGTGACGTGCTGAATCTTGCTCAATGCCCGCTGGATGGCACCGAGCTTCGTCACGATAACACTGCGATCCGTCTCTGACTGAGTGACGTGCTCACCCAAACGCCTGAGAGTAGCAGGGAAGTCGATACCCGGAGCAACCTTCAGGAAGACCGCCTGGAGAATCAACTTCACATACTCGGTGTGAACACCCTTGAATAGCGTGAAATCCTTGGCGATGCCGTTGGCGTCGACAGTTAGCACGTCAATCTTGCGTCGAGAAATCTCACTTTTGATCACATCCGGAACTTCTTTGGCTAGATCATCGCCGGCGAGGTGAGTGTTCAAGACTAGGGAGCCACCATGCTTCACGCTCTGGGCGACGTTATAACGTTGAAGCAGCGACAAATCATGGACAGCAGCATAGTCTGCCGAGTGAATGAGATGGGGCGCCGTGACATTCGAAGTGCCATAACGAAGATAAGTGACGCTAGCAGGATCAATCTGAGTATCATCATGGGCGGTGTAACTCTGAACCGCCACCTGAGGGCCATGCTCCATATCGGCAACAATCTCGGTGCTAACTGCTGAGGTGTGCGACTCCTGAAGATCCCAAAATACCGCTTGAGAAACACCTTCTGCAACATAACGTGCATCTGCCTCAGGCTCCACTGTCTTGCTTTCAAGGACAAAGTCAAAGATTGGGTTGGGGGACGCTGCGTTCCGAAAGAGTTCTTCGACAGCTGCGGGATGGAAATTCTGAATGCCAGCAGCGAAGTGCCCGTTGATGATCGCAGGTATACGGCCTGACCAATGACCTGTGTAGAAGCAAGCTGTGACATCGAGGAACAAGGGCCCATGTCCACTTCCGGCTTTGCCAGATTGATCGATGACCGCCAATCTCTTGACACTCTTGGGAAGGGCGTTGACGAAGTGTACGGCAGACCATGGACGGAGCAAGCGGATGTTAAGAACACCCACTTTAGCACCCTGGTGATTCAAGCGTGTGGCAGCCTCCTGAGCGAGTGCCGCAGCCGGACCCATCGTGACAACTACGGTCTCAGCATCGGGAGCTCCGCTGTATTCAAAGAGCTTGTATCGACGACCAAAAGCGTGTTCGAGTTTGTTCATTGCGTCCTCCACAGCATGCACAAGGTCCCGACTGTCTGCAGGCACTTGTGCAACATGTTCAAGGTCCTTGTATTCAATGACCTTAGCCTTCACAGTTTCCCTCGCAATCCGGGCACCATCGAAGAAGTGTAGAATTGGCGTTTTGGCCGAGTCTGCCGCAACATGAGCAACGATGGCGAGATCATGAGCTTCTTGAACGCTTGCAGAGTTCAAGAGACCAAATCCAGTGTAGGAGGCAGCGATGATGTTGGAGTAATCCGTGATAACAGAGAACTCGTTCGTGATACTTTGGGCAGCAACGTGAAATACGACTGGTTGACGTGCGTGGGCAATTTGATACATGGAGGGAATCATCAATGGAAGAGCTTCAGAGGAAACAACCGCTGTGACCTTTGCACCAGTAGAGATTGCTCCGTGAACCGCGCTCGCTGCTCCAGAACGCGTGCTCATCGTGGCCACCTTGTGCGATTGTCCATATGCATTTGCGACGGCGTGATCAGCCCAAGTTATCATCTCTTCACCAACGTATCCCGACGTCGCAACAGGGTAGATGAATGATAGGTCGGTCAAGCCGTACGCCACATGAGATGCGGCTGTGTGGCCATTAATGCATTTGACAGTTCCAATGCGTTCGGACGCTACGGCTTTTTTCTCGGTGATAGCAGAGTACGCAGAGAACGGTTTGGCCTCGGTGCTAGGCCGCGACACAGGAACTGACGTGACCTGGGAAGTTTTGGCGACGTGCTGCAAAGGTTGTGCTCTATCGAGCTGGACCACCCGCCCAATAATCAAAGTTGCCAAACCGACGAAGTTTGCTTTCCGCGCTAGTGCGGCGATCGTGGAAACAGTAGCCTTCAGGGTCGAATTCCCCTGGGCAACGGCAACAGGAAGGTCTTCTGGATAACCATTCTGCAACAGCACCGCTGCTACATTCTGCAGATGCGCTGTGTCCACTGAGGCTACAACCGTTGCTGAGCTACGGTAGGTTGGGTACGCATGCGATCCCGATTTCACCAATACAATGTTATCAGCAACTCCCTCAGCTGTCAGCGATATTCCGGTAAGAGATGGCACGGCAAATGCAGACGACATCCCAGGCATGATTTGCGCTTCGAAACCATTTCGACGGAAAAAGCCAACTTCGTCTGCTGCCCCACCGAACACGAGTGCATCACCAGACACCAAGCGTACAACGTCATTTCCGCGCTTGAGGGAAATCAATGCAACTTCCTCCAATTGTGCCTCCAAAGCCGAGCGTTTGTTGGTTGGCGTCAATACGATAAGCTGACCGGTTACAACTTCAAGGATATCTTGGGACACGTCAGGGTCAGCTACAACGACATCAGCGGAGTTGATGGCATTGTATGCTGCTCTCGTCAACAACTCTACATCACCCGTTCCCGCACTGACAAAGCGTAGAACACCGCTGCGAACTTTGTAGGGAGCTACCTGTTCACCGCCTTCTTCATAGATCTTTGCAATTCGCTCAATTTCCTCATTCGTGAGCTCCGCAAGTTTATCAAATGGCCAGGTCTCGGAGATGCGAGTGATAAAGCTCATACGACGCGCGGCGGCTGAAGGATCCGCGGCCCGCAGACGCTGTCGCAACACACTGAGACGCTGAATTGCAAGTCCAGCATTTGGTGGAAGCGAGTTCGCGACGTAACGTCTAAGCTTGCCAGCGAGATGTGGTCCATTGCCGTTTGTTGAAACGGCAACCTGTAGGGCATGATCACGGTATGTTGACATGAACCAAAAGTCCGATACCTCTGGGGCGTCGGCTACGTTAACGGGAACCTTCCTTTGTTTTGAAAGAGCGGCAACGTGTCTCGACCCCTGTGCATTCTCCCATGCTACCAACACCATAGACTTCCCCTCCAAATCCCTCTCTACGAAATCTCGGTTAAACCAGGTCAATTCTCCTCTATTGACGCGAGCCCGCAAAGACCCAGACAAGCTGCTCTCTGGTGCGACGAGAGTGACATATGCGTCTGCTTCAAGGGCGAAAAAAGCTCGTTGAGCGGCTACATCGTTTCCACCAACCACTAGCACATTCCTAGAGGTAAGACAATCAATAAAATGTCCATTCGTCCTTGAACCACAAAGACATGTCCCATACCTTCCAGCAATACTCCATGCGAGGATAAGGGAAGCCCCGCCGCGCGCGACGGGAGCAGCTTCTTCAGCTGTGAGAACCATCGCAAAGGTGGTGCGCTGAACAAGCGAAAAAAGGGAATGGGGGAGAAATAAAGTCGGACGGGATGAAAGGCCAAAAGGTCAAAAAGGCCCCAGAATAAAATATAAAAAAAAAAAACAGCTGCTGCAAAACGTTCTTTTGATGAGTAATGGGCATTTTTAAAAGATCTAATCAAATCCCAATCCAACAAAAATTACGAATTCACCATCCAATCAAAATCGGAGCTGATCGCACCATACAATATGCCTAAATATAGATATATGAGATATTATCTAATTTTTAGGTAAGCAACAACTCCTCACGATCACTTTCATGATCAGTTGGCAAACATCTTCCTCCGTTCAAAGGTTTAATAAAGGTGGGCCGTGCAAAAAACCTAGACGGCACAAGTATTGCATTTATTTTGATTACTTTATTACGTGTGTCCGAATGACTGCATGTGACGTTGCATGCTGCTGAGTGTCGTCTGTCGTGTTCGCCATGCCCTGCAATTTCCTCCTTTTGCGATCAGCGATTGCAAATGAGCTCCTGTGCAATATTGGAATGGTATTTAATGAAATATCTACTGAAAAAGTGTGATGCAGATGAAAATCCCTCTGGACATGACCAAGAAAGACTAGTGAACTATAAATATATCGGAGCATTCCTCGGAAAGAATTTGTTTAATGACGACCCTTAAAATTCTCGACTTGTTCACAAATCCAAGCCATCCAATGTTCGGACATTTATCCCAAGATCACATATTCAAACATTTATAACGTATACTTCATGTAGTGTGCAACTCAACACTACAGTTTGTGCCATGTACTCGAGATCTGAGAGAAAGTTTCTGGCACCCGATGCAGATCATGCGAATCCAAACCTAGGACCAGGCTGCTACACAGCTGATGAGCCAGCCCTCATCGCAGGAAAGATCCTTGGAAATGAAGGGTAAGATGCTGGTTAAATTGCAAAAATCGTATGCATCGCCAAAGTAGACTGTTCTCTTTAGTTATGCGCCGTTCTCTTCCCTCACACCTCGAAAGTCCTATTTTGATGATGTCGTTGTTCGAGGTCCAGCCCCAGGAGCATATGCCACCGAAGTACTTCGGTCGGCATTACACAATCCTCAAAAAGCACCAGAGTTTGGCAGATCCCAGGTATCGAGATTTGGCAAGATCGTCAGCCAAACGCCAGGACCTGGGACCTATCAACCACCAGATGGTCTGACTCGAAAAGCTCCTCGACCAGCTCCTAAAGGATTAGAGCAAAGTAGCAGAACACATCCTTTGACTCGGCAACCATTAAAGGGCACCGGCTGGGGTGTCGTGGGCGAGAGCCCGCCAGCTCATTCGATACCCACCCAAGAGCAAAATGGGACTCCTGATGTGCCACCTGACGCTGGATCCGACGCTCCCCCGCCTGTACCAGAGAGTTTGCAATCAGCGGAACTGGATTCCTCCACCCCTGCGGTTAGAGGACGGGTAATCCTACAGGGACGTCAATCTGCGCAAACGTCACCAGTCGGATCAAGCAGCAAAATTATGTGGAAACGAAAATACGGAGCTCCTAGCATTCCAACCAGCCGATTTGCGTTTGGATTTCAGGAGAATGAAGGTGTGTCCCATTATATTACTTGATATGAGAGGACCACAAGGCACCTGAACGATTTCCTGACATGAAATTATAGTTGGAGAACTAATTCCGCGCAAACCCCCAAAACGAACCTTGGATGTATGTATTGAAAACGGAAAGTCAGGCTTCCCATCAACACAACAGTAGCTAATAACCATGATATCCCATAAACAGCCAGGACCGGCATATAATACCCTAACATCCTTCGCCGAACTCTCCAAGCACCAACGTCGAGGATACTCTTTTCCTCACTCAAGCGGGACGTCGCGCCTCCAGTTTAAAACACTGGAAACTCCTGCGCCGGGCGTATATGAAAATGCCAAGGTTCAGCAATTTTATAAGAGGGGTGAGTCCGGCAATTCAGCTGCTGTCATGACCCTGGCGCCATGTATCAGGCTTACGGACGAAATTCTGAGCGAATCGAAAAAGAAGGTGAGTGCACGATCAACAAGTATTTCTGTTATGATCTTTCTCCTTAAATCGCTTCGTGTACTAGAATATCCCAGGACCAGGTTCGTACAATATCAAAACTCCAATCCAAGAAAACCTTGGAAAGCGTCGAGGACGCATAAATTTTGGTGGTGAGTATGACGGCTAGGACCGCATGATATTTCTGATTGATTCTCTGGTGCACAGCTGGAGGAGGGCACGCACAAGCGGGATACCTAAACCCCGAGCAAACAAAAACACCTGGGCCTGGAGCTTACTATCCTGAATTTTCTGAAATTCCAAAGGTAAGGGGTGAGTTGTACCGCAAAGCTTCCTAACAGCAGTCGTAACCGTTGGGCAACGTCGTTCTCAGCCACCAGCCGCAAAGCCGCAACCTTTTGGATCTACCACACACCGCTTCGACAACACCGGCGATATCAGAAGCAAAAGTGCACCTGCACCTGGAAGTTATGACGTAAATGAGGTAAAGGAATCATAGCCGAGCTGGACAATAGATGGTAATCCTGAAGGCATGTTATTCTTATCGTAGATCGATAGCATGGCTCGCCGTATCCAAAAACGTGCTATTGGTGTCCGCGCTGGAGCGTTCGGTTCTGTAAGCGAGCGATTTCCCGCTCCTAAAACGGTGTGTACTAGTACTCGATGCATCGCACTATATTACTTAACTTCTGTAAAAGAGCGAAACGCCAGGTCCGGGTAGGTATGACGCGAGCGTTCCACCAGCAGCAGACATCCCAACAGAGGTTCCTGTACGAGCGCTATCAACAGCGAATGCGTCCAGTCGACCCCCAACACGCATCTCACGCCTGATGGGCCAAGGGCCTGGTCACTTCCAGGTTGGAAATCTATATGTCAACCCGGCAAAGGCGCACATTCCTGTTTTTGGAACGCAGACGGAACGGTTTGGGAATGGTGCGCGGGCAGGTGGGTGACAGCGTATCATATGCTGACAAAAAGGTATCCAAGGTTGATCCGCCGGATATCCATGTGTAGACCTACCGCCACCAGGCGCTTACGACGTTGCTGAATCTTTTGATGCCCTTCAATCCAAACATCGAACGCCAAAGACAGGGGGAATGGTCAGCGGAAGCGTACGCGAGGTGTTCCCAGGTGGGTAGGAACGGGAAATGACTGTTCGGGAAAACCTAGCCTAATCCCGCCCCCCTTCCGCTACATGGCTTTAGTTAAAGAGAGAATTCCCGGACCAGGTGAATATGAGCCTCTAACCATTCCTAAAAGAGAAATGCGACGAACAGATGTGGGTGGCTTTCTGACGACGGTAGGTCTGCAACGAATCTCGCAAATTATCCTTGTAGTCTCAAACGCACGCTGTTCAGGATGAGCGGTTCAAAGAAGGCCATAACAACATCCCTGGCCCTGGAGCGTATCTGTCACCAGATGCAAACACTGGACTCCTGCGGAAAACATACAACATCACATTGACGGAATGGGGTAGACGGCAAGTGGCGGCAGCTGCATCTCATGGCGGAATTCCCGTGGTTTGATGCTGTAGCCATATGTCGATTGTAGAGAATGTACAGATATGGGAACCAGGAGACGTGTTTCTAGCATTATCAAATACCGCACCCGGACTACTTCATTCAAAAAATATCAGATAGTTTATTACGTGACGTGAATGACAAGCGGGAAGGTATTGCCATCGATCCATTCTTTACTCATATCAATGCTTCTTCTGTCCCCTCGCGGCTTGACCACTCTTCGGCTGCTGTTGTTGTGGAGCAAACCAATTCGCCAAACTCTGACTGACATCGGGCATTTGCATTGCAGGTGGCTGCTGCTGCCTCTCCTGCATTTGCTGATAACCAATTTGAGCAGCGTTAGACAGTGACCGCTAAGACAATGCATGTAGTGCAGTCATACCTGAACAGCTTCCTCGGGCATGTTGGACATCAGTTTCGGTAATGCAAAGAACATCAATAACGAAAATCCTGACATGAGGATCATGGGATTCGATAGTAGTGACATGGGATTGAAGCCTTCGCGTGGCTAAAAGGAATTTGCAAAATGAGAACAGCTCAATCGGCACCAGATGGTATACAGCGCGACCCTCACCACAAAGAAATCGTACTTCCCACGGGGCGACAGTGCAAGTGGGGTCAACACGAGTGGGCCGAGTTTTGACCATCCCATTCCAGAATATGTTATTGAGGCCATGACAGCAGTCGGTGAAACGTCAAGTCGGATCTGTCAAACGAGGACACCAGTCAGCACGTTATGATATCTAACCACATAAGAGCATTCAGCGAACTCTTATCAACCTTATCGAAATGGTAGAGATGGGAAGCGACCTCCAGCAAGTGTGTTCCCTCCGGAACATCTGGGCTTTGAACCGACATGTCAAAAACAACTTTGTTGGTCTCACAATGACTCGGAGCAGAAGAGAGCACTCACAGTGTAAACGACCCATCCTCCTCCACATAGGCAACCAACTGACCTCCGTTAATCCATACTTTCACGTTCGGGCCTAGCAGATGGACATCTGTCGGCAAACAGTGGAACCAGGTGAGTGATCCGTTATAGTAGAGCTACTCCAATCCACCAGCCATGCTGCGGTCTATTCACAACAGCCCAAGTGAATATCGGAATACTATAGTTACCTGGCAGAACTGAGTTAGTCGTTATTTGCCCAGTCACCAATTGGCCTGCTAATGCCGAACTGGTGAAGAAGCTGGAACGTGTACAGGTTGCTTCCAGTTACTAATCACGAGACACCAAGTGGGCATGAAAAGCCATAACGTTGTACCTTAATAGCACGCAAGCGGCGATGGCCAGCGTTCGGAAGCTCATGACAATCTGGAGCAGGTCAATGCGAATGCCCGCTTCGTCACAATAAACCAAGCTCTCCACTTGAGGCGTGTACAATAAAGCGCGGTTCGAATCTCAATGGCTATTAACCGATCCGCCTGCAAATCTATCATAGACTAGTGTAGAGGATTATGAACAAATCCATCCCTTTCGGTAACTAATGATTCGAAAGTATATTATATCAAATCAATCCTTCGAGATCATTCCCCCTTCTGTGCCAACAGCGCTGCACTCCCAGCTAGAGCTTGCTTAACAGCGTAATCGATTGCCCTTGTTTCCTCGGAGATCAGTAAAGTCTGCAGCCGTTCATTAAGTATACTCATTTCTCGACCATGGGACTCTTTGGCGTCCTTCAATTGCTGTTGTAGTGCATCGATCTGAGACTTTGCCTGTGCATTTTCCTGCAAAGCCGGCAACAGTTCACACTCAACCCTTTATGACAATAAAAAATGACCCTGGGACTTTACCGTTTGCAAAGAGACCACCCATACTTCCATTTCATCCATCCGCTTTTCCAGGGCATCATATTGATGATTCTGCACCTCGTGAGTTTTGGCTAACTGCGTATGTAGCAAGAGCTTTCACTTTTCTTGCAACACAATAAACCTTAAACAAGATCGCAATTTCGGCCCTGACTGGCTTACTTTGGACATTAGTTTGGTACTTCGGCTGCTTAGATCACGTATAAGTTTGAGACAAGTGCGAGTACCCGCTTCTGCATCCTATGCATAACGTAGGTCAGGTGTCCCGGAGAAACTTGGATGATGCTGGCGTTCGACACGTACCTGGTTTTCCAGGTCGGCAAGTGTGTCCACCGAAATTGGAATTGTAGGTTCATCCAACTGAGAAGAAATGCTATTCGTCCAGTGTACGATGCCTTCCGCGGTCTCTCGCAATTCATCAACAGGAATCGTAAAGGATGGTTGAGTTGCTCTTATTGACTTTCGAGAATGCGACCCTTTAGCCATATCCAAGTCAGGGCCTGGCATTGATCAAAACTGCTTTGAGCGGTATATGACTAAGGTCTTCCATAATAGGGCGTACTTTACCTCGGGGAACGCTTTCATTGACTTCGCGTAAGGGTGCTCGTATTTTTTCAGGTACATTAGCAGTGTCCTGGACATCTATCGTTCGATTCGGCTTTCTTAAAACTCGATTCGTTTTCTCCCACACCTTCAACTCTCCTTCAAAGTCGACCTCTCCATGGTGGCCCCACCCTCGGCGCCGTGTGGGTGATGGCGGCCGTATACTGGAGATGCTTATTGCAGGAGGAGCTGTAGATGGGAAGGGATATGGCTTATTTTCATTGTTCTGGAGAGTTGTGGTAATGGGATTTTCTGTTTCCTCCTCCGACTCGGTGGCTTCTGCAGATTTTGCTTGAGCTGCTTTGGCAAACGCCCGAAGCTCATGAGTGTACCTCTCAGCATTTGCTTTCCGTAATCTCTAGAATCGAAATAGCATGAGAAGGTAGCAGAGTTCAGCAGCCTCCTTTGGTCTATTCATATTAACCAGTTGCAGTGGTGACAGTTTCAACGCGGACAAGTCCTGTGTCGTCGAATCCCACTCTTTCTTCTGCGAACTTGTTCGAGGCTTTCGAGCTGCGAATTCTCCGCGAGGGGTGGTAGGAGCCGAACGGCCTCCGTTACGTTTTGTGGGGCGTCTGACCCCAGGAGCGTGAGTACTCATTGGACTGGTTACGTGGACGGCGATTCGCCCACATGGATCTGGACGTCAGGGTTGGTCCGGACCAGTCGGACAATACCTAGCGTGTTTTGTGTAAATATCACCTTGACTTGTCTTATTTCCATTAGTCATATCTAAATACTAACATGCTACTGAGTCATCATCCAAACAGCTTGCATTTATGAGATCCTGTGCTTCGGATCGCAAATTAGCTAATTCCTCAAACAGAGATGATGCATCATCGACTGCCAAGTCACTGAGATGTAGCTGATTTCCAATCTCCATCGCTTTCCTTTCATGTTTATCACCACTATCTGTCGGCAACATTGATATGGACAGATGTTCGCTTTCTTTTCCAGGCTCAGGTGGCTCCATTGTGTCTTTTGATCGGTGTGTATTGCGCTCTTTGGCGCGTCTTCGTCTACGTTTTCGCCGCACGCGCTCATCAGCTTCCATACGATCCAGAAGCGCGTGAAATCCTTTCAACGAGGCTTCCATCAATTGTATTAATGAATCGAGTTGTGGGTTAGGTAGCATTTCCTCACATGGGTCCTCCGTCTCTACAAAACATAGTAAGTTAGACGTTGCCTTGACTTTCCAGATTATCCAAATCCTATGTACCTGCTTCCGTTGGTTGGAAGCTAGCGCGTGAGATCCTTTCATCTGTCCGATCAGCTGATAGTTGCAAAGCTTCATGTCCGTTGACAAGGTCAGGTCGCTTGATTGGGAAAGACGTGTCCCCATCCAAATCTAGTCTCACATCCGGCGTCGACAAAGTCCTCCCAGGGGTTTTCTTCTGCCTCAATAATGTCTCCTCCATTTCTCTTAAGCGCCGCCTCAAGAGGGCGTTCTCTAGTAGGACGTTCATCTCGTTTATATCTCCCGATGGGGATTGTCCGTTTGATGTTCCATTGACCCATGACCTAACGTTGACAGAGTTGAATAAATGTTGTTGCGGTGAAGGTGTTTGATTCGCTCGTTGATTTCCCTTTGAGGCCTGAGGAACCACGACAACACTTCGATGTGGGGGAGATGATACATTACAACCGGAGAAGCTTTTCGTGGACGTAGATTCCTGTAGGAAAGATTACTGAGCATTGAGTATCATAGGGGCGAGGCCGCAGATAATAGTGGTATATACCTTGCCCAATACTTTCTTGGTAGGTGTATGGGCAGCATGGCGTACCGTCAGTATGTCCTTTCCTGGTTTTTTCGTGGGAGCAATACCAACTTTGAAGGGAGGTCGCGGTGCCAGCGGCTGCGAAGAGGTCACTTTGTGCAGTTTCGTAGCGCTCACACTTTGTTGCTTGTATCGTGACACACCTCGAAACTTGAACCTTGGCGGAGGATGGTAGTACGTGTTTTTGAGTGGATCCAAGCCATTCAGCCATCGCAAATCAGGATCATCAGACTGCAATCGCGAAAACGTTAGTTAGTGTGGCAGAAATCAGATGAATCAAAGATGCGAGTCAAACCTTTGTTTGCACTATTTCCCGGTAGCCACCTCCTTCTACTCCCGTTGGAGGATCTTTGTTCGTATTTTCGCTAAGCATTCGGCATACAGCATCCCATAATGTTTCATCTACCAAGCGAAACTTCAGTCACATTGGCTAAGAAGCCACGGCATGCGACACGTTATACCTAACGAATTGCTGCGTAAGTCCACAAGTACTAGCTCTTTATTGAGATGGAGAACTTGCTCCACTACTCTCGCCCCAACATCAGTTATCGCATTAAACTGCAAATCTAATGCTACAGAATGAATCATACATCAGCCTCTACAGTCAAGATCGATGGGAAAATCTCTCACCAACCGAGAAGTCCTATCTCCTCTACCAGCGACTCCATTAGGTAATGCACGCCCGTGTCACCCAAATCGTTATGTGACAATATCAATCGCTTGATGGCTGCGGGTACCCCTTGGACAGATGCTTGAGACGAGTTGGACGTGCTAGATGTTTGAAATGCGGATCGAGTGCCAAAATGTGTCGATCGAAGCGTGCGTTCCCATATAGCGGCCTGCCGCTTGATCGCGCGCCCCTTATAAAGCGAACTTCGTGAATCAATGAGCGTTTCAGAAAGCACGAGGATCAGGATTTCATTCGTACATTGAGGAGGTCCGCCAAAATAGCTCCACCTTTGGCTGTCAGATTACATGCTCCAAAGTTCAAAATTGACAGCGATCGCAGAGTTTTCAAGGAAGGCGAGATCACTTTGATATTGCAGGTTAACTCCCGTCTATCGATGCGTTTCTTGTCATTAGCTACCTTACCATATAGACCTTCGTCACCAATGTGACTACGAGCTAACGAAAATCGTTTCAAACACCTTGCATGCGACAAGCCCTATTCATGGCGTTATCCTCTGCCGGCAGCATGTATGGCAGAACAAAGCACCATACCTTGGAAAGTGTCAGCAGAAACTCCGGCTGCAAAGGGATTCCAGCCAACTCCAGCTCTGTAAGCGTGGAACTAGTTACTAGACAAGCCTTTATGGAGCTAAACAGGCTCAGTCTCAGATATCGTGCAAAAAGAAGGCTCCGATAGTTTGGAAACGCTGAACGGCACATACCTAATTAGATGTTGAACGAGACGCGGTGTGCATAACAGCACAGGGAGTTTTCGGGACGGGTGCCGTTTGGGCTTCCTCCCATTGATATCGGCGCTGCTGCATTTATCTTTTTGTACATAAGAGGCCATATCAGTCTTTGTATTCATGTGAGCACACCACCTCAGAACTCTCACCTGCCGTTCCGTTGGAAAGAATGCGCAACGACTGGGAGTCAGAGTTTCTAAACCCCTGCACTATCTTTTCCCAATCTTCTGGCCGCCGTATGTGGTCAGCGTCTATCGCCGAGGGTAAACGGTGGGCAGGCCCTAAGCTCTTCTCTGTAATGGCCATTATCTGCCAACCAATGGGCAACCGTGTGTTGGTCGAAGACGCGTGCGATCAACGTAATGCGCCACATCGGTAAGCGGTTACGCCACAAGTTCATCAGCAAAAGCCTGGGTAATTCACAGGAACTGTTCACGATATCCAAAACGATCACAGAATTAATCAATTTAGATTCCACCCAGATATATTATCTAAATCACAGTCCCCAAAATATATTATCTCGACCGATCGTCACGTCAATCATGTAAGTTCCAACTGCTAACCCATTTCCGATTTCTATACTCATGTGCTGGTCCTGTAAACCCATATGCAAAATCCTGGAAATACACGAAATTGGATACTACAAGCAGCCCAAGCAACGAAATCGCGGTAAAATGAAGAGGTCCCGGAAGCTTAGATGCAAGGTGATCTGCAAGAAATGTGAAGGTGATGATGGCAAAGTAGAGAGCCGGGAAATAGTGGTGAAGACTGTAAAATATTGATGTGTTACTGTTTTGAGCATTCGACTTCGCAGAAACAACACAAGTAACTTACTATGTCACACGGCCCATAATCCAAAAAGGGGCATAGTGCAGGACCCATCCAACGAAGCCAATTTTGCCAGCAAAGTAGAAATTATCCCAAGTTCCTGAAGACCACAACCACCTCCATTATTACTTTAGCCACCTTCAAAGAAATGCTGCAACATACCAGGACGTTCCCAATCACTGTATCTCCTCTTCCATCTGATACCGTAAATCCCGAGCACTAGCAAAAATGTGACCAAACTCGCTGTGCTTCCCCACCAGACCACGGGATTTCCTATCAACCAGAATTTCCTCGCATCGTCTGCCCAGCTGCACATTCGCAATCCCACAAGCATAAGCGGCCATTGATAAGGCTTTGATGTGAGAGCATCAGGTTCTTTATCTGGGTCAGGCGTCAGCGCATTGTTCGAGGTCCACATGGCGACGTTGAGATCGATAAAATCTTTTAGAAACTTTGAACGATATGCTCCTTTGCCCCCTGGTGGGACTTTTGTTATGCAGTACAAGTCATTAAGCTGATTTACCCTTGTTGGTGAAATGATGCAAATGTGAACTCACGGTCATCATTCCAGTGCTGTTCGATGTTCCACATATGATTTCGATTGTTCGGGTCGCCGTTTTTCTGACAGACAACTTCAGCCTGCTTGAACCCCCATTGGGGAAGCGACACCGCATGTGATCGAAGTAGACATCCTTGAAGGTTATGACGCAATCTGAAGCGAGTGGTAAGCGATCGAATTCGAGGCGACTGCCTATCGACCATGTCCTAATGCAGGGTGATGTGCGATGTAGGTAAAGTAATGATGCGGAACAGAAGCTATCCACACGTACATCCACTTTCTCGACTTTCCACAAGTCATTCGCATCTCCCAACGTTGAATTTCCGTAACAACTAACTTCATTTTGCGACGTTGTAACGGGCGCCTTAACAGAATGACTGTGGAGGTTTCGCCCAGTTTGCGCATGAACTGTGGTCGAAACGCCGTGTCAGTTCCATTCAACTTGCATTTCCCATTGCGCATGGTAGTTACCAAGCCGAATAAGATCTCCATCCTTTACAAACTCAATTTCATCTCCGAATCCCGACTGCTTTTCTTCTCCCCACGGTTTGGTAATGATCCAATCATTGTTGCTGTCTTTGTGATGATAGCATGTCACTTGTTGTTGTTCAGACCCGGTGGGGTAGCGTTGTACATGAGAATGTAGTAGACCGCCGCCATGTCCGTTGTTCTTCAAGGTAACCTTCGATCCGTACGCCAATTCTAAGAAAAACGCCAGCATTAACGAAAGAGTGTAGCTTGAACGGTAAAACTCTACGTACCTAGCGGATTCTGATCGAAATCGTTTCCAAGCAAATGAGCTTGGAAGAGGGAACTCATCTGTGCATCTCCTGGTCCGCTCCGATTTAAAATCGCAAAGTGAATCACAAAGGAGAATAAGTAAATAGCTATTGGAGTAAGAATGAGGCCAGCTATACGGGCCATCCAGTGCCTGGCATAATGTGACTGCCCGGGGAACACTTCGGATCAGTTTTTTTAAGCCATGTAGCGATCAATTAACCATAAGTACCGGAGGCATTTTGAGATCTCCAAGCATTTCCCAAAGGTCCTCTATGGTATGCTTCAGCATTGCAAATGAATAAGTCATAGATTTCATACGGGGAGATTTGAGCCACTATGGTACTCACCAATCCCACCAGAGCTACCGCAAACAGACCCACCCACTTCACACTATCCAGATAATTGCGCGTCAGCTTGAATACAATACGACGATAGCCGAAGCTATTACCGACCTCGCGACAGCGCCAATCGATACCCCGGTAGCAAAGAGCCATGTCCACCATTCCTTAGAAAACGGCCTACGATGTTCAAATTTCAGTCAGCATCAGGGTGCAGCAGCTATGCGCGGTCGTGCATTCTTACGCGGTACGTTGAAGGTTCCGAAATACGGTGAGACAAAACACGCTCAAAGTCGTAAAGAACAGCAGCATCGAGTCCAATAGGATGAAACGACTAATAGTCATCAATGCGATATCGCATAACACCATGATCGCCATCAGGAAGGATGCAGGCTTTGAAAAGTGTAGTTGTATCGCCGTGAAATACGCCAGGGGAATCATGGCGGCCCCAAATAAAGCATTCACGATCCGCATGACGGTATAGTTCAGTTCCTGGGGGTACTGGTGACCTGACTCGAACTCAAATGTCCCGTTGAAGCCGGCAATGAAGCCCGCAAGTCCGTTGATCATCTTTCCGAGAGGTGGGTGCACATCAAAATAGAACCTTCGTTTGATATAATGCCCAGCAAATTTCCTGCACTCTCCGGTGTTAGATACACCCGGTTCGAAGTATCTCCTCAGTGATCTCATTTTCTTACCCAAAGTGAGCTTCATCCCTGCAAATTTAGATTATTAGACGTATATTTGGCTACGGACTCGCAAGCATGTCACCAACCAAACAACGAAGTCCGCACTGCCAATTTTATACAATCGCGTAAATAGTGCGGCTACGGAGAGAAGGGCGGGAATAATCCATTGCTGGGTTGTTGTTGGCCAAATGGGGACCTTAGAATGGATTTTTCAGATGCTTGACATAGTTCTTCGACTTCACGCAGTTGATGCACCGAAAACTAACCATCTGCGGTCGTCTTTGCGGTTTAAAAGTCTTGTCATCTTCTCTGTCCTGTGGGTCCTCGTCTACGGGAGCATAAGCGGCCCCTGTATTGGCTACCCCAATAGGTGCCCGCTTTCGCAAACCATCGTTGGGATACCAGTCTGTCATTTTGCGCAGATGGTAGATCTGTCAAGGAACGGTCGCGTGGCGTCCCGCAAACTGAACGCGTCCTGTGGAGGATATCCAACCAGCGCGCACTCCAACCTGCTGTCTGGATGGATATTACACATAATATTTGTTATCTGGTGCCGAGGACCTCGCCCTCCCGACAATATTGACAATAAACAAGTAGCACCTTGCAAAACACTGCTACTACTATGCTGCTATAATCGCAGGTATGCATTGTCTTTGGATTTCCTAAGCTTATTCCTCAGTCTAATTATTCTGATTTTACATGTATCTGAACATCCTCCGACCAAAAACGTCAAAGGCTTTATGTATTACATGTGTGATTGAGCCTAGTCGTAGTTTATCACTTGTAAGGACTGGGCTGGTTGTCCAGTGGTTCAATCCACACTGGTGCATTCTGTTGTTATTGCCAAATACACTAGCGGAAAATTTAAGAAAAATTTCGTCTGGATCCGGGATCGAACCTTCCCAAGGGTACCGTTCTGCGGTTCCTCTCAGGTTTGAAACGCGGACTGGCATCATCCTTTCCCTTGGCTTGAGAAGCTGGAAGGTTTCACTGTCAAAAGCGAATTTAATTAGGGCCAATGAATCAATCTCACCTGAATCTGAGTCGGTAATCGCAAGGTCTTTGTACGGCATATTTGTATACGTCCGGAGTACGGGCCACAGGTCAACCTCAACGACTTTAAGCGTTTGAGCGCTCTGTATTTGGGAACCTGCCACCTGGCAAAAAATCGGCCTTTTACCTACGTCGTTTGGAACGCTTCAACGACAAGGTGATCACCAGTGTTGCTCAGACTCTTCCTTTTTCCATTTGACCCGATTAGGGGGAGGACCGCCACCGGTTTGGAATGTAAGTAGCTGTAGTCGCACTCCTATGGCTCCCCGTCTCACATGTCTGCTTTTCAGTAGCCCTCGGTCAATGGCGACCGAAGCCATGGACCCTGCCGATCCTAATTCAGGCGTCTCACGTTCGTTAACCATAACCGGCCAAAAGAGCGACGGAATGGTGGAAAAATTGAAAGCGAAAGCCTCGATGCCGCTATTGACTCGAAGTCAGAGTGAACTCGGTGATGTTCGCCATCGAGAGGGCTCAGAGAGTAATGGGCTTTACTTGGAAGCTTCTTCTTTGGAAAGACGCTTTTCCGGCAAGGTGTTGGATTTTTTATTCAAGAAGAACGCAAAGGCAAAAACAATCGATGCTGGGTATGGCCGTAGGGTGGACGTGACTGTTGGAGACGCTGATGTTACCAAAAACAGAGGACCTAGTGCTGATGATGAAGATCGGCAGAGTTTACGAAGTGTCAAAAGTAACAGCAGTCTAAAAAGCTTGGCTGAAGGGAAGAAAGGCTTGTTCAACTTTCGAACCAAGAAGAGCAAACAAAAGAAGAGCTTGGATATCACACCTTCCATCTCTGCTATCTCTTTAGTGACCCCTTCCGATGGCGAAAAAGAAGCATGGCTTCCATCTCCTCCAGTTGTATGTGACACTTTGTTACTGTGCCCACAAGTGCTCTCAATCTCATATCCCTGTTTCCCAGGCATCTACTACATCGAACCCATCACAATCATTGATTCCAGAATCGGAACCATCCATTTCAACCGAACGTTCTCAACCAGTTACAATATCGAGTCCTTCATCTTCTCTTCACCTGCCTACCATATCTCCTGTTTCAGGTTCTTGGTCCTGGGTATCAGCGGAAAGCCAAACCCACCCTGGGCAGACCGATATCAGGGAGCTTCGCATTAGTCCGAGAGCCTCCAGTCTGAAGTTATTAGAGAAGCTTGCCAGTACGTCAATACCTCATCCTGAAAAGCAGGAAACAAGCGCCGTACTTCCAAATGGATGGTCAGCAGCAAAGAAAGGTGACGAAAGTGGCAAAGACATTAGTCCAGTTGACGGCCCGAGTTTGCGAGATGGGCAGGAACAAGGCAAAGAAGAAAAGCCAGAACCAGCTGACCGTGCCGACGACGATGAACTTAAACGGAAATCTACAGCTCGCAGCAATAGGTCAACGCTTTCAGACGGCACTCCGGTGGTTCCTGATGTCCTCTCCCCGCCAAAGAAGCCCGTCGTAAGCCGAGCTGGTGCGACAATTGAAACCGACGATCCATCTCATCTCTTCTGGGTTCCTGCCCATCTACATCCGGAGCTCCACCCGAACGATTTCAAAAAATGGCTGAACAATGCTGATGCAGGGCCTACCGACTCCACAGTCTTTCAGATCGGTAAAAAGCCCCTGAGACGATCGAAATCCTTTGTTGAACGACATGTGGTTATTACCCCTGATAACGTAGAGGAATTTGTGGAAAAAGATAATATCGTGCGGAGTCGGACGGTGTCAGGAGCGCAGTATCAGCGCGGCGGTAAGGGTCTACCACCATTGAGACGAAGTCGAAATATCCGGCCGAAACGTCCCACTATGCGTAGTATGCAAGAAAGCGCAAACAGTACCGCAGACTCAGACTCTGGGCCTGACTATGCAGACGGAACCTCAAAGGAATCTGGACCGGTTAGAAGACGGTCAAGAAGAAAAGCAGATCGAAGTTCGTCATCTGTTAGAAAAAAGAAGGCAGGAAATCGGAGGTCCAAGACTATCATTATGGGACCAGTTGAAGAACGCTCTCTCACTGCACCCAGTGAAATCCCCATGGACCCTTCGGTATCTGCTTTGGAGAAGCAGGATACTGACAAGGTTTCCACGTCCCACACATTTTCAACCCCAACTCCAGTTGAGTTACCCAAGCCACCCTTGGAGCTCAAAGTGGACGCCATTTTGGCTGGTGACGCTTATACTCACCCTGCATCCCCTGAGCCCAGCTTTCATTCGCCATCAGAGAGCATGACTCCCGACGACTTGGAGATTCTGGATGTTCCACAGGATGAGATGGCTTCTACAACCGAAGATACCGCCATTGGTGAAAAGCAAAAATCCAAGAAGAAGAAAGAGGGCAAAAGCTGGAATTGGTTGTCAGGCTTCCTTGGTAAAAAGAGCCCGGGTTCCACTAAGCACAAACGAGCAGCGTCACTGGAATCCAACGGAAGCAGTGCCGCCGAAGATGATACTTGGAACGCATATCCTAATGATCGTTTCAGCGATGCGGATGGAGCTCCGCGATTTTCGCCTGAAGTAGAGAAGCAAATCTACCGAATGTCGCACATCAAGTTGGCCCAACACCGCCGGCCATTGTCTCAACAAGTTCTCATCAGTAACCTCATGCTGTACATTCTATCTGTTCACGCCGATGTCACATTGAATCGACAAGGCCCGCGAAAGAGGGGACGGAAGGGAAGGAGGCGTGGTAAATCGCCCGGTGCCAGCAGCGATCGAAGCAGAAGTCCAGGGCGTGCCCTTCCCATACCACACCCCGCTACGGGACCTGTCGTCCAGCCGAATTCCATCTTGGAAGCTCCAACGATGCCTCGCAGCGGACAGTACTTTCCTGGGGCTCCTGGTATTTCTAGTCTAACCGGTATACCGGGAGCAGCCAGCGGGGATTACGTTACGGACGGAAGCCCAGCGCAAGGCTACTTTGGAAACGGAGGAGACTCGCACGGTAGCGAACGGCGACAGCGCAATCTAGCACATTTAGCAGTCATAAAAGCTGGGGGAATTGACAGCGGATCGGCAAGTTCTCTTGAACCTGCATGGGTAGATTCTGAGTATCTCAGTAGCGATCATGAAGGTGATCCCTCTCCAAGGTCGCGATCTTATTCCCCGGACCGAGCAACGGACTCTGAGGAAGAAGAGGACGAGGACGATGTACCGTTAGGAATGTTGCAGCAACATAGACGAGGCAGTATCAGTAGTGTTTCTAGTCACTGAGTATTGTAGATTAAGGGTTTTTTTTCGTATTTAGAGAGGGATGTAGTGCTGGATTTATACATAATTTTTGTTTTTCATCAGGTTGAAGGATGAGTGAAAAAAGGAGAACATTCACTTGAATCATATCACAATTCATTACACTTCAATGAAACATGGTATAATTATACTTTTGCAAGGCGGTCTTGAACAGTTAGTGTAGAGGTGACAGAAACTGGCACTAGCTACTACACCAGGGAATAAACCGGCGACAACCGGTTCGGAAAAGCTAAGCTACTACTAGGCAATTATACACGAAACACGTAACGGTTGGTTCTAACCGGATAATTGCCCACCACCACACACGGTCCCTACTAGGCCTTGATCTGGAACTCTTGATGGCATTGAAGCCAGACTCTTGCATCCAGGAGCGAATCGACTGGGCAGCGTCACAAGCCAGAGGATGTTCAGTGACGAGGCTTGGAGACTACAAAAAAATGCATGTCAGCGAGATGAATGACAGAATGACAAGAGATGCCATCAGTACATACCAACCAAGCTCAACATATGTGGCAGCATAATAACAGCTTTGTTGGTTCCGAGGCTGCGCTGGTTCCAGTTGGTTGTAATCGGGTGGGCGAGGTCCTCGGCACCACCACATCTGCATTCTCATGGTTGGACTTGAGAGTCGCGATGAGGGTTGCGCAGATGCTTTCGAGTCGAGGATGGGTAAAGAGGAAAGAGGGAAGAGGGAGCAGGTCCCCTTTTATAGACCTTCGGCATGCGCCTCACCGCAGTTTAAAAAAAAAAACATTACATGCATGCCACACCGCTGCATGCCACACCAATCTGAGCGATAGAGGGGGTTCTGATTATGCGATATGACTAACCGGATTATCCGGATAATAATGGGTCCTAGTGCCATTTTCAATCACCTCCACACTATGTATGGTAATTTGCTCGAGTGACATGCGGCGATCAAAAGAACATCATAAACAACAGAGGACGAGACATCACTGCGATTATCATGCAAATGTCCGACATGACTTCTGGGTATTCTTTGTGGACATTGACTGGCTTTACATGAAAACTTCAATTATTTGGGATCGGAGGGTTTGACTGGAACGTATCCTGGCAACCGAAATATGGCACAGCATATCGACATGCGGACTTTCAGGTAGATCCAGTTTCCTACGTTCCAACCTTCTTCCTTGCGAACATGAACAGAGCCTGGAAAGCGCTGATTCCACCGCCATATGTCAACGTCGTATTACGTCGTAGTCTTGTATCGCAATCCTCACTGACTCCAGTGTATCATGGTCCGTTGAAGAAGACGTTGGTATTGCTCAAGTAAGGAATTCTGGTCTGGTATTTTGAACCTTTAGCGCTCTGGTAACCAGCGGGCTTGGCGTGTCCACAGGAGAGTGTCCGCAACAACCTTTGGACTCAGTGCGGTAGCTTCACCCCTATTGGCTTTTGCTGAATATGCAAACTTGGCAGTTGTTGGCACTATGATGGGAGCAGGTTCGTCGCAATAGTACCGAAAGCATGGCGCAGAATGCTAACCTTGGGTTCCCTTCTTTTATGTGCGGTCGACTGTACTTAGCTCTAGTCACAAGTGGACTATCTACCGTGCTTGTTCAATACTGTGTAAATCCCTACGTCAGTCGGCTTCTCATTCCAGACTCTTCTACATCCTTTTCCAGCCGTACTATCATTCTAGAAACTCTGACCTTCTTTGGAAATACCCGTCAGACCGCAGTTGACCTGTCTGACATTATGCCTGCCTCCGACCGCCCTTTTGCCACATGGAAAGTACGGAATGACGCGCAAACAAGTGACGACGGAGATGCCCGGTTATTGGAGTTGATTGGTGGGCGACGTAAGTTCGGATTGAAACGACGAAGATTTTATGTGCATCCCGAGCTCGATGAGGGATTTTCTGAGCAGATGACCCAGGTAATGCGGACCGTAAACGCAGCTGGACGAGCTGGACCACAACAGCCGCAACCCCAGTCCAAGGCAGGCGGGAAAGCTTGGGATGATATAGTTAAAGATTTACGGAAGGAGAATAGAGCATAGTAGAATACGTTTTAGAACTGCTACTCTACGCTGTCGTCTAGATCGCTAGTGATCGATAATTGCTTTGTATTTATTTGACCAATTGCAGGACCACAGTCTATCTTTGTTGCAAAGCCGATGGATGTGTAGGATGCGTTCATCCTGCGAGAGGCAAACGCGTATCGCGTCCGCCCATACACGTGCGCCCAGGTTGTTTTACCAACATCAGCAGCATTTTAAGGATCGACGGCAACAATTTCAGCATCGCGGGGTACCTACCGGCTGCAACTCAGGTTTGTTTTCCAATTGTAACGCGTTTGCTTGCTTGAAGTCTGACTTACGCGTGCTGTCCCCATTGCCGCTACCGCCTCCTTTCAGTTCACAGCTTGAACAGCACGGAGGCAGCAAGGGTGCCTTTCCTTTGTGGAAAACTTGGCTGTCGATATGAGTGCGTTGGCAAACTTTCTGCAAAATGAGCTCCTTACATTGTCGAGTGAAGCGCGGCGAAAGCATCCAGAAATAAAGGAGGTAAGGATGATTCGGCGCTCTGGGTGAAATTCACGGGAACGTGGGTCATGAAAGAAGTTTGCGCCTCCCGAGTATTCACATGTCTTTTTTTTCAGGCAGCGGAGCGACTACTGTACATTTTGCGCGCTCTCAAAGAGCGGCCTCAAACACAACCAGTGCCAGATGGCGTGGATATTGTTGCAGTGGGTCTGTTGAGCTACTGAAGATCCCAAAAATATGAGTGGACGATGACTGTTAGGGTTCATCTTGCGCAGAGCTTGCAAAGACGGACGAAGCGTTAAGGCCGTTCATCATGTCTTGCGAAACCAAAAATGCGAAACTCGTGCCTACAGCCGTGGGGTGCTTGCAGCGACTGATAACGCATCAGGCCATACCAGAGGTATGACCTCAATGCATGCTCCCTGCCCATCATTTCTATCGAGTTCTCACACCTGCAGTCCCTAAAATTCTAGGCGTCCATTATGCTGGTTTTGAAGACGCTATCCGATCTGATCACTACCAGTGTTGAGCTGCAGTTGAAAATCTTGCAGACCGTACTACCGCTGTTGACCAATTACCGTAATGTTCATGGAGAAGTACTGGCTGAAGTTAGTCATGCGACTATTCTGAGCGGACACACTTTGGACGAGGTTGAAAGTAACCAGATATTTGCATAGGCATTATTTCTCTGTTTCCGGCTACAAGAGACAAAATCTCCTATTGTGAATAATACTGCGGCTGCCACAGTTCGTCAATTGGTCACATTTGTATTCGACAAGGTGGCCACGGAGGATGAACGGGCCAACGTTGAAACAGGTCTGACGTGCATGCGGCGAGTGCGCGGTCAATGTGCGGCTAAGGTCTTACTTTTAATAGGGAACACGGATTTCAACGCGGTACGCCCTTTAAGCCTTTCAGGGCAGGATGCCTGCATGCTGTTCAAGGTATGGGATACCGACGCATATTCTTGGGCTACTTGAATGTTGAGTTGATCTCATGGATGCAGGATGCATATTGGTAGGATTTGTGCTTATTGACGGGCGGCGAACCAGCGTCATTCCTTCCGCTGCAGTCTTTGCCAAAATATTTTGGCCTAGAGTTAATTGAGGCAGTCATTTCCCACCATCCGAAGCTATTCCAAGACGTAGGTCGTCATTTGAGAGTAAATTCTGCCAGGTTCTCGACTCACAACTAAGAAGCACGCAGAACTGTGTAATTTAATGAAAGAACGAGTCTGCCCGCTCATCATCAAGTCGTTCTCTGACCGTCTTGATTTCCCGCTGGCTTGTCGATTGATGCGTGTCGTGCACGCTATCCTTAAGCAGTACCATGAAATGCTGATGATGGAATGCGAGATTTTCCTTTCGATGTTCTGCAGGTTGTTGGAACCTGATCATGCCCCGTTGTGGCATCGTGTTCTTATCATGGAGGTGTACAAATCCCTCTGTGCCGACGCTGGGCTACTCCGGTATGATTCAATACGCTCAATTTGGCGGGATTGTTTGGGCCTCTTCTGACTCCGCGCAGATTTGTTTATAATTCGTACGATCAAAAGGAGCACACAACAAAAGTGTTCCATGAAATGATTACCGCAATCCGAAGGATCGTCGTCTCGGAGAAGCCTGCGCTGCTGCTTCACTCTCCGGTGACAAACAGTTCTGAAGCTGTGGATATGGAGGCGGAGGAGCAGTACTCATTAACAGCGTCGGGTGCGCAAATGAAGCTTCAGTGGTAAGGGTACGACCGATCACTGCCCAGTATTGTGGGCAGGTTATGCAGAAGCTCTTGCAAGTATCACCACTAATCTGGTGGACGTTATGTCTACAGCTTAGATCAGCTAGATAAAGCGGAACCACCCGCCATACCCGAAACCTATATCATCTACCTTGCCATTCAATGCATGAGTAGTATTGTCGATAGCGAGGCTCAATTTGCTATGCCGCTTCTGGCTGAAGCCAGCACTCCAAGCGAGCACAAGAACGACGTTATTCTTGCCATCGAGATGGCCAATGCGTCATGGGCGGGTATTCTAGCTGCTGTATCCTTCCTCGTTACAGCTTCGGTAGATGACGAGATCTTTTCGATGGTCATCCGAGCATATCAGAATATAACGAGCGTTCTGGGTTTACTGGGACTTACATCACCACGAGATGCATTCCTCGCATCTTTATCTAAGTCTTGCATTCCGAGCTTTCTGGCCGGCGATGCTTTTGGGCACGCAAAAGGGGATGCGGGCCAGGGACTGCATCCGGCGAGTTTACAAAATTTAGCCCGTGGCGGTGTCGTACTGAACGACCGAAATGTGTTGTGTCTTCGGGCACTCATCTATGTCGCGCATTCTTTATCCCCTGTTCTGGAAGATAAGGCATGGTATCTTATTTTGGAGACATTACAAGTGGCAGACAAATACATTGCGACCGGAAAGACCGGAAGGAAAGAGCAGAGTTCCATGGCATTGCTGGGCGACACAAAAGAAAATCGTTTACGCAGTGGATCGATTGTCGGGCCGCCCCAGCATGGTTCTGCTATGGAGAATCAGTTTGTTACATTACTCCTATTCACGAAGAAGCTCTTCGAAAGTACGAGTTCCATGGAAGAACGAAACTTGATGGAATTTCTTCGCGCATTATGTCAACTAGCTCGGACTTCCATTGTCCAAACCTCCACGACTGCAGGCACTTCCTCGAAGGACGCTTCTATGAAGGTTGCCGAAGAGAAGTCTTTCGCCGTCGCTAAAATTCACGATGTTGTTTTACACAACACTGCACGCTTAGTTCAAGCGTCAAATTTCACGCTATGGGACCTGGTAATTGGTGAGCTGGTGGACCTTGCTCACATTCCGACGTGTACATCGTCGATGCGTGCGCAGGTCTGTCAAACGTTGAGCGACATCCTTGTGGCGGCAATCCAAACAGCAAATCTAAAAGACGCTGACATCGAAATGAAATTGTTGGAGCCCATCCGCAGACTGACATTGGTCGAACCTAACGCCAGTGGCACAACCGTGGATGCGGAGGAGAAGGACAGAATAGCTCGTTACCCTTGGTTTGTGGATGTGCAAAAGGCCGGCTTGGAAACCCTCAATAAAATCATGCAAAATAGCGGCCAGTACATATCAAACGGTTGGCCGCTCATACTCGAAGTCGTGCGGACAGTTGTGAGCTTAAGGGTCCGGAAACCCCGAATAGCTGATGCACAGGCTCCGACAGCCGGTAACACGCAAGACGCCATTCTTAACCCTCCTCTAGCCGACACCGCTGCGACCACGGCGAAAGCAGCAGGATTAGTTCGTGTAGCGTTTCCATGCCTACAGCTCATATGCACAGACTTTCTTTCTGTTTTGAACCCTACAGTGCTGCACCAATGTATCGAAACCCTGGGTAGTTTTGGATCGCAAATGGATGATCTGAATATCAGTCTAACCGCGGTTGGGCTGCTTTGGTCCGTGAGCGACTTTGTGTTGACAAAGCGTCAGGATCTTGAGAAAGAGCATCTCGCGAATCAACAGCCCCCAAATCAGGATCCAAAGACGTCAGCATCACACTCTTCAGTGATGATAGCAGAAAGCTCCCTCTTGGCAAATACGTCGATGAAGCGGTCTGCGTCTACTTGTATCGCCATGCTGACAGAACCACTGTCAACAAGGACTATGGATGCTTTATGGATGCTCCTGCTAGGGCATCTTTCGCAACTTTGTTCGGATTCTCGACCAGAGGTCCGTAACTCCGCGAATCAAACTTTGTTCCGGACGATCAGCATGAATGGTGCCAAGCTTACCCTTGACGCCTGGGAGCAATGCATCTGGGGGGTGTTGTTCCCGCTCTTGGAGCGCGTCCAGCTTTCTAGTGAAATTGACGCATCTGGCCGACTCAACTCTCCAGACGTAGGGACACCCACCGTTACTATGCATCATTCTCGAAGTACGCCATCAAAGCAGTGGGATGAGACGAAAGTAATTACTCTATCGGGTATATCCAAATGTTTACTGGATTTTTTGCCGGTCTTGGTTGAGCTGGGAGATGGATTTGATCGTGCATGGGCCTTATTTTTGGACTATATCAAGTCTTGGTGTCTAGGTGGATCACCGGAGGTATCCATGGCCGCCGTGAAAAGCTTGAAAAGTTTGGTGCAATACCCCAAGACGTTAGCAGAAGGAGAAATTCCGCGAAACGTGCAGATACGGTTAGAAAACTTAATGCGAGTGGCTTGGGATGTCTGGGAAGGGATTGGAACAGGAATTGTCGCAGGATCGGACGAAAATCTGGCAGCTTCCGCTGAAGATGCCGACCGAGTGGCTGTGGGCACCGGGTGGGGACAGCCTGCAATGAGGATTTTGCATGGATTCTTTACCCAAGACACAATGACAGCATATGTCGCACTGTTCCCAGACATTTACGAAGTCATTAAGTCAACCTTCGGCCTATTCGAGCTTCGACAGCTCCTTAACGTGCTTTCGCATCTCTTGCTTTACCACAGCAATCCGCCACCGGGCGCTACAGCGAGCAGAATTCGTGCAGACTTTATCAGTGATTTGGAGCAACCAACACCGTTGCAATCAAGTGTTCTCGACCTCGTTGCGGGGGGCAAGTTGGACATCGATGCGATACAAGGTTCCGTGGAGGTCGTATTGACAACAGTTAGCGGATTTGTGAAACTGCCGTTCGTCCAACGAGGGGACGGATCAGCGTCAGCACGCAACTCATCCGCACAAAGGCCAACATCCGGCGCTGCAGAGAAAGAGAAAGGGTTCACATACATTGCACTATCAAAGAAAAGTATGCAGGTTTTGGTGGAGCTTTTTGAGCGTTATGCGAAACTCCGGAGTGTGTACTCTGGTCCATTTGAGGCCATCATTGAAGCCTTGGGTGTTCCTATGAAGGCCAAATACGACTGTCCAAGTCCAGGCACCAAGGATACCACACCACTCTGGAAATCTGCCGCTAATACATGTATGACAATCTCGAGGATAGGGCTGGAAGCTCTCAACGAGTTTGTAGAAGGTGCATGGAAATCAAGTGTCTTTACTCGTGATACACAGCTGGTCTAATCCTTTCGACTGTCCAATCCAGATCTACCGCAAGAGGTTTCCAACAGTATCTACACAAAGCTGTTAAACACTTTTGAGGGGATTCTACTGCCAAGCAGGTGCGCGCTGATTTACTTGGGCTCTCTGTGAGGACGGAGTACTTACCACCAAAGCACACAGCGAGCCACCAGCGGAACTGTCCGCCGAAGAATTGTCTGCCGACGAAGATTTCGACATTTCGGTTCTCACCACTATAGAGTCGGACGTGTTCCCCCACTTGGGACGACCCACCACGTCGGAAGCTATTCTGCGACGCTTGGTGGAAATCATTGGGAGTGGAGCAAAGCTTTACACAACACAGCTTGAGGCAGTTGGACATAATACGTTAGAAGATGCTACAACTGGCGAGGAATCTAGCGCTACTAGAGGCGTTGAGGACGTAGAGGTGCAAGCAACTAACGGAGTTGTGGCAGGAGCGCCGAGGATTGAGGCGCTGGTAAAACCTCGGGGTCCGCTTACGGCCAGCGATGTTGCAGGTCCACAGGCCTTTCCACTTGGAAGCGACGTGGTGCCAGCTACCCGCGAAAGGTTTGCTGTGAGCTGTATGGAGACATTGTTCGGGTTATGTTCAGACGCAAAGAGCGGTTCGTGGCAGTTTCAACATTTTCTCTCATTACGATCACACTAATGTTATTGTTTGTACAGATACAGCGCAAGTAAGGACCCGCATAGCAGAAGTGGTTGGTCCTGTAATGCTAGAGAAGTGCAAGTTCGTGATCCGCTCTTACGCAACGGATCGACCACTATATGGTCAACTACCTCTGCCGAGAGTTCGCAATGACGAGATAGCGCTCGTTATGCGACATTTGCAATCGCTAAATATGCGGCCTGGTGTGCTTGTACGGCACTTGGGTGAAGATAAAATGCGTACGTACCTGACGCGGACTGTTTATGACATCTTCTGCTCGGTATCGGTGATAGAATAACTTACACTTGTTGAATAGATCCATTGCGGTCGCACATTCTCGCAGGCAGATCGGCACATCTGTTTGCCTTATACCCCATGTTGTGTGAGTTATTAGCTGTGATAGCGCGAAATGGAACCACCCGAGAGTCAGCAGCAGCGGACGAGGCGGCGGTGGTAGAAGGCATCAGAGCTTGTTTGCGACGGATAGGGCAAGATTTAGGGTTGGAATGAAATACATGCTGTTAACCCCGTAAATAAACCCCGTAAATATTTATAAAATTGATCATGAAGCCGGGATATGTCGAATAGGGGATCACAGGAATGGGTCAGAGACATGCCAGACTAGCTCTATTGTTCGATATCCATGGCTAAAATGCCGTCTGTAATGAGGTTTCAGTGAGTACCGTAGTAGCCGCATTCAGAAGCATAAGTAAGATGCATTACAAATGACAGATCAACATACCTTCCATGACGGCGGGACGGATGTGATTTTTGATGACAGTTACTGAAAATTTTCAAAAGTATATCAATCATAACACGCCGCCATTGCTCACATATAATGGATGCATACCGTGATGTTCGTTGGCAGCGTAATCATTCAAAGCCTGGAAGCAAAAGCGTCAATGCCAAAAGACCGGACTGGTGGGCAGTATATGAGCTGACCTGCTGATTGGGGAGTTCTACAACAAGAGCTGTGGCAGAGCATAGTGAAGACAATCAATATTCAAGACGATGGATTGTCCCATTGATGCATCGTGGTGAACATTAAAAGTATATTACCATGTGTATATCCTCGAGCCCTGTCGGTTTTGAAAGTGGGACCAAATGAGAGCTGCGAACCCAAAAAGTCAATAAACATTGCTACCAAAACTTTATGAGAAGAGCTATCTCTTCCTATCAGAATTCAACCTTTTGCACTCCGGGAACTTGCTTCAACGACCGAACTTGCGTATCAAATTCCGCAAGTTGTTGAGGAGGTATGTCAGGTTTTACCTTGAACAGGACTGCATCGCATGATAAGCAACAATGTGAAGGCATCTGACTTACAAAATGAGTGGAAAGGTACCTATGTGGGTGACAGTCATCTCTCGTTGACTCTATTTGACTTTTAAGAGGAAAGCTACGAATGGATCATGATGGTGAACCGATGCTGATGATGCTCCATGTTGCCATGTCAACAGTGGACGCACTGGTTCAGTCAACCGAGTGACTAGGGGATGGAGCGTTGATGTCAACAGGACAGAACATTGGGGAATTGGGGGCGCAACAGTAATTATAATAGGATAGGGGCCGACGAGACGGTCGCCGACAGCGTCCAAAGTTTTTCGCCATCTTGGAGATCTTCCAGCGATGTTGAAGCGGAGGTCAGGGGCACGACAAACTCAAGTAGCGCGAGCAACTAAGACTTCTGGCCAACCAAAGAAGGAGCAATCTTCACGGGCTTTTGGTACGGTAGATCTATCCCCGTTCCCTGCGAAATGGTCTGCATTCGGCAAACTGTTACTAGTTCTCCTGGTCACCACGTTGTTCCATCTTGCGGGCATCTACCTCTTTGGAAGCGGGTTCCTTCTTACGCGGCTCGAGCTAGATACTCGCAATAACTGCTCAACATGGCGTCCGGAAGGGGTGCCCCCTATTGAAGCGAACATCACAGGTCAGGGGTGTTGGCATGCGCCTCGGTACAACCGGGCAGTCCTCATTATTCTCGATGCACTCCGTTTCGACTTCACGGTCTACAATGAGACCCTAGCACATCAAGCATCGAAGAGCGGAGACAATTCATCGATACCTTATTATATTAATAAATTACCTATTCTACATCGAATTCTGGAAACCGAACCTGAGCATGGGCTGCTCTTCCGTGTGCGGGCTGATCCCCCTACCACGACTCTACAGCGCTTGAAGGCTCTGACCACCGGTACCTTACCTACGTTTGTGGATGCTGGTAGCAACTTTTTTGGGCAGGTTATCGGGGAGGATAACATCATAGAACAGTTCACTCGAACTGGCAGACGGGTGGTGTTTATGGGAGATGACACCTGGGACAATATGTATCCGAATGCTATGAATGAAAGCTATCCTTATCCCTCTTTGGAGGTTTGGGATCTCCATACTGTTGATAATGGTATCCTCCAACACCTTCAACCCACGCTGCAACGAGAGCCGAAAGACTGGGATTTGCTGATCGCGCATTTTCTTGGGGTTGATCATGCAGGTCATCGATATGGCCCAGCACATCCGGCAATGGCTGAAAAGCTTACCCAAATGAATGCTGTTTTAACAAATATTTTTCAGGAGGTGGATGATGAGACAGTAGTTTTCGTGATAGGTGATCATGGCATGGATGCTAAAGGAGATCACGGCGGCGACAGCGAAAACGAAATCAATGCTGGACTGTTCATGTACAGCAAGAGGCCACTTACGGATGCATCTGCTGCAGTGGAATTGAACAGTTATTTGCGCGATCTCAACGCGACCGACTTCGGATCTGATGACCCCTTCGTGTTCCTCCAAGGCCATCGAACAATGCCTCAAATCGACTTTGTGCCAACAATTTCCATGCTGCTGGGTATCCCAATCCCATTTGGAAATCTCGGCACCTTAATTCCAGAATGCTTTTTTGTGCCTACCCTGGACTTGAGCGGCAAATCCATGGATTATGGTCGAAATCTTTTGGAAGCCATGCGAATAAATGCCCAACAAGTTCACCATTACATTACGGAGTATAGTCAGCAACGACTGGCTGCAAAACTGGCGATTCGCGATTTGAAGGAGTTATTCGACAGCGCAGAAATGGCGTACGCTCGGCTCTCGACGAATAACAATGATGCTGCGGTTACTAGTGCGGATCTTAAGGATGTATACCGCCGATACGTCACCTTCACACGGCGGACTTTAGTAGCCGCTCGCAAGATCTGGGCGCGATTCGACGTACCTCTCATCGTTCTTGGATCTGTCGCAGTGACACTTGCATTTGCGTCTGTAGTTGTGTATGCAAAAGTGCATTGGGCGTCCGATGTCAGTCCAATGTACTCTGTCATTGGTCTTGGTGCGATATCTGGGATCTTGTTGGTAGCGACAGGGGGTGTTCGTAAATGGCTGGTTAGCCTCGAAGACACGGGTGATTCCGCGCTCAATCCATACCACGAAACTGCATTTGCTATCTCGGCTGGTGTCTTGGGAACATACTTGCTGTCGACCTTGGTGCAGTGTTGTTACAGAATGACCAAGAGAGGGGTTTCTGCGATCATTTCCACGAACACTCTGCTCGGATTATTTCTCCTTGCTCTGCACACACTGGTTGCCGCTTCTGACAGCTTTACTATCCATGAAGATGCAGTAACAGTCTACCTTTTACAGGCTTTCGGATTCATAAACCTTTTGTGGTCTTTCGGATTGGACAGTGATACCGCACGCGATAGTCTTGTCAAATATTCCCTTATATTTATGATCTTGACCCGCATCAGTCAATTCTCCACAATCTGTCGCGAAGAGCAACATCCGTATTGCATTCCCACGTTCAACGCAACTCCGCACACATCCGTAGCATCCCCGTCCGCAGCCGTCCTGTTGTTTCTCATGGTTCCAATTGTCGCGCTGGCTATCAGAAAGGTGATGAAAGCCTCAGACAATGCGGAATCCACGGGGAAGATTCTTCCTGGAATTTTTATTCCCATTGGAATGATTGTTTCCGCAGTCTATTGGGCTTTCGATACCATCGATAATCATCATATTTTGTCGGGCTCAAAATGGGATATGGCAGCGGTCAAATTCTGGTGGGCTCGCGTTGGGTTTTTGGCAATCAGCACTACCTGTCTGTTCGTTTGGACAAGCGACCCAAACTGTTTGGGTGTTGATGTGATACCCTCGGCTGCTGTGAACGCTCTAGGCGTAACGAACAATGCGAGCGGTGGGAAAACAGTCTGTTTCCTTGGCATTCCGAACGCAGTCGGTGCATCATACTTCGTGTTTTTATCCGTGGTCTATATGATCCTGACGATGTTTCAAAAGCCAATGGGGGGCATCATGCTTGGAGTAGGTTTCCTGCAAATTATATGCCTTTTGGAGATGCTCCACATATGGCGCGACAAGAGTAGTAAAAAGCGAAATGCGGACATTGCGCATGGGCCAGAGGTCCCGGTATCTGTGTCGACATCGACGTCGTTACTCTCTTCGCCGCAATCGATGCCAGCGCCCATACCTGCTCCTCTTCAGGGATCCGTCGTTCAAAAAGAACAAGAAAATGCAGATTGGACATTCCTGTATTTGGTGGCATTATACTTACTATCGTCACGATTCTACTTCGCGACCGGCCATCAGACGACACTTTCAACCATCCAATGGGACATTGGCTACGTTGGGGTTAAGCAGCTTAACTGGACCATCTCTCCACTTCTTGTGCTTCTGAATACATTTGCGGGAAATGTGCTGTTTGCACTAGCCGCTCCGCTGTTGGCGGTCTGGAAGCGACCACTCACCCGCTCAACGCAAGACCAAGTCAACCGCGAGCTCGGTAGAGCAGTTCTAACTTATTTTGGAATGGTTTCCGCTACCACTGTCACCGCTACACTTTTTGCCGGGCATTTTCGGCGCCATCTTATGGTGTGGAGGGTGTTTGCCCCCAAGTTTTTCTTCGAGGCGTTAGTGCTGGTAGTAGTTGATGTTATTTTGATGATTGGAGTAGTGGGGGTTTGGCTCCCAGTAAACGCATATAGGGACTTCTTAGTGAAGATAAAGCAGCTGGGGATTGTTCGCTAAGCATCTACACTTTATTTATGGAATATGTGGTTAAGCCTTATGCTACTTTACGGATTTCCTTCGTGTTCTTCTCCTACATCAAGCTCGAACTTGATGGAGAAGCATACAGAACCTCTACGCTCCCACCTCCGTGCTGGCCCTTGTACTCGCCTTGTCCAAACGGGGTGGTTGCAATGGTCAAACTTCCGGCCCGGCTCGATCTGGTACCAGCTCCCACCTTTTCCATTTCCTGTCGACCTAGCGAAGCCACTTTGACGCTTTCACCTGCCCCAACACTAGCACGCTTTGCGGAGCCAGCATTTCCAGTTTCTTCATCGTCATCGATATCAGCCAAAAAGTTCTTTATGTCTAAATCAACGTTCCTTCCGGTAAGTTTCGCAAACACATCGTGCTTGCTGGGGTCTCCCACGATACGCACTTCTACAGCTGGGTGTGCTCCGACAAGACCCATTTGCGCTGCTGTTTCCTGTAAGACTGCCGTTGCCTCCTTTACAAATGGAAGACTTAGGTAAACGCATGCCACCCCTCCAGTAAAGAAACACGGGAGCAGTAATGATTTCTCGTGCAAGAAGCTATAGGACAACTGTCCCAATATTCCGCCGATGAGATAAGAAATCAAAAGTGGAACGTGTACTTTGAGCCGCCAAAGCTCGGCTTTGGTGTCGAGCCGGCATGCTTGGCCCAAGATGTTTCCAATATCGGTGCATATTCCAGTCATATGCGTTGTTCGCACAACAGCACCTGAGTAACTTGTCGCTAGAGCATTCTGCAGCCCGCATGCAAACGCCGCACACCATTCACCCACAATCAACTCCCGTCTCAAGAATACGAAACTCGCAAAAAGGCATGCGCTTTCGAGAATTAGGGCATATCCGTATCCGCGCCCGAGTCGGAATTTGTTGTCGCCCACCATAAACCCAGCAATGAAGGATCCAAACATGTAGGAGAACAAAATGCTGGTAACCAGCGCGAGGGTGGTAATATCGGCGTTGAGGAGCGCCATTGCAATCCGCGAGACGTTACCAGTGTGGTGGGACACTGTCACAGTAAACACACCGGCGAGTGTGACAACATTGATGAAACCGGCATTCAAGGCAAGCACCGAGCCACCGATGACAATGGAGTTGAACTCCCGTTGTGCAAAGTTGTTCATTTTATGGAAGGTTTAGGCGGTTTTCTGCAGTCTATTGCACACAGGATGACTGGGAATAATGGTATGAGGGCTAATGAGCGATAATTCCTAGTAGACGTGCCCTAAAAATGTTCAGAATAACGCAACCAGGCGCTCAGTCGAGAATTGGTTATTATGAAATTTACCGTACAATAGACTCCCTAAGAACGCAACGTGGGTGAGTCGCACTCCCCGCTAAAGGTCTCCGCAACGCTCCGATTGCTATCAAATCCTGCTGTCAGTCCAACACGTCAATCGCTGATGAACCCACAGTAGAACCATCCAGCTATTTTCCAGTCCAACTCGTTAAACCCTATGCTCTCACCTTGAGGATTTGCAAAAATCTCCAGCCCAAAGTTCTTGACGCCGATTACAGCAGTGGGAACCCAGTCTCATCAGCGCGGTTGGTTGATCATGTAAGCAGATCGTGTAAGCATCAATCATGATTGCAGCTATCTGTACATTAGTGTAGAGGTGACAGAAACTGGCCCTAGCTACTACATCAGGGAATGAACCAGCGTAAACTGGCTCCGAAAAGCTAACTAACTACTACTAGGCAATTATACACGCAATACGTAACGGCTATTCTAAACCGGATAATTGCCCACCACCACACGCGTTCCTACTGGGCCTTGATCCGGAACTCTTGATCGACATTGAAGCCAGAGTCATCGCACGAGAGTTAATATCGTCAGGGAGACTCAAAAGCCGGAGGATTTTCAGTAACGACTCATTCATCATCACTGGGCACTAGTTCTTCAGGTGCTCTCTCGATCAGGCCTTGACGGATCTGTTCTTCATATTCTCGGATACCCCAATAATCCACGCCCATTTCGGGATCCCGTTCTTCGGCTAACTGCCTTAAACCCTCCTCCTCGGCACGGGTAAGAGGACGGAGCCTTTCGAACACAAGCTCGCGCGAGCGAAGGTATGCAGATCGGAAGCATTCCCTTTGTAGCCGATAAGCCACGTAGTGCCCCCTCAGTTCATCATAGACTGCCTGGTTCAAGCCCCAATAATTGATTTTGAATCTTAAAGGGATGGTCTTGATATAGGTGATGACACCTGTGCAGAAAGCCCAGCAACTGGGAGCAGTATTTGTAGTGGTGTCGTTCGTGGGCGGATCGTTGGTAGACGGAGCAGCAGGACCAGCTGGCGGATCAGCACTCGACGAACAGCCGCCCGTATAACTATCGCTAATAGTTCGGCGAAAAATAGCCCTACCCATGATAAAGAAACGAAGAAGCTCATATTCCCACGTCTGTGACGATTAACACCCAGTTCATGCGCCACTAATGCGCCACATACTGCAAGCCACATGCAGGAGGTGCGCGTATAAAAGGCGTCCTTTCTCACGCGCTCCTCTTCCCACTATCTTTTCTGTCGAGTAGTTGTGTTGCAGTACACAGTTACTGTATACACCCTGCTCGCAAAACAGAAAACCAGTAAATTGGCAGAGTTCCATGCCGGCCATAGGCCACCTCCTTTTTCTCCTCATCGCAATGGGGGCCTGCATGTTTGTCAGCTCCTTGTGTGGCTGTTCCAAGTGACGGGCCAGTATTGTGGTGGAGAGGATAAGATCGGGGCGGGAGAAACAACTCTCGGGTGGTGGACGAGCTTCACCGCTGCACTCTACCGTGGGGGCCTGCATGTTTGTCAGCTCCTTGTGTGGCTGTTCCAAGTGACGGGCCAGTACGGTGGCGGGTTGCTCGATGTTTTGCTCCGCCTACATTTTATATATACATTTTCACATTGCCTAGCAGTACACAGCGGCTTGCATTATTGATGAGCCCATTCATATGAATTGCCACCAACGACAAGATTTGAACTTGTGGTTACTGCTTGCACCAGCTTCACCTATAGAGATCTATGAACTGGTGATTCCATCACAGACGTCATGGTTTGGCTATCATATTGTTGTTGGTGACTCCCATCGTGGCAGACCTGATGATTAGGTATATGTCTCATATACTTGCCGATCTAGTTTCCCAGTTGGTCTCTGATGACTACCTACTGCTGCTGTATGTCAAAACCTCTTTCCTCAACTCCTTTCCTATCATTCGCGCTATACTGTTTAATGACATATTGTGGATCTTGTCTTTTGCGGTTTGAGGTCTATTTCTATTGTCCTCAACTGTCACCATATGCGAATAGTACAATATATTTACGATATTGGTGACCTTTTTCATATGAGGCTAATCGCCTGTCTGTTTTCACTGAACATAATTGAGAATGTTCGCCTATTTCCCAATAAGGAAAACCCTGATAAAATCATCTCCCGTTCAAACTTTTCAATCTCCGACTCCAGGACGGTTCCCGTATAATCCCTTGGCGTCTATTAATAGTCGATACCCATCTCCTGTTAGTTCTGATCTTTTGATGAGATATGTTCAGTTTCATCCATAGACTGTCTTTGCTCTACAAGACTTTGAATTCCTTCTGCATCTGGGTAATACTTTGCTTTTCCAAATGATACACGTATTTGTTAGAAGTTAACTTTCAGTCCAAGTTGCTCTCCAAACCAGTTAATCTTTGTCATATCCCATCTCAAGTTATCAACAGTTCGATCAGATTTTGACTGCTGGTCATGTATACAGGTCAATCTTGTTATCATAATTGAATTTCCTACCGCTTGTAATTAATCTATCATAGTATGAACCCCTACCCTCCATGGGGGAGATATGCAGCTGCACTTTTATTCAGTTAAAACGTCCTTAGTTTAGCATGATATGTGGGGGATTAACTAAATAATTTTAATGTTAATGATGACTGGAACCAACTTGGAAGTAAATTTCTTTTGTGTTTCATTGGCAACTCGCTGGTACAACAAAAAGTTGTCTTAGTCAGCCCGCCACGACGTCAGCTCACTGAGAAGGACGACTGAAGGTTCGAGGTTTTCTTTGCTCCTTTCTTGACGGAATTCAATGACGGACGTCAGTCTTAGCTCCCTGTCTGACATCAATAGTCGTTCCGCCTGTCCCCGTTGTGAGGGTAAGTGAGGTATAGTCTGCATCGTTCGTCGAGTGGCCCGTTAAAAACACCTGAATATGTCCGGTAGGCTTTGGTTTTGCACACGATTCCGTAGAAAAGCATGACAAACCACTAAAGACTCGATGCAAACGTTGCGCGACCTGTAAAGGTATGGCGGCCACCCCATTGACCAAATGCTGCAAGGTTCAACTAATTATGTACTATTTCCTCTAGTATGCGACGGATCTGGCGTGATAGTTGGAAAACTTCCATGCTCACGGTGTAAAGGTGGGAAAGCAGCGTGATATTCTGAACCCAACTCATCCTAGGGCGCTTCTCACCTTCCCATCACATGCACAGCGCGTGGATTTGTCCATTCCAAAAAGGACGGCGCTAGATCGCATGGAACACTGGAGAGCTTGCGATGTATGGAATGTCGTGACTGTAAAGGTACAGGCACCAGTCCCATAGACGCTAGTGACGGACCTTGATTCCGTGACTCCTAGATTGCGATGGAATAGGAGTTTTGGACATCAAGACCCTTCGACAACAGGAAAAAAGGAAAGCGGCGGCCATGCAAAGAGAAAAGCAGCAGAAACTACAGCAGCAACAACAACTGCACACCCCTCCCATGTCCCCCTTCCTCCCCCCACCCCCGATCTTGTGGAATCCGTTGCTCGGTCCACCACCACCACCACCACCGCCCTATATGCTGCCGCACATGGTCACACCTGGAGCAATGGTTGGAACATTCCTCCCTCCACCACTGATGACCGTACCCGCAAGCAATGGATATCAGCTTCCGAACATACCACCATCAGGGACGTCTCAGCCGCCAGAGACAAAAGGGCGGACCCGACCACCTCGAACCCCACCCCGCCTAGACGAAATGAGGACGCGAACCAAATGTCCACGATGTGATGGTTACGGGTTTCGGCACGATACCAGTGGGAAGCATGACAAGAAGAAAGGGGAACGGTGTAAAGGTTGTGGGAATTGTAAAGGTTGGTGATATTGTTAAAAAAATCTTTTCTATTAATGGGACCATATTCACTATTTTCTCACATTATATAGCATGTCAAGGGAGTGGGCAGGTGTCAAATAAGAAGGCATGCACATCCTGTCAAAGTGAGTTACCCTTTATCCGTTTGCATACATAATCTCTCCCTCTTGGTTTTAATCCAGCTGCCTGTTTTTATAGTGACAGGGTTCACCCATCCGGCATCATCCGATCGTGAACATGATGCCCCTCAACATCTCCGCTGCTTTTTTTGTAAAGACTGTGTAGTGTGCAAAGGGTTGGGTGTAGCAGATGCTGTAGGCTAGAGGTAGTGTATTACACATGGAGACGCCACACCGCGCCATATTACCTGATCGGATGCACACATGACCGAGCTTGACAACCGTTGTTGCTTTGCAGGCAACGCTGGGTTGGAACTCGAGATCAATCCTTCCTTCATCCATCATGCTGTCGACAGTACGATGCTTAGCCTCGAGAAGGCATCCCCAAATCCTGCGTACATTGCCTATTCTTGCCCGGCCAGTTCCTGCAGCGAGACCTAGCACTCTCGTCCCCCTTATTCCCAAGCCTGTTCTGTCTTCAAATCTCGTCCCTGCACGACAAATGGCCACTCTCAACCAAGTCATCAGCGGAATCCGCAAAGACCGCAAGAAGAAGCCTGCCTCTCCAGCATTGGATGGTGCTCCGCAGCGCCGTGGTGTGTGTCTTAAAGTGTTTGCCGTGAAACCAAAGAAACCAAATTCAGCCCAGCGAAAAGTCTGTCGAGTCCGATTGACAACAGGAAAGGTTGTTATTGCATACATCCCTGGCGAAGGACACAATCTGCAGGAGCACTCTGTCGTCTTGGTGCGAGGTGGGCGTGTGTCCGATTGTCCTGGTGTACGATACAAGATTGTTAGAGGTGCGTTGGATTGCCAAGGGGTGGTGAACAGAACGAAATCGAGGTCCAAATACGGAACAAAGGTACTATCACTTTTCTTTTTCTGAATCTAGTCTATATGATTTACCTCTCCCTCTTCCTTGTCACTCTCAGAAACCAAAGACTGGTGATGCAGCAGGAAAGAAATAGTGTATCTATTATAACAGTGTGGATAATATACAGGCAAAGGGCTTAGACATATAAAGCAATTCATATACTTGAACGTTAGACTTTCTGGTCATTCTGCCGCACCCACGCCGAGAATTTTCCCGGCGCTTTGGGGCGTCATTCGTTCTTTTCGCTATCGCAGTTGTTATTTTTAATATTGTCAAAGTACAGTGCGAAGCTAATGGTAAAACTTACTGTATTTGGTGGTGCTGTATGTGGCTTAACAGTGTCGAGCTTGTGCATATGTCGCAGTCTGGCGCCAGGCCCAGGGGAAGGCGGCACCTCGTTTAATGGATAGTAAGCCAGCATGTGATATACGGCATCATATTTGACATTAGGATACGTTCGAGGCTCATGATGCCGTCGCGCCGTTTTGAGAGAAAAGAATTGAGGCTTGGAGTAAGATCATGCAATAGGAGCTTGATTAATCAAGTCAAGAACTCGACACTTTGCTACAGACTCACTTTATTCGTATCAGAGGGGTTGATGAGGTCTGGGGAAAGCGTCCAATCTGTGGCGCTCTTCCTTTTCCGGTAGAGGTCTGGTATCCAGCATGAGCGTATACTCCTGGGGCATAAAGCTATATTCAAGTGATGCATACCGGTCCAATGTTTGACGACCTGTGCCTGGATTGCTCGACATCGTAGAAGCTTGATGTTGGCCATCGTCATACCCCCTTCGGGTTCATCTCCTTGTTCTCCTGGAAGAAAAGAATATGAGAACTAACTCAAAAGGCCGATATCAGCCCAAAATTGCAGATGCTCCACTATACCGTCATCTGACATTGTCGCTGTCAGTTCTCTCGATATACCTGTCCAACGTCATTAGTCATTTTATAATAATAAGATGAGATGCCTCCAAGTTACCTCTCCACGTATCTATAACATTTTTCTTGAGCATTTCCTGATGTTTGGTTAGCAGCTGATTTCTTTGCTCCTCTATTCTTGACGCCTGCTTCACATCCTCAGGCATCTCTTGGTATGTAAATGGGTCACCCAGCACCCATGGGTCATCTTGGCCAAAGACCCCGATATGCGTTCCTAGAGTCGACGGTTCATTTAGGGAAGTTCGGCAGTCAGCGAGTTCATATGCACCATACCATCTGCTGTCCATACACGAATGGTCCCATCCTTGGAGGCAGTAAGAATGACGTTGTGAATGTTTGCATAGTTAACGCTAGTCGGGAAGTGTCAGCGCGCGTTCTTCCAAATCCTTCATGGATCATGAGCTAACCTTGAGATACTTTGGACATGGGCTCTCCAACTCTTCTTCATCACGCAAAACGAATCATATTGACCCGTCACCATGCTATTTACATTGACTTCGAAAATCTGCATGACTTGACTCATTAATCATTGTTTGGCCAAATAGGGAGCCACGTCATGCTTACCCTCACATGCCCTTTGGATCCCCCAACTACCAAAAGAGTGCCATCCGAGCTGAGGGCCATAGTCGCCAGTCCTTCTTCTTTTGTTACCTGGCAATTCATCTAAATTCAAGGATGCGTAGTAAGTGCTGCTAATTTCGGTTATGCAAACTGTCTACCATGTGCCTCACCTCGTACAGCATAGTGCCCTCATACGTGTCCCAAAATCGAAGGCATCCATCGGCATGACAAGATGCTAAAGGTCGCGTTCGCTTCGTTTTTCTTTCTAAAGGATGAAGGAAGAGGATCTAAAGGTTGCGATATTAGCAGAGTGAGAGGAACGGTGCGCGCCAGCTCTTACCTTTTCAATAGCCTTTTCCTCTTTACTTCGCAAGTCAAGAAATGGCTCGCTTAGTGTGAGTTTGATGTAGCCTACAAAGCCTCATCAGCAAGTCATTCCACCGACAGACGCTTCCAGCCCACCACACACCAGACTCCAAACTCCAAATGACTATAATTCCATCCACGCTACTTGTAGCTAGCATACTCGGAGGACAGAATGCTACAGAAGATATGTCATCCTGATGACTTTGGAGACAATCTATCAGTTTTTAACACGGTGACATTCCAGCGGCAACATTTTCGCTCACCCTCGATGTGCACCTGATCCCGACCCATTCATTATGCGGACTGGCTTGGCCTCAAAATGAGTTGGGTCGTCCAGGAATATGGACACCTTTCTATCCCATCCCACACAAATGATGTAACGATTCGATCCCTGATGGAGTCCAGTCAGCAGTTGAGATCCATTTCATGTTCCAGCTACCGCATACCATCTCCACATATAAAACATCAGTAGTCTCCGAGAGATTGTCCTTCATCATCTTACGGAGTATCTGGCCGTTGTTAAAGTTCCACATCTGAGACGCTGTTAAATCAGGGACGACTAGATGCTGACGTAGTGAATAAGGTGCCCACCTTTACTATTCCGTCCCGACTCCCAGTCACCAATCGACGTCCGCTCCTATCGAAGCACATGGCTGTGATTTCGAGTTTCTGTCAAAATGCATATGTCATGTTCGCTTGGGCCAGGTAAAAGGCCAACAGTAGTCTCGGTACCCCATGCGCATTATGGAAAGAGAAGGCTCGGCTCCCCGAAGCAAGATCCCATATGCAAACCGTTCCATCTTGGGCGCCACTAACGACCTGCAATTGCTGTCAGCATATTCCAGTAGGATGGTCTCGCTTTCTCTAAATGCCGAACCTGATGGAAATTTTCGTTAAACATGGCTGCAACTACGCCGGTATCGTGACTGCGTGATACGGTGTGTCTGAACGTTTTGTATAGCTGATGCATATTTAGAAGTCATTTAAAAATACCTAGATGCGTGTATAACTCACCGGCCATGTTGCCAGTTTGTCGCTTCCCAAGACTATTTGTCTGTTGATGGAATCGAAAAACATCACGGATATCAATTCATCGGATCGTTGTGGTAGCTTTTCGGTCAGAGTTTGCAAACAGTTCAGATTGCGCGCGTTCCAAATTTTGATAACCTGAGCAAGAAGAAAAAAGTAAATAAGTGGAAAACACAACTGATTCTGAAGTTCGCAGCTTTTACCCTGTCCTCTGATAAGCTGATGATGTGCCCCTCTTCGTGGTTGATGCCGATGTTTACGATGGCCGTGTTGTGTCCATGCAAGCTGCCAGCGGGCTTCGATAGTACGTAGGGATTCCACAAGCGGCTAGACAACATAATCAGCATTCGTTTCTACAGTTCAGACAGGGGGATAATCACGCACATAATTTTGTCTCGTCCTCCAGTCACCAAAAAGCTGGGCCGCCTGCAGAACTCGAACGCCTTAATTCCCTTCGGCACATGGACATATCGTATCGATTTCCTCTCAAGGTCGCCTACGACCAGTGATCTTGCACTTTCTGGCGCACAAGAGACGAATGCATTGATCTCTTGGTAATACTGCACTTTAACTACCCAATCATTGTGAATCTTTCTCTAAGACGTCACGCAGAGGTAAGTCAGGGTATACGACGAGGTACCGGCAAGTCACGTACCCGATAAAAAGAAGCATTATGTTTCCTGAGACTCTCTCTCTTCGCCAATTTCGCGGGTGTCAAATCCTCGTTTCCTTCATTCTCGGTAAAAAATTTCCGTGTGAAAGTAAGCACATTGATGTATCCCCCATCATCGCCGAATAAGATAAAGTCCCGCTCTTCATCATGTTGCCCTAGCAGATTAGACCAATATATATATAACAAACAATGTCGGCCGCCGGACCACGAATGTAGACATCAGAGGGTAAACGTACCACCATATGCGATGCAGAGTGGGTTATTCTCCAGTTGCGATAAGGTTACGATTAATCTTGGTTTTATTGAAAGAACATCATATACGCATAGCCTAAAGGCAGAAGGTGTCAATTGCTGAACGAATAATTATGCGCAGAGCGAGCACTTACTGTCGATCATCCGTGATGGTTACAAGCCGGTTATGGTCGTGTATATATATTGCATCTGCTATCCATGATAGACGATTGAAATCTCTTATATGAACTATCCGCTGGAGTTTCAAATTTTGAGCCCAGAGGCAAACACATCCTTCGCGACTGGATAAAAGGGGGACGGTCGGGTGGTTATTACATTAGACAGATTTCTGACTGTTGGCCATACCTGACGCTAATGTACTTCCGTTCCTTTGGAATATAGTCGAGTCGCTTTATGATATCCTTGTGCGGAGAATTAAAAAGCTTCTTGATTCTCTCATCGAAAATGCTATGCTAAATGATGGTCGGCATACCGTCAAGGAACCCCATTACGTGTTACGCAACCTACTGTCTCGCCACCTTCCAGAGCTCCTGTCATCATATAGTTTGAAAATTCATCCCAATCCACGGTGCCATCAGAATTTGCATCAATCTTCATGAAAAGCATTGTCATCTGATCGTATGTCAGATTTCCCCCCACAACTTTCCCAAAGACTTCACGAAACTGACCAAAAGAATTGGTAAATTGCTATGCATATCGTACAAGTAGAGACGTATATACCTTGTCGATATCAAAGCCAGAGCTTCCATCCTCATTTTGATGACTTTGAAACATTGCCATCAATTGCTCAAAATGGTTCATATTCATATATTGTTGAACATCGATATTGAAGTCATTTCTAGACATTAATTAGTACATATTTTCACTAAGTAGATTAAGTATTAGCCGAACGTACTTGGTATTGGATTTTGTAGGACTCTTGTCTCCGTTCTGGTCGCCTGTTACACGCACCCTCACACGTCAACAATAACGTCCCACAGGGTCAGATAACATTCGAAGGTGCTTCTACCTGCGCCAGGGGAGCTCCTTGTGAAATCCACCTGTGGATCCATTTCAGTTATAACAGCGCCAAAAGGTAGCTCGGTGTGAATGTCGAGGGATCTGCAAGTTATGACCACTGGACGTTGCGGGGCATTGCTGGCGCAGCGCTTATGCAATCGGCGATCACGGGATATCGCGGATGCAAATGGGCACTTCCTCCAGGCAATCGCTACCAGTATTGCTCAGGTTCCATGTTCCAATGAATGTCCCGACATGTAGTGGGAACGGATTAGGAGTTCACCGTGGTCTCTTGATATGCTCCTGGATGGCAGATACACGGTGTAGAACAAAACATGCTCGAGCGTCTATCGCTGCTTTACCACAAACCTCAACACATGGAAGAAGATGGTCAGATCCTGGATTTTCATCCTTTTCTACATTAGTGGCACCGAGGCAGAGCGACAGTCGAAAGGATATTGGGATAACTCGTTCTGGAGATGCTACGCGATTCTTCTATATTCCTGAAATAGTGCCGTCATCCACAGATCGACTGACGAAACACTTTGAACGCAGTGGACTGGTTGCCCTACACAAAGATCCTCACATCTATATCATCAGACTCCGCGACGAGGCGAATTTGGCCTTAAACATTTTGCGTTTATATGGTCAAGACGTTCGGGCATGCGGGTTTGCCGCTCGTGAGTCAAACGGTTCTTTACACAAATCATAAATCCCAGTTAGCATATCCGTCCTCTTACATCTTAGAGTACTCTAGCGCCCGACGCCATCAAGCCGGTGCGCCATCTATACTTCAACTGGCGCTTAGTCATCGCCTCTGCCTATTCTTCCAAGTTTACAACATGTGCACTAGTTGGGGTCAACCAAGAACGTTCCATCCGGACAGATTCCCAACCAATCTGAAACAACTACTGTCTTCTTTTTCCTTTTCAAAAGTCGGAGCTCGAGCTGCGTACGATGCCATCATGCTGAAGAAGCACTATGCTGTTCATCTAAACAATCTTGTTGACTTGCGGTCCCTTGCCCACGCTAGAGGTTTACCCACCACAACATTAGGCGGATTGAGTTACATGTACGGTGGCCCTATACATATGTCAGTAGAGGAAGATTTATCTCGGGAGGATTGGGACGCAGAAATTCTCCAACAAAATTCCGTATTCACTGCAGCCAATAAGGCCTTTGCCTCACGGATGATTCTAGATCGAATGGTATGCATGCCGGACCCGATGCCTTGTCTAGATCAAATCCAGCGCAAGAAGAATGACATGAAAAAAATTCCGGAAGATGAAGATGATATCGCCGAGGCATTGTTGATTCTTCAATCTGCTTTGGCGGGGAGGGAAGCTTCTCGGGAGAGAATCATAAAGACCATTAAAACACGACATCCTCGCTGGAAAATGGTCATGACCGAGGCGGCCCTTCAAGTTCATGTGGAAGGAGTTGTCCGTGACTGGCTCAAGTCCGGAAAGCTGACACTGTTGGAAAAAATACGAAGATGAAGAATAGCGTATAATTCGATTAGCTAACAGAATAGAATGGTTTCCGCCTGAATTTTTGGGGTATCCTGCCATTAGATGGCCTAGCTTAATGGCCTTGCAATATATGACAAGACAAGTCACTTAAATGAGAAGGCAGTCACTCGCATTGTTACTACTGGTTGGATTTGCCACGTACTTTCAATTGCACATCAGCGTCCTCGCTTTGTTTTTAGGATGGGACATATTATAGCTCCCCTTTATCGGATGCCAAACACATCTCCCAGCTCATCTCGTTAAAGCTGGACTTTATGCATTATATACCTCACATATCTCACGGGCCCGACTTGTTCAATAAGTCGCCTATTCCGTATTCTTCGAAGTGAATTTTTGGTGCTAATGATCGACACGGTATTTTGTCCGAATTTCGGACACATCCCGACAAGAAACCTCCCACCTTAGAGAATCTGGTGTCGTTGATCAACTAGTTGCAAGCGCCCAGTCAATTCACTGCAATATAGCACTTGAGAAATTACGACATTGCAGTGTGGCGCGTTCCAAAGTAAACCGAGTACCGACACCTATGAGCAGTAGGGATCCCCAGGAGGCCAACATCGCCGTGGTGGTGAGAGTAAGGTAAATGCCCGTATGAAAGCGAGTGATATGATAGCTGAGCCTTCATAACCATGCTCTCTCTCGCTCAGACCTCGCAACCAGAAAGAAATCAGGGAAAATAGTCCGATAACCGTTACGACCAATGGCATCCGCGGGAGAGAATTGCATGTGAAAGCGAACCAGGCAGAAGCAGCGACAAAGACCTATTCCTTTGACAAAGTATTTGGTCCAGATGCCGGACAGGACCTTCTATTTGACGATGTTGTCGCTCCCATGCTTAAAGAGGTCAGATATGGCTCATGCTTGCGCTTGCGCTCAAGAAATAGCGGCGTAACTCTACCTGAACTAGGTTTTGATGGGTTACAACTGTACGATTTTTGCTTATGGTGCGTACTGAGCGAATGATGTTTGCCTGTTTGGAATGAAGAATATTCTCTGACCATGATAATCTTAGGCCAGGTAATCAATCACCAGCGTCTCCAATAGGAGGTATCCCAATGTTTTCGACTGACCGTCTCTGATGCCGTACAGACGGGCACAGGCAAAACATATACGATGGAGGGGGATTTGGCCACAATACGAGGGGAACATGCTGGTATTATTCCTCGCACCCTATATTCACTTTTCAACACACTTGAGTCCGGAGATGCTGGCGAGTATTCGGTGCGCGTATCGGTACGTAGTTCCACGCTGGAATTTATATCTTCGTATTCTCACGAAGGCACTAGTTCATAGAGCTGTACAACGAAGAATTGAAGGATCTTCTCTCTTCGGAGGAGGACTTTCGCAAGCTTCGAATATTTGAGGATTATAACAAGAAGGGCTCGGTTGTAATTCAAGGGGTTGAGGAAACTCTCGTGAAAAACGCCGCGGATGTCATAGCGGTGCTCCAAAGGGGCTCAAATAAACGACAGATTGCTGCCACAAAGATGAATGAAGTCTCTAGGTATTAACAACACGCTTTTCATTTCTTTGCAGCTGATACACCAAACTCATCCTTAAGTCTACAGTCGATCTCATTGCATCTTTTGTATTACTGTACATATCAAGGAAACTACCCCTGAAGGAGAAGAGCTTGTCAAGGTATAGCCCTTGCATGATATAGGATTTAGTACCACATCATTCATCCGTGCTATGCAGGTCGGGAAGCTCAACCTCGTGGATTTGGCTGGATCTGAAAATATTGGTCGATCCGGCGCCGAGAATCGCCGAGCTAAAGAAGCGGGGATGATCAATCAGGTAAGAAAGCCAGTAGCACAGATGGTTTTATTCAAGTTATCTCACCGGTATCAGTCACTACTCACTCTCGGGCGGGTCATCAATGCACTGGTGGACCGGAGTCCTCATATACCATATCGGGAGAGCAAACTGACTAGGCTACTACAGGATTCACTTGGTGAGCAATGCTGAATTCTTCGGTTACCTGTCCTTGTTATTTAACGTGTTGCATTATGTGCAGGTGGACGAACCAAAACGTGCATCATTGCCGCAGGTATATTCGGAGCCGCCTGGATCCAGCTGCGCATGGGAGACGGTTCACTAATTTCATCGCCGTCTTCTTTCTATACCCTATTCAGTTTCACCCGCCAAATGCAATATTGAGGAGACGATGTCGACCTTAGATTATGCACACCGTGCGAAGAATATTCGCAATAAGCCAGAAGTCAATCAGAGGATGACCAAGCGCGCGCTCCTCCGTGATTATGAAGATCAAATTCAGAGACTGAAAGCCGATTTAACGGTATAGACACTTCTAAATGATCCATTTATCATCTGTTCCAGAAAGTAGTGACTTTTGAAGTTTATTAGGCTACTCAAGCTAAGAATGGCATTTATCTCAGCCATGAGGTATGACGCGCCTTTTGTAATTTCAAGATAATGACAGCAGCTGATAAATTGTCATGCATTAGAACTATACGGCAATGATGGCTGACAATCAAAGCAACAAAGAGAGAGTTGAAGAACTTTCCAAAATGATCTCGGGGAAGGAACAAGACTATAAACATCTCAATCTTCAACTCCAACAAAACCTAGCCTTGCTTAGCAAGACAACCACGGAGCGTGATTCCACCATGGTACTATTGAAAGTGCGAGGAGAAACGATTGCCATACTCTAACACTCCTTTTCTTAGGCCGAGCTCGATGTAAAAAGAAAGGAGTTAGAAGATAGGTTCAATGAGCTGAGAGCCATACAGCAAAGCCTTCTAGAGCAGAAGCTGCTTACTGGGTGAGGTTTGGGTAATGCGTATATCGCAGCTATGGATACGTATATGAATTCTGAATTCGTCCGCCTAGAGCTCACGCTGACACAGAGAAGCGACTGGACAAATTGGCAGCAGGATTGGTCTCAACGTTGAAATCAAGTATATCCGATGTGGAAGGGTTGCACCAAAAATTAGGTACGATTCAAAAGAACGCAGTGCGAATCTTATGGGAGCTCATCCCAAATGCCCAGAGCGCAAATCTGCCGTGGAGAACGAAAATATGAGACTTTTTCAAGACTTCCAAAATGGCCTTCTCACCCAAATGGCCGAATTGGATGATCGACTAGGTCGCTTGAATGAGGAGGCAATAACATTCTGCCAGAATATCAGTTCAGAAATAGGCGATTACTCTGAACGGCAACGCAAGGTGTGCTAAAGGATGTTTCTCGGCCAACTGGATGATACCTTACAATTCTTGAAAAGCGAATGTCTTCTCAAAAGGACGACCTCCATGCTTACTTAGAGGGTATCCTCTCTAAAAGCGAGACCATGACGTCCGGCCTCAGCGAGCTCGACTCTACTTTGGCCCAGCAGTTGGGGGAAATATCTGAGCTGACAAGGTCTCTGAAGCTTGCAATACTTGAGCGTGAGCGTAAGTCGCGCGAGGTGCACAGCGACTTATTCAATTCACACAAGGACTTGGTGATCCAACATCAGAAGCAGGTGAGATGATGAATACCCATGCAATGGAGGGCATGGCGCCTTGACGATTGCAGGAGAGGATCATTGTTGACACGAATTGGACTAGGTGGGCGAATGGAATGCATCCATGAAAAAAAAGATGTCTCAAGTAATGGACGTGGTCAAAGCCCACATAGAAACGGAAGCTGCATACAGCATGCGCATGCAGCAGTCCGTAGAGGAGAGTATGCAGAAAGAGGTATCGAATCTGTTTGTCTGGAAAATTTCAGAAAACCCTGTCAATAATCGATTCTGTACTTGACGTAGATTGCCACTCTACGGCTCCAAAATCAAAAGCTTCAAGAGCAGCTTGCTGACGAGCGGCGGAAGGCGGCAACGGCGGCCGACGGATTACTTTCTAACATTGCAAACCTGGTCTCACGCTATAAATCGGAGCGCGAAGAATGCCTGCTAGCAGTTGAAGAATCATCCACGCAAGCAATGAAAAATCATGTGCAAGCTTTAGATTCCTTTATTGAAGGAACCAAGACTGCCTGTGCAGCGGGTGGAGCCAGTCGGGATGGGTTCATGGATCAGTTGGCGAATGACATTACTGACTTTGAGCAGGAAGCGGTGTCCGAAGCTGAGGTATGCACCTGCTTGCAAATCGGCTCATGAGTAGCATCTGATCTTGTATAACTTGCTATTTCAGAGTCTGGATGTGACGGTTAGAGGGTTCCTCGAACAGTGCTCCATAATTGAAAGCTCAGTTGAAGATACCCTAAGTTCAACGACCGCTGCTGTAGTTGACTCCATGGAAAAGCTCGAGTCCGCGCATCAAGCAGGTTGCTAACACATTACGTGGCAGGCATGGTCGTAGAATTACTAACGTTTGTGCATCTTTGCTTAGTACATACTATTGCTGAAGAACAACAGGCGAAACAAACGCAGCTTGTTGACGAGCTGCAAGCTGACACCAAGGATGCCTTCAATACAATGCAGGAATGGATGGGAGGGTCAGGCGACCAATTGGCGGAGTACGTAGATACCTGGGAAGAGAAGGTACATGTTACTCGTGAGCGGCAATCAAACGAATACCCCTGCTAACTTAGGATTTTCAAGCGGAATGAACATCTCCGCGCAACAGAAGAACTCCGCTGCGCCATAGGAGAAAAAGTCCAGCAAGCCCGAAGCGAGATTGTATGCAATAGGCTGGCCGAAGATGAGCCAACTGGACAAACACCACGCAAAAGGACATTTAGGTTCGTCAAGGCTTATCAGATGTGATATGCGGAGGCACTCATGTCGGCTGCCCATTACAGATACGCCACCAGCTGGCACATAACACGAAACCATGATGATATACTGCGCGAATACCGGGAAAATGGTCGGATGGTTAGCCCAACTACCACCTCACGATCGTACGAGGATGCACTGGAAGCGGATGGCACGAACGCTACAAACAATAGGGCAGATGATGCTCTTTGGGAGGACCGGCAGTATCCGTGGGACAAGGAAAATGGGGAATCAGGGCTAATCGAGGCCAAAGACAGGGCAGACATGAATGTATTTGGTACGCCAAGGGCAGGAAGTAAACTGCCTCGCACGAAGAGCCGTCTTGGAAACAGAAAGAGCACGATGGAGTCTCCATTGAAAGGCATGGAGAACATACAGCAGTGAAAGAGATATGTTCATGATAGAAAGTATGAACAGGACCCGAATGGTCAATATTTACTAACATAAAAGAAGGGATGTATATACATAGTAATTGCCTCTGAGTTGAACCTTGGCTTAATTATCAAGAGTGATAAGAAGCTATCCGGCGCTTTTTACTTCTTCGCGTCGTGAGGGAGCAATCGTCGCCTTCGCCGAGATTGCCCGGACGCGGTGTGATTTTTGGTAGCTTGTTGTGCATGTCAAGGATTTGGGATTCTGTATATCCATCCAGAAGAAGTTGCTCGATCTTCCTGTCTAGGCCATTTTTATCAGGGGTATCTTCCGTGGCACTGTCATCTGAATCCCCGTTCTCGCCTACGTCTACCTCCTCGCCGGCAAATAAGCGATGCACGCGTACTTTTGCCTTTTCGATATGTTGCTGCAAATCTGTTCGCTTATGCAGGCTCTCACAGAAGGAGGGTGGGTTCATGACCTCGTTCAATTTACCCGAAATTACAGACTCTCTTGATGAAGGTGGAAGCTCATAGGTTTCTTTCAAGACAACATGGCTTATCAAGTCTCTCAATGACCTGTGAAGTGTTTCCATTCTTAGGTCTTCAAAGAAAGGAAAGCTTTTCCCACATTTTATGAGTAACTCCACGAGTTCTCGATATCTTCTGTGTAGGGTTTTTTCGCTTATATCCACAGAAGAAGCGGCGGACTGATATACAGATGGCGGCGCTTTTCGCCGCAGTACAGCTTCGTACGCTAGACACCCCGCCGCTGCGACTGTGCTAGCTGGTGTCCTTCCTTGGTCTAACCCGCTGCACTTGGCAAAGCGCAGTAGGGAGAGAGTGTCATCTCGATAGCTATTCGCAAGTTCACTGTTGTTCGGAGCCATCGCTTCGCATACTTTGGGGACGTATATTTCAACGCTAGGTAGCGTAGGGGAGTGGAAGTCATTCACAGCTTTCATTTTTTTTATCGATGCACCTATACTTGCATTGGGGACATCCAACACATGCTGCAAAAGGATTAGATTAGTTAAGACGGCCGACGATAAGGCTGACTGGTCTCCACTTACAGCCACAGTATTTAAAGTCAATGGAAGCTGTAAGTCTCGGCTGACAACGCAAATACATGCCCCCAAGAGCGACAACGAAGCCATCCCGAAGCGTATACCGAGGCGGGTTTTCATACTCCAAAACAAGGTGGAAATTCGCTCAGCGTATGCGGACAGTTTAAGTTCGTGAAGATAATTTTGTAGGGCTCTTTCAAAATCGAGCTCCTTGCTATTCTTCTTGTAGTGCTCCAGCTGCCTTAATGCATGGGACTGACCCTTTCTGACCGTAATGCCTGCAATCCCATCCTTTGTGAACACTTGAAAGCTGTCGTTTTGGACCAACGGGACTTGCGCAAGGACGTGACCGCAGTTCGTACACACAAGGTTCTCTTGGTCGTCCACATCTGCATGAGGTGCGGAGCAGCAGGTAAGCGTTTGCGCTGCCGGTGACAACCCTGACCCCTCTCCCTGCATTGGGGTCGGGACATCTACTGCGAACGATAACCAGTGGAGGTCACCACGATCGTGTGGCTTAGCATGAAAATGCGCGTTCAGTTTGACCGCTGGTTTGCAATTGAGGATTGCTGAACATGAGATCTCTCCTTGCTGGTGTTGTCTTCTTCGGCCTAACATTACAGGCCCTAGCCGCGGGTCAAGCATCCTTCGTAATTGAGGATGAATTCAAATGGGTATCCTGCTCAAGTGTGATAAAATTGGCTCACAAGACCGGCTGTCGACTTCACTCGGTAGATAGATAACGTTCTGTTGTGGCCGAAATCCGAACCTTGAGCTTACCACTTAATTACGAGCAGCACGCAATAACTTACGGAACCGGGAGCGGGCAACAAGCTGTTACATGTAATCCGGCGGCAGACAACACAGATGACTACTTCTGGGTGCAAACCGGGTTAGGAAGCCCTCGGTGCAAGCGAGGGTGAGAATGCAGCGGCAGCTTGACAGTCAGAGCCGTCTGCTAATGGCTTTTATTAGGCAAGAAATCCCATGTAACTCTATCGTGCGCTTGATGGTTTGCATATGTCCTTTGTGACGCACGTTGCTCGTTGATTCCCTGCTCATTCCGTCCGCGTTTCTGCCAGCACCTAAACACAAAAAAATATCTCCACAGCCATGCAGGACATGCTTCCCCATTTACCCGCAACCAGGAAGTATCTGCCTTCGATGGCACAGATAAAGGTGGGTGTGGAAGTAGGGAAGAGCAGAGCAACCGTGGTGCATTGCTGATGTGGTTTCAATAGGAGACAACTGGAAACTGATATGCGTCAATAAGAATGACAAGTTCTGGACTCGAGAAAGCCCAATCCGATTAGGTAGGCCTTCGTGACTTACATCCAAAGAGTGATGCATGACATAATAGTCTTCCAGTGCACGAGGAGACAGGCAAATATCTTAGCGCGTCGCCACAACATATTTATAGGGTCAATCCACCGGGACAGGTGGAGGTCAGTGGGCTCGGTGCTGCGAGTTCAGATGACATCTGGACTGCTCAAGAGGGTATTTATTTTGGCGCACCCGAGTGAGGAGTATACACGAATCAGCCAGAACGGCTTCAATCTCATTGACAGCAGCATCTATCTGTTTAATCCGCTTTGGCACAAAAATATGAGTCCTTGAAACAGTTTGCAGCACTTGGCATGGGAGCCATCGCAAAAACTTGTTAATACAATTTTGATTCACCAACTTGTTGTTGATCACATCGAAAACGTGTACACCCAAGAAAGAAATCCCCACATCATATGACAGCAAATTAGCGGATGAGCACCTATTTAAATTGCGCTGTCCTATGACTGAAACAGGAACAAATTGTTCGTTGCTGCTAGCGCAATGGTGTTTTCGTGTGGATGCCACGATGCGTGAAGGATCTTCTTAGAGAAGTCCGCGGCCTCACCATTGGCAATATCCTCCTGTCGCTTTTTACTACCGAAACCACCTACGGCTGCCTTATTCTTGGTAGATCCAATTTTCTTGGCCTTGAACGCGCTCTTGTCTGCTTGTAGTACAATATCGTTCTTAGTTGCGCGATCGTATATATGGAAATAGTTGTTGTACGACCCTGTGAGAACGGATCTTCTCCGAGAAATGTCATCAGTAAATAATATGCAATGTGTACCCAGTCACTGGTCAAAATGTTAACGTACGATCCGTCCCCGCTGAACGTGCATTCGAATTTGTCAAAGATGCAGTCATTTTCGTATAAATCGCAAAGCTTGCTTCGTAGATGGTCGTGGATATTTATGGTTTGAATAGGCTTGGTTTCCATATTCATGTCCCAGACTTTCAAGGTAAGATAGTCTCGGGAGAGGATATAACGTCCATCGTGCGAAAACTTCAAATCGGATATTGATGAGATGATTTCGGAGAAGAAGGATTTGTTATGGGGGTCCTCTTCTTCCTCAAAGACTGCGGATATAAAAGGGTCAAACCGTATTCTCAAGACTTTCATGACGATGCGTAGTTATCACATACGTTTGGAGTAATTGTCGCAGAGCGCCGCTTGTCGCATGTCATTCAACTTAATTGTTCCCTTACTGCTGCTGTATACAAATAAATTACAGTGACTCGGATGAAACTCCGCTGTAGTGATGACCTCCGTCAACTCTTCCATATTTACAGGTTTGATATCGACGATATCTAAAAAGGGAGGAAAGTGAGAGTGAAGGACATAACACAGATGTTGACAGTAGTGACGATGTTCAATGGTTCACAATATACAGAGCATTAGCAAAGGATACTGAAGCTTTGGTCCGATACATTGAGATTCCAGAGGTTGATCCGCAAATCGTCTGAAGACAGGTAGGTCTCTCCGTCAGAATTGACAGAAATGGAGTTGATATGGTAGGCATGGGCGTTCTGATAGATCTTTCGCGGAATAGCAGCAATCATCGTGTCGTGGTGTATAAGCCTGGGTAGCTTGAGGCTTGACTTGCTCATGGGCACCCGAGACGGAGTTATATCCGTGGGGAGATTAGTTTCCGACACCACTTTTAGAGACTTCTCAAAAACCTTCCAGAGCTTGATCGTTTTATCTATCAAGTCACATCGTAAAAAACGCCGCGTTTCGCTCAACTGAACAAACGGAAAGTGCAGTCGATAATACCATTGGTCGAAAGAAGGAAGTGTGCAGCATTCTGTCGCTTGCACCACCTGATTTTGTTGATCTTCTCTTCGATTTCTAAACTTTTCAAGTAATCGAATTCGGGTTCATGCGACTGGAACTCCGTGTAAAACTTATATTCACAGCCCTTTTTCTGCAAAAAATTTTAGGCTCAGTGGTAAGGACCGGAAGATGTGCCCCCACTCACTCCTTCATTCCGTTCAAATAAAACTATCCGCCCTCCCTTATCACCAGTGGCCAGGAAATCTCCGGACATGTCAAACTCCACCGCCGAGATGATATCAGCTGTAAGGTGCAGGTTAATGAATGTTCAATCGCGTAAGTCATCGGCTATCCGCTGTCGACATTTGTCCAGTAAAGCCCATCAAAAAATCCCACATTCATTGTGTATATCAATCGGTATTGTTGCGAGGCTGGCACGAATCACAACACAAGGTGGTAGAAGTTCATGCACTTGCTTACCTTCTGTCACATCATCCACGTCTCCCTTGTCACCAAAACACTGCGCGAACCTCCAGCTGCTTTCGGAGTCCGCCATGGTATTCTTCTATGCAGGACTAGTTGAGCGCGAAAAAGTGCAAGTGCTCTGCAGTTGAACTGCTTTTCTATATGCGGGTGATGGCAAAATCGTAGCGGACACTGCTGTTTTCCTTGTCTGGACAGGCGTTTCATTGATGGAGTGAGCCCTGTATGGAATGCACTCCAATGCGGTTCCATGAGCTAATGAAGATGACATAAGCGCGATCCTTCATGAGTTCTCCAAGATTGCGACAGTTGGTAGAGCGGAGGATGGATCCGAACAGTCGAGTAAGGTGAGGAGATGCTGTGTTTTAGATGTCCTGTGGTCAGTTTTTAACTAATACGGCTGATCAAAGGGCGGAGAAAGCGGGGAGAGAACTGCAGACTGTTATAGGCCTTATACCGGGGAATTTAGGGAAGGACGACACTTTTTCGACAACACAGAAGATCCCCATTGATCCTTCGGCCAGTATCACCAGGTGGTAATGCGGGATATGAACTGGAGTTCATTCAAACGTCCCTGATGCCTTTCGCTGATCTCTACTCTTCAGTGTAGGGAAGGCGATCATCCCTAAAGTTAGCCATTTACGACCTGCTGGTATAAGGCATCAAACATTACCACAGCTTCATTCCTTGGTCCCGCCAAAGCGGAAAATCGTCACGCAAAGGACTAAACCCGTCAACGTACAACAACACTTTGACAATATTGTGCTGCACGATGACCGGAAAAGGCAGTTCATGCTTACCAGCGGCAGCGCACCACAACATGCACCATCACCCTACGCAATTGAGAGCAAGGCCGTTGAGGACACACAAGGGATTTCTCCCTCGCGAATTCCTTCCGCAGCACCGATGAGAGCCCAATCGCCATCGTTGCCGACGACCTTCGGTCGTGCTATAACTGGACGACTGCCAGGAGGACTGGTAGGAGAACGCGAGCAAGGAATCAGCTCCGCCAGCCTAGATGTCATGCTGGTTGGACATAAAGTTGACTCACGTTTTACTCCTCCCTCGGAGGAATTGGCGTTCGATAAAAACGAGGACCGTCCAGATTCGAGATCGTCACAATATGGCTTTACCAGTGAAAGCGTATCAGATTTCGAACCTGTCGACACTCAAATTCCGGTTAGCTTAGATCCCGTTATTGTTGGCGAAACACGACAGACTGTAGACTCCTCAGATGAAATGGAGGATGCTTTGCCTTTCACTTCTATTGACGAGGTTGATAATGTGATAAAGAAGTACGCCGCAATCATTGAATCTCGCATACGCAAATTACGGGGGGAAGCAGTCACATCCGAATCTTCCACATTAGCGTTGGATTCAAGTGAGCTGGAAAGAGCAAGTGAGCCGGACGTCCCTGCAACGTCTGCCATGAGTACGCTGACATTCCTCAATGGAGCCGCACGTACATGTCCTCACTATTTTAACCTTTTTCCCGTAGGCTTCGAAACGGCAATGCCACCTGAGGAAGTCACGTCGCGAATCGCGATGCGCATACCCTCTGTAATTCCCGAAAGAACAGAACCCATCCGACTTTTTGGTAACGAAGAGACAGAAATGAAAGCTTCGCCGAATGCAGAAGAAGTTCGGCCAGTGATTGAAGTGTCCATACCCCCTCCAGCGCACGCAATAGACAGGGTCATCGGGGAGGCGAAAGGCGACATGCAAGATTCAACTATGGTTGAGCTCATTGAAAATGAGGATAGACCGGCTTCAACTAACCAGGACCATGCAGAAAATGGACAACCACCGGCAGCAATCAAAGGAGCTGTTACTTTCGTCGACGACGTTGGCGGGGAAACTGACATAAGTCAAAGACAATCGGCGACCCCTCGTCCCGACTCTGGGGAACTGGGGTTTGCATCTGGTTAGGCTCGCTGTTCAGTATATGCACTTTTATCGCTTAAGCTCAGGTATACCGCCATCCTGTCGTCATCATAGGAATGAATTCCGCAATCCGTGATAGTATGGTTGTCACCAGTCTACAAGCACTCATCGCAAATCAGCAACGCAAGCGTCGCAAAATAGATAACGCTACTCCATCGGTTGATGTGAATCAAATAGGATTTCCTTTCGCAAAGTACTATGCACCGGTCGGGCGGGATACCGAGGTAAATACGAAACTGATCAATCTAATCAGAGACGAAGTCCTGGAGGCCGAGTAAGTAGTGTTCTTCCTTTATGTCTAGCATCTGTAGTGGAATCTTATATTGCTTTAAGTGCACTAATCCAGAGCAACATGAGGTATCCGATGCGGCAAAACCACCAAGCATTGTGGAGCGAAACCCAAAGTCGAGAGGAGCAAGCAATGAGGGAGATCCCTGATCCTTTCTCGGGCGAGGATGCGACAACTTTGGAGGTTCGGCTAAACATTGCTTCAACGTTGCATGTGCTATGTTAACAAGGAGCCGCCACCTAGCTAGAAGGCCGTCCAGTTGTAATCAAAAAAACTGCGGTGGGTGCGGGATCCATGTCGATTGGAATGAACTGGGCACCTGCACCACCAACCCTTTCTATACCATCGAGATTATCCCGCTATATACCAAAAGGCGGTGTCGCAATACGAAAAGTATGTTACGATGGGTGTGCAAGATTATGTCGCTTGCCTGCCTCTTGGACTAACACACATAACAGGATGCTCCATCTAGTCGGATACGGAAGGAGCCCAGAATTTCTTATGATGATATTGCACGAGCGGGTCTGCTGAACACATCGCGACGGATGGAGCTCTCCACCGCTCTGCCTTCGTCAGATATTCCTGCAACCTCTTTACATTCTACAGAAGATAACTTCTCTGACAGCTTGGCGAACGAGATGGCCGCATCATGGGTACACCCAGGAGCACTGTACACTCCTGGGCCATTCAAGAGTTCATCGGTCATGGAGGAAACGGGCAGTGCAAGTCCTGTGCCCGTATCAGGTTCGCTCTCAGTAAATGTTGACTCCAATCAGCCGCCACCTGCGGCCCAGGTCCCAGCGCAAGAGTCGGGACTGAATAGCACAACTAGAACACCCAGTCCTCCTCCAATAAGACATGTCCATGAGCAGCACACATTACAGCGTGACAACGAGGAGCTCTCATCATTATCAACCATTCAGCTTCATCTGAGTGACGTGGAACCTTATCAAGTGGCAGAGGGGGTCGTGACAAGCCCATTACAGGATGATAACCTGCTGTACATAGGGCCGCCTCTAGCACAAAAGGAAGATGATACAACATTCGAGAGGTCATTGAAGTCAATTGCTGTCAACGTATATGCCAGTGAAGATCTTTCTGGTCCGAAACCGCCACCAGAGGCTCATGAACAAACAATAGGGAGCAGCGGCCCAAGTCCACCCTCAATCCCTTCCTCACGAGTCCTAACCTCATCTCTTGGGGCTAGCAATGGAGCAGTGGAGAAAGCGGATCCACAAATCCTACCTCAGACAGCCTCATCAAAACATGATACTATTTCTTCGCCCAGCATCTCTTTTGAAGAGACACAAATGGAATCTAACGAAGACCCGGCCACGTTCTACTTTCGAAAACGCAATGCAAGTCTGGGATTGGGAGCATCAGGTACTCGTCCTGCTTCACGAACTGGCGCAACCCCAACCGCGACCCGTCCGGCAAGCCGTACGAGTGAATTTAAGAGTTCCAATGATAGTTCCTTAAATCAACCCGGCATTCAACCTTCTACCCCAATGTCGAGTATCCCGGAAACAGCCGATGGGTTGCGTGTGTCCGTGGATGACAATAGAGCAATTGAGACAACAAGGGCGAGTCGGAGAGCCACACCAGGCACCTCTACAGATATTACAACAGATGTGGACCTTCCCGCATCTGGTTTGCGAACCGTCGCCCAAGCTCTTGTTTCGAAGGGATACGCCCCAGATAAAGGACCCCCGTTGTATGATATAGTACACGATGTGGAGCGACGGCGGCAGACCATGACGTCTGAGGAAAGGGCCCGTTATCCGACTTTCACGGAGCCGACTCTGGTGGAAACGCTAGAGATCAGCGCCCCTGGAAAACAGGAGGCCGAAATGGAGAAGCTCACTGCCATGATTGGCTCGTCTAGCTTACCCGTACCAGCATACCTACGACGAAGGGGGATCTTGTATGGGCAACTTGGGAAATACGAATTGGCTCTCGATGATTTCAACACAGCTTTGGAGTACGGTAAGTAGACCAAAATAGCCGTAATACTACAATATGTGGCTGATTCTAATATACGAATCAGATCCCTTTAATTCCGAAGCTTGTTGGTATCGACATCAACTCAATCTAATGTTTGGGCATATTCAAGCTGCTTTGCAAGACCTTGACACGATTACCGAGACCAATAAGCAACATTTCGGAGCCTTCCAAGCAAAAGCTCGCATATATCAAGAACTAGGTAATAGTTGGGGCTCGGCCAAGCACTTTTAAGAAATCTGCTAAATATCGTTACTGTTCCAGGAATGATCAAATTGGCCATTGTCAGTTATTCGCAAGTAATTAAACTGAAACCTAACAATGCCGATGGTTATTTCCAGCGCGCATGCCTTTTTGAGGCCGAGAATGTAGGTTGGGTTTGAAGGAGCATATTGCGCATCACACGACCTAACATCTATTGTAGGAGGCGGTTTACGCCAGCGAAGATTTTAAAATGGTTAGATCTCTAGATCCGGACAATGAGCGTGCCATTCGGAATTTAGCGTTGTACAGCTTTCAACGCGAGCTTTGGAACGATGCCGTTCAGGCATTGAGCAAACTTATACATATAGCACCCGACGACAGTGAGGCATACCAATATCGTGGTCGAGCGTACGCACATCTCGGAAAATGGGATGAGTCGTTGCAGGTATTCGAAGGCTAGTTTGAGCCGCTTTAACACATCATATCATCTAAATGATGCATATCAGGACATGACCCTAGCCATACAGACGAATCCTAAGCAGCCAGAGTCCTTTTTTCATCGTGCATCCCTCTTACGTGAACGTCATCCCTGGAAAGCGATCGAAGATTACAGTATCTGCTTATTGCTCGATGACGGACCGTTGAATACAGAGGCATGTTATCAACGAGGTATTTTTAATATTCAAGCACTCCAAATGTCGGATCATTCATCTTTGGCTGATAATGGTGTTCATAGCACTGTTGTATTACAAGCTAGGAGAATACAGCTACGCGATCGCGGATCTGCTAGCAGGTATGCATACATAAGAATTGAGGAAATCTACGGTATTCTCAACCCCATCGCTGGCAGTGCTTGACTTGGATCCAAGCAAATCTCAAGCATACTTGAAACTTGGTATTTTGTACATGCGGTATATGGATGATTTCCTGGAGGCGCTGCGATGCTTCAACAAGTGTGTTGCCATAAGTAAGCCATCGCATAGGTGCTTTATTCACGTGAACTCGAATGTTCTAAATCTGTTCAGATCCTGTGCAATTGCAGGCATACCTTTGTCGTGGAGATTTATATCAATGCGTACATGAAAAGATGGCACATGATGATAGCGCACTACTCCCGGTCGGGCGGGGCCGACGGCGAACGATCAATCTAGGAGACGAGGGGCTCGGTATCCCGGATTACGGACTAGATGGAATAGCTTCCAGTATGCAGTACATAAATCTCGCGATTAAAGAATACAGCAAGGCAATTCATCTCGCTCCCAACAATCATTTGCTGTATTTGTATCGGGGCAAAATCCTCATACGAGCGGGGTAAGCCAGTTCGATATATTAGGTCTATTCTAACCTTGCGCTCACTGCTGAAATGACAGGCGGATGCAGGAGGCAACTAATGACTTCCATGCTGCATTTGAGATCAATGCTGAGATCGCGCAGACATTTGTGCAAGTGGGTGCTAGCGTCTGCCATATGGAGTGAGATGTGCTGCACCTGCTCATTTGAGTGCTCTCTATCCAACAGCGAGCATTAGTTCTCTCTTTCCAGCGCAAGTATCAGCAAATCATAATTGAATTCAAAGAGAGAAGCAAGGTCGAAAACATGAAGATGAA